TGAGAAGAATGTAAAGAATTTTTAAAATAATTGAATTCTCGTGATTGATATTGTTATTTATGAAAATAATTGTATTTTGCAATGAATTTTATTAAAGTACCTGAATATAATTGAATTTCGGTGAAGAATTTTTATATTTATAAAGATAATTGAAATATTGACGAGAATTCAATTTAAAACATCAAGAAAATAAATCTCACTTTTATGAATTTTAATTTTTCAAGGTTTTGTCATAAAATTCAAGTACTTTTCAAGGTTTTCAAGGAGCAAAAAAAATTCAAGTACTTTTCAAGGTTTTCAAGGTTTTCAAGGTAGCTGGACACCCTGTATGAGAAACAATTCATCGCGATTTTATATTAAATTGTTTAAAAAAAATTTCAGATAAAAATTTTCACAGATTTAACAAAAATTTCCAAGTCACATGGGGTTCTCACCTTTACACGGTTACACTACACTCAAAAAATAAGAATAGAAACCGTGAAAAAAAATGAAGACAATAAATTGTCACAAAGTATATAAAAAGTACATTTTCATTTTGATTTTTCATTGTGATTTTTGAGAATTCAATTATTTTTTAAATTTACAATTAAAATTTTTCGAAATTTGAGTTTTAAAAATTTCAATAAAATACTTAAAAAAATCAATTAGGTATTTTCAATAGAATTTTCAAAATTTCAATTATCTAAAAACTTTTTAATGATATATTTTGAAAATTTAATTATATCTTTATAGAAAAATAAATGAAAAATAAATTTTGAAATATTTGACTACACTGTTATTTTTTACATTATCAAAATCGAAGTAATTTACTTGAAAAAGAATTATTTTTTATTTTTTCGTTTTCAAAAACGTTGCGGACTTCAGCTTCATAAAAAATGTCGCGTTTTCTGAAAATATTGTCGAAGAACAAATCAAAAAATTGAACTATCCGAGGCCTGAATTATGGAAAATTTTTAACTATTTCTATTATAAAAAATTTGTTTGATATTTTAGTTCTTATTGTTATTAAATATCATGATTTACTGAAGTTATTATAATTTCGAAATATTGAAACTTTTTTAAAACAAATTAAAGACGAACAGAAGACTTTTCATAGTGAATTAAATAACAGAGATTTCTGCATTGATTTGCATTTAAATATTAAAGCAGAAAATATTTTCTGTGCGACCCAAGCTCACGAATTGACGGTATTGTAAGACATTATATATTTAAGATAGATAAAGTAATTAACTGACTATTTGCGCGTTATTAAAATTCCTAATTACAACCTCTATATATTGTAAATTTGCGATTGTTTAGAATTTTTGTTAATTAAATTCATGCTTTAATATTATATTCAGCTATAAAAAAATTAAAATCTGTGAAATTACTTCTCTGAACTGTCAGTTATAATTTCACAGATCTAAGGAAATATGTTTTAAAAAGTAACATAAGAAAAACTACATTAATTGTCGTGTCGTTGTTTACTGAAAACTGTAAAGAAGTTTATTAATATTATTATCATTATTATTTTAAGCTCTATGTGCAGTATAATCAGAGTCAAAATTTAATTTTTCTATGTTAAATTTTTAAGTTTTTCGCAATTTAGTAATTATTATATATAGCTAAAAGTTTGCAATATTTGAATTGAATTTTTATATATATAAAATATTATTTGGCTCTGATAAAATAACAGATACGCTTTGTAATTGTTCTTTATTGATGATATATTATGTAAATACGAAAATTAGTTAAAGTTAATTTAGAATAAAAAGTTCAACATATTCTAAATTTAATCGTAGTATGAAAAAAAAATTTTATTGTAAGATGCAATTATTTATTATAATTCATATTGTTATGAAATTAATTTTATATCTGCCGAGCAAAGGACTTATACAGTCGCATTCTCGTAAAAAATGGATATTGTGAATTTTTAGAATAAATAAATTGCAGGCATTGTATATACACTGAATGTGCTACAATAGAAAAAAAACAGAAACAAACAAAAAAATTGAAGCCCTGCCACAGTAGTTTACTGACTAGATTCAGGGCCTCTGTTTACTTTTACAATGGCAAATTAAATTACATTCTTTAACTCTAGTTTTATAAATTAAAAGAAATCTATATTCTATATAGACGAATAGCTATTCGAGAAATCATTTTCATTCACGTCTTCTTCTTTTTTTTTGTTTTTTTTTTGTTTATTTGTTTTCAAATTTATGCCTGAAATTCACTTTTTTTTAATTTATCAAACACAAAATTTTCGGCTATGAATAATAAAAGGTAAATGTTAAAAATTACTCTAATTATTTAAAAAAAATTATTTTTATAAAAACCTTTTTGCTTTGAAGAATAAATCCGTCAGGAAAAAATGATTGTCATCCGTAAATCCGTGCCGGTCTATAAGAAAAATAATTGATTTCAATCATGGTGTATCAATATAGTGTTGTAATTAAAAGAAAAATTTTAAATAATATTCATAATAGAAATCCAAGGGCTCGAACCAGTGAAAGTATTTAAAAATACGGACTTTACGGACCAAAAGTGAAAAATTACAGACCATTTACGGACCAATGACAAAAATTTAACCAGTCCGAGTTCTCACATTTTACTTAAAACTATAAATTAAATTTTTTCATAATTATAATTATTTTCAGAATTTCAATTCCATTATTATTTTAAACAATTTTTAACTAAAATTCTTCTTTAAATCAATTATTTTGAATAATTTTCGAAAAACATCTTTGACAATATTCAAATCCATTTGTTTACAATATTCAATGTCACGGAATTTCAATTATTCATTTTTAAATAAATTTTTATTGGAAAATTCTACGAGAATTCAATTATTTAAACACAAAAAAAATAATTTATTGTATAATTAAATGTTTCTCAAAATTTAATTCTCATAAAGAATTAAATCAAAATTTCTTAAAATAATTGAAATTCTGCGATGAGTTTTTATTATTTATGAAAATAATTGAATCCCTAAGAATTTTATTATTTTTGAACATAACTAAATTTCTGCGAAGATTCTTTATTACTTTTGAAAATAATTGAATTTCTGCAATAATTTGTAACTTCTCAAAAATTAATTTTTTTTAAAAATGTTTTTAACTAAAATTCTTCTAAAAATCCATTATTTATAATAGTTTTTGAAAAAGTTCTTTGAGAATTTTCAAATTCATCTGTTTACAAATCAATTTTACAAAATTTCAATTATTCGGAAATTTTTCAATTAAATATATAGATTAAAAGAATAAAAACTTTAAATAATTTTTAAAAAATCCGCAATTAAAGTTATAATAAAAAAATTCATTCCACAGAATTGTTAGTTAAAAATATGAAAAATTCAGATTTTCAAAGATTTTAATTTGAAACCTTTTTAAAACTCAATTATTTCTAAAAATTCATGCTAGGAATGCTTTTTATATTCAATTATTATCTAAAATTTGTCCAGAAATTTATTTTTAAATCAATTTTTATTAGATAATTCTACGAGAATACAATTATTTAAATACAAAAATTATAAATAATTTATTGAATAATTGTATGTTTTTTAAACTTTAATTCTCATAAAGAATTTTACCAACAAATTTTTAAATAATAAATTGCATTCTTTCGACGAATTTTAATATTTACTAATAATTACATTTTTCAAGGAATTCGATTAAAATTGTATTAAAAATAATTGAAATTATGCGATGGAGTTTTATTATTTATGAAAATAATTGAAATTTTGTCAAGAATTTAAAAAAAAAATTTTTTTAATAATTGAATTTTAGAGAAGAATTTTATTATTTATAAAGATAATTGAAATTTTGTAGAGAATTTTTTTAAATTATTCAACATAATTTAATTTCTGCGGAGAATTTGATTACTTTTGAAAATAATTGAATTTCTGCAATCATTTGGAATTTTTCTAAAATTCTCTAAAATATATCTTACAATTCACGAAGTTTTCGGTCTATTTCAATCAAATTACAGACCTTTTTTCAAAAAAACTGACTTTTTCGAATTTGAGCAAATTTACGGACCTAGTTCGAGCCATGTATAGAACCTGAAAGATCAAGAAAAGTTGAGATGATAAACAAGTGACTGGCTTCTCGTAAGTTGTTCGGCCTAAAAAAATGTTTAATTATTAATCTTTTTTGTTATATAATATGATGGATCTCTCTCGATATAATTTGTTCTAAAATATATAATTAAGACTATGATTAATAATGGCGAATATATTATATGTGAATTTTATGACTGATATAAATATATATGTATAAAAAAAATATATATATATAATGCGATGCGACTTTACATTGAAAATTGAATCCAATTGTATCGGTATTGTTTTTATTATGTGGAGGCATTGTTATTCATTTTTCGCCGGTGGTATAACGATTATTCTGTATATGTGCAATACACTTTTGTTACCAAATACATTAATGAATATCGAACATTTGTAAATAAAGGCAAGAATTGCAAAGCAACTTCTGTTTTCTCTTTTTCTTTGGCACTACCTAATTGTTACATCCACATTTAGCGCAATAAATTCCACTTTTTTTCACAAAATCATTCATTGTTAATTAATAAATAAACTATATGATTCGAACTAATATTTAAGATATATATTTAAAATGGGTTTCAAACAAATTTGAGGTTATGTTGAACTTTTTCAAGTTTTTCAATTAATCAATTTATGAAAATTACCTTGAGACAAATCCGATATTTCATAAAAGAAATTTGACAAATTCGTCATAATCGGCAACTAATATAGAGAAAATAACTCAAAATAATTTAAAAATGTTGAAAAAACCGAAAAAACAAACGGGAAACTTAGCAAAGAACCGTTGATTACGAAGTCTGGTGGGGGTGTGAGGTGTAGTACCACTTTTCGTCACTGGGTCTAAAAACTGCTGTGATTGGTGGACTAATGGACAAGAAATTCGAAAAAGGAGGGAAATATGAAAAGAATATACAGGCAGCACCACCGGTAGTTACAACATGTGAAACTGACTTTAGACAATTTGACAACTGACAGTGTGTGAACACCTTTAATTATAAAGCACAAGCTGTGTTTACGTGGCTGACAAAATAAATAATTTGTAAAAAACAAAACAAACTTCATGTTTTATAATATATAATAATAATAAACTCTTGTTAAATTCAAGGAATTAGGTACAATGGGTAAGTAAATAAAAATTGAGTTTAAAGCCCTTGGATCAATAAAACATTAACTCTATTTTTCTTAACCTCAAAAATAATGCCGGCTATGTTTATATTTTCCATTAAAAGATTTATTGTAAAAAAATTATTAATTAAAATATTTGTGAATAAATATTGAAATAATTAATAGGTTAATAAAAGTTTGATTAATATTTTACCTCTTTTTTTGAATAGCTGTGACAAGTGGAGTGTCCTTTGCATTATCTGCAATAATTACCGTACTTCTTTTTTCTGGAATGCAAATGTACAGAAGTTGGCTTTCATCAACTCAAATCCACACAGTTCTCGGTGGTTACATAGGTTCCTTAGTTTTTATATTTTTACTGACCGCATTGGGAAATTTGGAGACAATTATGTTTGGCAAATCATTTCAAATGAAACTTTTTCCCGAAGGTTTGTATATTATAATTTAACTTTCAAATGTTTGTTTATAATGCAACAAATTCGATAATAATTTGTAATCATTTGTCTATAATTTTTTTTATTGCAGTTTTCATTTCTTTAATCACATCGCTAATTGCATCAGGATTAGTGCATAGAGTTTCGACAACAACATGCTTCCTTTTCTCCATTGTTGCACTCTATTATATTAATCGAATTTCTCAACAAACATATTCGTCGTCTGCACCGACAGTTCCTGTACATACGAAAAAGAAGAAATAAAACTGAAATTTACGCAATTCGCGAAAAAAAATGCCAATTTGAAATTTCTAATTTACTTACAATAATTAATTAAATTATTTCAAAGTAATTGTAGGTACATTAAACTTATATTTCACTTGATGAAAAATATAATTTTTTTAACAGGAGGACTGAATAATAAAGAAGATTTTATTGAAAATACAGACTACATATGATCAGGAGTCCTTTCATTCTTTTTTTTATGTTTCTCGGCCTCTTCTTTGTCACTAAAATATTCATAATTATCGTCCGATGATTCAATTCCAACTGGAACTTTATTTTCTGGTCCACTTGTTATGTGCGTTGGATTTTGGGGATTCTGGGGTTTTTGATTTATCACGTGTTTGTATATTGTCAGGGCCTGAAAATATTCAAATTAAACAATATTTTATATGTGGGATTAATTTATTATATATTTATTATTGCTTTATTTTCATTTCTATTATTTCCTTATTTGTCTTACCTGGCCTACGAAATTTGACACATCTCCAACGTTGCTCGGTAAAATTAAAGTATTATTTGTTCTTGCGAGCTTATCAAAAGCATGAACATATTGTTCTGCAATGGTTAATGCAGCTGCATCTTTGCCATCCTTATAACCTAAGGAATTTGCAATTATTTCTAATCCCTTTGCTCGTGATTGTGCCAATGCAAGAATAGCGGCTGCTTCACCGTCTGCTTTGTTAATTTGTTCTTGTTTTTGAGCCTCTGAAAAAAATAATCATTAAGTTTCAAAAATCTAGAAATTATTCATTAATATTAACGAATTTCTTTAATTCTAAAATTAATTGAAAACATCAATAGTTTTATTCAAAATAAATATTTAATCATTATTATTTTTCCATAGGAATTAAGATTTTCAAAAATTTCAAATTCAAAGTTTTTTGAAATTTAACAACTTATAAAATATTATTATAAAACAAGAAAATATCGATCACTTTTCATCATTTTAATTCAATTATTATTTTCATGAATTTTTAACTAAAAAATTTGTCTTCAAATCAATTAGTTTTAATAATTTTTGACAAAGTTCTTTGAGACTCTTCAAATCCATTTGTTTACAATTAAATTTTACAAAATTTCGATTATTCGGAAATTCTCCAATTAAATATATATATTAGAAAATAAAAAATTCAAATAATTTAAAAAAAAATTCAATTAAACTTTTTTAAAAAAATTAATGCTACAGAATTATAAGTTAAAAGTATGAAAGATTCAAATTTTCAAAGATTTTACTGAAAACATTTTTAAAATTATATTATTTCTAAAAATTCATGCTAGGAATGCTTTTAATATTCAATTATTATTTAAAATATTAACTGAAATTCATTTTTAAATCAATTTTTATTAGAAAATTCTACGAGAATTCAATTATTTAAATACAAAAATAAATAATTTATTGAATAATTGAATGTTTCTTGAAATTAAATTCTTATAAGGAATTGAATCAACAAATTTTTAAATAATTGAATTCTTTCGACGAATTTTAATAAAAATTTTAAGAATAATTACTGTTTTCGAGGAATTTTGATTAAAATTGTATTAAAAATAATTGAAATGCTGCGATTAGTTTATGAAAATAATTGAATTCCGAATATGAATTTTATTATTAATGAAAATAATTGAATCCCTATAATAATGATCAATGAATAATTTTTAAAAAATATTTACTAAATCAATTTTTATATTTTATTAGAAAATTCTACGAGAATTCAATTATTCAAATAATTACATTTTTCGAGAAATTCGATTGAAATTGTATTAAAAATAATAGAAATTCTGCAATGAGTTTTATTATTTATGAAAATAATTGAATTATTGCGATAAAATTTTTTAAAAAAATTTGTAAATAATTGAATTCCTGCGAAATTTTTATTACTGATGAAAATAATGAAATATTTACGTAGAATTTTTTTTAACTTTTTGAAAATAATTGAATTCTTCTGGAAAATTTTATTAAAACAGTAAATATTAAAAATCATTGAATTGAAGACAAGTTTTGAAAATAATTGAAATTTTGCCAAAAAAATTATTAAAATTTTTGAAAACAATTGAATTTCAGAGAAGAATTTTATTATTTTTGAAAATAATTACTAAAAAAAATTTTATTATTTATGAAAATAATTTAATTATTTCGAAGAACTTTATAAAAAATTTGTAAATAATTGAATTGATGGGAATTTTTTTTATAGAATTATTTTGGAAAATTTTATTAAAATAGTAAATATAGAAAATCATTGAATTGAGGAAAATTTTTGAAAATAATTGAAATTTTGCGAAGAGTTATATTGAAATTTTTGAAAATAATTTAATTTCTGCAATCGTTTGTAATCGTTTTCCCCAAAATTCAATTTTTTTTATTGTTTTTAACTAAAATTCTTCTATATAAATCCATTATTTTTCATATTTAATTAGATATAATATTAAAAAATTTAACTAATTTTAGAAGAATTTGAATTATTAAAATTTTTCAAAAATGTAAGTTCTTTAAAATTTCTAATGAAATAAATTCATTAAAAATGGAAATTTTATAAAATTTCAAATTAAAACCTTTTGAAGTTCATCTTTTTATAAAAATTGTATATGCAACATTTTTAAAATTCAAATAATTTTGAAATATTTAAGTAAAATTGTTCATTAAATAATTTATAATTAATAATAATTTTATGTCAGTTCTTCCAGAATTAAGTTATTTAAAAAGTAATTATTGTCAGAAAGAGAAAACATTGAAGGTTTTGTACTGAATTTCATAGTTCATGAGGCAAACAAAAAAGAAACAAAAATTCAAAATTTTCTTATGAATTTTAAAAATTTAATTTTTTCCATCATTTTTAATAAAAATTTCTGTCTTTTCCCTGATTTCCCTTACCAACTGTACTGTCCCTGACCTTTTAAATTTAAAAATTTTTTAAATTAGAAATTCAAAATTACCAGAGACGAGAATTCTTGATGTCCTTTGACCCTCAGCAATATTGATTTCAGCTTGTCTAACTCCTTCAGATTCTAAAATTGCTGCTCTCTTCTTTCTTTCCGCTTCAACTTGCATTTGCATCGCATCTCGAATTCTTGTCGGTAATCTAATATCACCTGAAAGAAAAAAATACAAAATATTAATAATTTAAAACAAATTTTCTGCGATTAATAGTTGCAAAAAAATACAAATACTAACGAATTTCGTATCTCAAACAAGTGATTCCCCATGCTTGACTGGCTTTATTAATGTTTTCAACAATATTCACATTAAGTCCTTCTCTTTCTTGAAAAACTCTATCCAACGAGATTTTTCCCAATTCCGATCTCATAGTGGTTTGGGCAATTTGTATTATGGCAAATTCAGGGTCTTCAACACCATAGGAAGCCAAAAATGGATCATTTACTCGTAAATATAAAATTCCATCGATGTCCAATTCAACATTGTCTAATAGAGACATAAAATAAAGTATAAACAAATTATTAAATAAAAATACTAAATATAACAACATTTAAATATTAATATCGAATAAATTTTATTTTCTTTAAAACTGAATGTAAAAAATATTCCTTACCTGAAGTCACAGCACTCTGCTTAGGAATATCAATCGCCAATTCTTTCAAACTTTGAACATATTTTACTCTGTCAACAATTGGCATCAATAAATTGAAACCAGGTTCCAAAATTTTAAAAAATTTACCCATTCGCTCAACAATCCATGCCTAAAAATTATTAATTGAAAAGTCATTTTAAAAAGTCGAATATATTAAATAAATTGAAAAATAATTCAAAATCTTATAAATGCATTATATAGATAAATAATCGAAATGGTAATTTATGAAAATAGATGATGATAATAATAATAAAAGCAAAGCTATTCCTAAGCTTTAAGCGCTTTAAGATATAAACGTGTATAACAAACCTCTTGTTGAGGAACGAATATAACAACAGTATTTAACGGAGTATTACTTTTGTGTCTTGCTTGAAAACTAAAAACGGATTGTGGATTTGCCAATGATGCAAAAAATCCATTATCTCCAATAGCCGCTGAATTCTACAGAGTAAAATAATAATTTAAAACATGTGTTTAGAGGTTATGTTATTATTTAAATTAAACATTTATGAACATTACGTATTTAAATATATTTACCCTTAAGACATTTAAATTGCGGGCTAATAATCTTGATCTATTAATCATTTTACTAGTTTAGAAATCCCACTGAACAATTTTTATTAACAATTGTTTATAATTTTTTTCTCTCCACTTTATAAAACACTTCACACTTTTCAAGGCGGCAATATTACTCTGACTTTCTTGTTTGTGTGCAATATTTTTCGTTTTATATTTCCTTTTATAGACAATATTCTCTAAAGATAAATTATAAAATAAATCAAATTTGTAAATTATTTTTATTTTAATAATTAATTTTCAGAAATATAAAACAATGTTTATATTATTTTCACAAAATTTAATAATAAAAAATTTACGTAATTTAGATTTACCGCTTTAAATTATAAACTGGACAAATTCCAAAACTTGTGAATATACATTTAAGAAAATTATCGGCAGTTGTGAATTTGCCTAAATGCACATAAAGGACATAAAGAAGTGTCAAAAAGAAAATGATTTTTGAGGTTATATATGTGAATAATTCCGAATAATTGTATAAATTCCGTACATTTATTTATTATGTGAAAGAAATTAACTAATTTAATGAAGAATATAAGTCTTGTGTTCTCAATATTTAATTTATTCTATTTTTTTCTATTTATTTTTTCAAGACTTATATGGTGATAACATTGAAGATATTGAAAGAAAAAAGTGTTTATGAATTCTGATAACGTTTTTCGTATTAAAAAAATGTCTTATTTATATTGAGTGATGCAGAGTAAGGAATAATTAGCCATAGGTTTTGTATTTGTACATATATCTTTTAGTTTGTTTTTTTTATTATGAAAAGACGTCAAAGAAGACCCATCTTGGACATTGATGGAGAACACTCAAATTCTCCAGTGAGATTTTCCCAAGGTATGTTTCTGGTTTTTCAATTTAGTTTGAATGTGCCTTTTTTAACATCAATAAATTTTTGCATTTACAGAAAAATATAAACAAAGCACTAATTCAGTACCTGGAGAAAATGGTTCCAATCCCTTGAAAGGTTTACTAGGACAATATAATTCAGACAGTGAAACTGAAGATGTTCAACAAACAGCAAATAAATTAGACGATAAAGTCAATGATTTTTTAAAGGTGGATATGATGAATTTATAATTATTAGTCATTTAGTAAAACATTAGTTTGGTTTACGTCTTAATTTAGTAATTATTAATATTAATTAATTAATAATATAATTATTAATTTATTCTTATTTGTTCTAGGAAATTCAGTCAATTGCGCCTGAAAATCCTGCAGTTCTTCCTAAAGATATTAAAGGAAAATCATATTCTACTCAACCAGAAATGCGTGAGTTTTTACAGGGTTTCCACAAGTCAGGAAAGTCAGGGAAAAGTCAGGGATTTTTATTCTGGGAAAAATTAAATTTTCAGAATTCATAAGAAAATTCTGAATTTGGTGTCTTTCTCTATTGCCTCATAAACTATTAAATTACCACGAATTCTAATATAAAAACTTCAATTTTTCCTCTTTCTGACAATAATTTCTTTTTAAATAACTTTACTCTTGAAGAAATATCATAAAATTATTTAATGAATAATATTATAAAATTTGAATTTTGAATGAATTTAATTAGAAATTTCAAAGAACTTAAATTTTTAAAGAATTATAATTCAAATTCTTCTGAAATTAATTAAATTTATTAATATATATTAGTTACTTATTAAAAATAATGGATTTATAGAAAAATATTAGTTAAAATCACTAAAAAAAAATTGGATTTTGGAGAAGTTACAAAAATGATTGCAATTTGATTTCTGTCAAACTTTCAATTATTTTCAAAAATGTTTCTCAATTCAATGCTTATTATTTTCAAAAATTTTAATAAATTTCTGGCAAAATTTCAATTATTTTCAAAAATGTTCCTCAATTCAATGATTTGCAATATCTAGGTACTATTTTAGAAAAGTTTTCCAAAAGAATTCAATCATAATAAAAACAAAAAAAATTTTAATAAAATTCCATGCAAACATTTAATTATTCTCATAAATTATACAAATTTCACAGAAATTCAATTATTTTCATTAAAATAAAATACCTACTTTAGATAAATTCAAATATTTCGAATATTGTTTTAATAAAATTCTATAAGATAAGAAATTTAATTATTTTCATAAATAATAAAATTTTCGCAGGAATTAAATTATTTAAAACATGATTTTCATAAAATTTTTCCAAGAAAATCAAATATTTAAAAGAATTTTTATAAAAATCTTTACGGGAATTAAATTATTTTTAATGTAATTTTAATAAAATTTCTTAAAAGATTTTAACTATTTTCAAAAATTTTAATAAAAAAAAAATTGTCAGGAATTTAATTATTCTCATGAATAATATAATTCATCGAGGGAATTCAATTATTTTCAATGTATATATATATAATATAGTAATAATGTTATCACTCAGTCGATAAATTAATAAAACGATGAAATAGTCGATCACTCCAAGTTAGGATTTCAAAAACAAAAAAAGACAATTCTTTTTTGACGTTTCAACAGCACGGCTGTCCCCTTCAGAAACCTAAAGAAAGAGTGTCTAATCGTTCTCGCTTAGACGAAGACGTTCGTCCAATATAAGTAATGCGTTACTTATATAATTTTTAAAATATTTCTTTACGTTTGTGAAGAGGACAGTCGTGCTATTGAAACGTCAAAAAAGAAATTGTCTTTTTTTGTTTTTGAAATCATGACTCGGAGTGATCGACTATTTTATCGTTTTTAATATTTTCAATGTAATTTTACTAGAGCTGTGCAAAATTCGAACCGAACCGAGTTTTGTTCGGTTTTGGAGCGCCGAAATGTCGAATGTCGAATTTTAGAATTCGACATTTTAGCGTACTAAAACTGAACACAACTCGGTTCGGTTCGAATTTTGTAGTAACTCGAATGTCGAATATTCGACATTCGAACTAGGCGAAAAAATTCGAACAGTTCGGTTCGAATTATTTTGCACAGCTCTAAATTTTACTAAAATTCTATAAAGGAGTTAAATAATTTTCAATACAATTTTAATAAAATTCGTCGAAAAAATTGGTAAAAATTCAATTATTCTCGTGAATAAATAAAATTCTTCGAGGAAATTCATTTATTTTCATAAATAATAAAATACTTTAGATAAATTCAATTATTTTGAATATAACTTTAATAAAATTTTTCGGAAAAAATCAATTATTTAAAAGATATTTTATTAAATTTTTCGCGTGATTTCAATTATTTTCATAAATAATAAAATACTTTAGAGAAATTAAATTATTTTTAATAAAATTCTTCGCAGAAATTCAATTACTTTCATAAAAACATAATAAACTTTTGACACGAATTCAATTATATAAAATACGATTTTCTTAGCATTTTTCCCAAAAAATGCAACTATTCTTAAAAATTTTATTAAAATACTTAAAAAAAACGATTATTTTAAGAAATTTTAATTAAATTCTATATGAGATTTAAATTTTGAGAAACATTTAATTGTTCAATAAATTATTTATTTTTGTATTTAAATAATTGAATTCTCGTAGAATTTTCTATTAAAAATTGATTTAAAAATAAATTTTAGGTAATAATTGAATATTAAAAGCATTATTTATCATACATTTTTAGAAATAATTTAATTTTGAAAAGGTTTTCAGTTAAAATCTTTGAAAATTTGAATTTTTAATACTTTTAACTAATACATAATTCTGTAGAATTATTTTGTTTTAAAAAGTTTAATTGAATTTTTTTTAATTATATTTGAAGTTTTTATTTTCTAATATATATTTAATTGAAGAATTTCCGAATAATCAAAATTTCATAAAATTGAATAGTAAACATATAGATTTGAAAATTTTCAAAGAACTTTTTCAAAAATTATTGAAAATATGTAATTGATTTAGAGAAGAACTATATTTAAAATTTCTAGAAAATAATAATTGAATTGAAATGATGAAAATAATTTTGAAGAAGTTATAGTAACAATATTCTTATAATATAAAATAATGATTTTTATCACTCGGTCATCTTTAATTGGGAGGTTCAATTATTATAAAACATGAAGAAGTCGAACATGAATATCTTCATGTTTTGTATAATAATATTCCTATAAGTTATTGAATTTCGAACGGTTTGAATTTGAAATATTTAAAAATCTTAATTCCTATAAAAATATAATAATGATTAAATATTTATTTAGAAAAAATATTATTGTTGTTTTCGAATATTTTTACAATTAAAGAAATTCGTGAATAGATGTAATAGAACATTTTCTTGTGTATCTAATCATTTTGAGAGTGAATCAGAATATTCTTAAGGGTCAGGGAAAAAGTCAAAATTTTGTCTGGAAATCAGGGATTATAAATCTCATGGATGGATTTCAAAATTAAAAGACTAAAATGTGTTTGAAAATATTGAAAACTATTGAAAATGAAATAATTGAATGTCCTTTTTTTAGCTTGGCAAGAGTGTTTTGACGAGTCTACTGGCTATCCTTATTATTGGCACACGAACACAAACCAAGTAACTTGGGAAATGCCACCAGAATATAGATTGTGGAAAGAAAAGAAGCAAATGACTGTTAATCAACATAATTTACATGTGAGTCATTGGCCTAGTGTTTCATCAAATAGCGAAATACCGGAAGGTATGATACCAAAGGAAGTTGTTGCCAGAAATAGAAATAGACAAGCGGGAATTCAGGAGAATCGAGTTCCAGTCAATACAAAACAACTTGATACATCTCTACCTTCACATTTACGAGAGGACGATTCCGATGATGGGTATTTTTATTTAAAAATATTTTATTTTCTCTACTATTTTTACTAAGTTCTCTTTTAATAATATTCCACTAATTTCTAGAAAAATTGAAATGATAACTTCATTTGGAAATGAGGAGAGTGAAGAAAGTGAATCAGACTCTCACGTCGAAGAGCCTTCTGAAAGTAAAGTAAAGAAAGTGAACAGTCGTAAACACTCGAAAAATTCCAATAAAGAAAAAAAAACTGAAATAAAACCAACGAACCAATCAATTGAAATCGGCCCAAGTCTTCCGCCTGAAATGCAAGAGAGAATTTCAGGAAGTAATTCATCAACATTTTCATCAACAATTGAAAATTTTCTTAAGACAAAATCAAGTGTCCCTTCGACTATAAATTCAGATTCAAACGGCACCGAAGAAGATATATTGAGACGTTTAAAAAGTCAAGCTAAATTATTACAATCAATGAATGAGAAAAACGATTCTGGTTCGAGGGGTGGTTCACCATTTGAGACAGAATACAATAAACAGAGTAAAATTAATGAATCCGAGAAACGTTTAGAGGATAAGTCGCAGACACATAGGGAATTAAAAGTATCATTGGTACCTGGTTACGAGGATGATTCAGATAATGAAGAAGAAATTCCACCAGCAACTGATGTTAAACCTCTATTTCCAATAGTCGAATATCAAACGGATAAACCTCAAGTTTCAACAGTCTCTGATGGAATTATGAAAAAAGTGGAAACAAGACAAACTGAAAGTGGTTGTATTCGTATTTTTGAATATCGAAACGTTGACACCGATAAAAATGATACTGACAATGAGACTAAAGAATTAAATAAAGAAATCGAGAGTGTCGATAGTGAATTAGAATCGCGAGTTACTCAACCTGCGCAAGATGTAGTGAAGGTTAATAAATTCTTGGAGAATTTAGAAACACCGACAAAGGCTTTTCAGCGGAAGAAGAGAATAGCATTTGATGGTTAGTATATCTTGTTTATATTTTTTATTTAATATAAATTATTCGAATTTTTTCATTTGCAGTTTTGCCGAATCGACCAAAAGTAGTTGAAACGCAAGAAGTGGCAACTACAGAGGAAGTACAAGCAGCAAGTACAATTAGTGAGAGTGATAGATTTGGCTTTGGATTCCAAAAGGAAAAGGAGGAAGTAAATGAGAGTGAAACGGTGGAAGTTAAACCAGCGGAAGTTGCTGCAAAGAGTGAAAAGGAATTAATTAGTTTTGTGAAAGGTGAAACTATGAACAATAACACAAAACCAGTGGAAGAAGTGAAAAGTATACCAGCTGCTGAGAATAAGGAATTCAAATATTTAACTGAAATGATATCAGAAAAGTTGAAATTTTTATCCGAAGGATGTCAAATGGCGTCGGCTGTTCAAATTATGGCGATTCAACTTCAAGTAAGATTCTTAGTGTTTATTTACTGAAAACTACTATTACTACTTTTTTTACGATTTGCTATTTGGATACTTTTTCTTAGGTTTGGGCCACTAGAAGGTATTTTTTTCTTTTTTTTTTTTTTGAGAATTTGCACTACTTTAATTCCGCTAATAGTTGAAGTAAAAAAATTAATATTTACTTTCTTTAAAATAATCATAAATTCAGGACTTTATTTACATTTTTATGAATTTTGACAAGAACAGGATTCTCATAAGTCAAGAAAATAAGAGAAGTTAGGAAATTTAACCCAAAGTAGAAGAAAAATATTAAATTTTTGAAAAACCTTAATCACCATTGCATTTTCCTTCTCACCTTAAAAAATTTAAAAACACCATAAATAGAGGTACAACTGCAATTTTTATAAACAATCAATTATGTTGTCAATTATTTATTTTTGTATTTAAATAATTGAATTCTATTAGAACTTTCTGATAAGATTTGATTTAAAAAAAGAATTTCAGCTAAAATTTTAGAAAATAATTGAATATTAAAGACATAAGAGGAATTTTTAGATATACATTTAATTAAATTTCAAAAACGTTTTAAATTGAAATCTTTGATAATTTTAGTTGCTGTAAAATTATAATAATATCTAAATATTTATTTCTAAAGATTATTAATTTATTATTTTTCTAAAAAATTAATATTAAAGTTTTTGAATAATTTTATTCGAAAACTAATAATTAAATTTTGAAAGAATTGCAGCTGTAATTTTTAGAAATACATAATTAAATTTCAATTTCATTGAAATTATTGAAAATTTTAATTCTTGTGGAAAAAATATATAACAATAAGTTTCTAAATATTAATTTAACAACAAATTATTGAAGTTTTAAATAATTTAATTTAGAAATTATGAAAAAAATTAGTCTTTTGAAAAATTGTAATTATTATTTTTTGAAGATAGTTAAATTCGCAAAAATAATTGGAAATTTTATCAAATTACATTTAAATAAATTTTATATTTGAAAGGATTTTATTTTTTCTGCTTTTAAAAATTGTTTTTTGATATAATTGTATTTTTTAACAATTCTAACTGAAAATTTGAAAAATAATCGATGGATTCTTTTTGACTACTTCTTTTCAGTCTTAAAGCTACTTTTTTTGACACTTTTTTAAATTAGTTAACGAATGTAAAGCGTGCATTACTAACATTTTTAAAAAATATAAAAAAGTCATTTGAAATACCTATAAGCAAAATATTTAAAATCTATTCAATAAATTTCAAAAAGTAACGAATGGAAAACAATATATTTGGAAAGCTTAGAAAAGTAATGAAAATTAGAAAGCGTTTGACGATAAATTAATTAATTAATTAACTAAAAAAAATTCTCAATCGTTTTTAATTGTACGATTATATTTTTCTCGTTGAGATAAATAACAAAAATTGTTATGTTACAATAAAACTTTTAATTTTGATTCATAGACACTGTTGGAGGCATGGGAGAGTGGAGACCTGAAACAAACATATCTCTATCAATGGTTAACAACGACGGGACGGGAATTGAGTCGCTTAGAGCAAACAGCAGCACCGCCTGGATGGGAATGTCAGTGGGATAGGTACGGTATCCTGACAGACTCTATCACAAGTCCGAATACACCATCATTCTACTTCTTTGTTTCACAAAATTACCCCATACCTCTCGCATCTTTAATATTTGTAAATTAAGTTTAGAAAATTTATAGCTCCTTGAGACAATTAACTTTTAACTCAAAAGCTTTTTTAATCTATTTTTTTTAAATTATTTATCTCTTTCAAATTTTATTTATTTATTTATTTATTTATTTATTTATTATTTATTAAAGAGAGAAAAGGTGTCTTTTTTAATATTATATTATTATTTGTTAAAAATAATTCTTATCTTCTGGACCTTAACTTTCTTTCGTTAGATTATTGTTTTTTATTTTAATTATTGTGAATTAATAGTTAATTATTGATGAATTTCTCAGTAGTTATTTATTTTTTAATAGTTATTTATTTCTTTCGTTATTATTCTTTACTAATTATGTTTTTTATTAAGTTTTTTATTTTGTAATTATTTCATACTTTTATCATTATTTCATAAATATATTTGATAATTATTTTTAATTTTTTTGGACATAAATATCTTTTTATCTCTTTGTTCTTTACTTTTCTTGTAAAGAGATTTTAATTTTTTTAACAAAACATTTTTTTTAATCCTAATTATACTATTGTCCATTTGTTCCGTAAAAGACTTTTATTTAAATTTTAATTCACATTTGCAATTTTGAGGAAATTGGAAAATTTAATTTTCTCATAGGAAATTTTATTGCACTGGCATTTTAATTTATGAATTTGCATCTTGAATTCCAGTTAATTAATTTTTTGTTAATTTGTCTAATTTTTGAACATATAAATAATTTTTCAGTGTATAGGTAAATATTTGTTTTCCCTTTTTATATTCAGAGATGATTATTTGTAATTTATAGGACAAAGTCTAATAGTTTTTTTATGTCATGTTTGTATATAAACTATACGTTTTATTAAAGAATACTTAATGTATTTTAGGGTTGATTATTTATGAAATAATTTTGTCATTTGATTTCTCTATTTATTTAAATTTGACTTATTTAAACAAAATACGTTTAGTCTTAGATAAATCAACCCTCAAATATTTCTGTATTTATTATACTTCTTATCATAATTTTCATTTTTCATTACATTTTTGATTCTTGAAGAGACATTTTTAAAGTTTACGTATAATAAAGTACGATAAAAAGTATTATAAAAGTATAAAGTATAATGTTGTGTAATAAAGCTAAGGTATTACAAAAGTTAGTGAATTTATTCAACATTTTATTAACTTTTTGAGAATTAAGGGCGATTTTTAAAGTTTTCGTAATTTTGGTTTAATTTAATGGAAAGTTTATTTTATTTTCTTTAGTTACTTAGTTTGTGTTTGACAATTGCATTTCAGATAAACTTGGAATTTTACGAGAGGCTTTTCTTTCTCAATAAAAGCCTCGGAAAGAAATACTTTTAAATCTAATAGTAAAAAAAGAGAAAAAAAAGAAAAGTGAATATGGAAAATTCACCCATGGAAGACATCGTTCAGGACTTTATTGATTTTCGTGATTTATGCTTTATCTTGCTGTTATAGGTTGACGAGATGTGAACATGATTTCAGTGGAAGATGCTGGATCATCCGAGAGTTACAAGATATTTTGCCTTAGCAAAATTTTCAACTTTTTTTTTATATTTTTATAGGAATATCTGTCTTCTTAATTCTTCAATTTCAACATTCCAAAAAATTTTATTTATCTTTTTTTCCCAAAATTATTCAGAAAATTACATTTTTCTTATTATTAACGTGTTTTTATCATTCTTTTTTCAATTGCAAAAGAATTTTTAAAAATTACAATAGTTCAAGAATTCACTTGCAAAATATTTTGTTTATTCAATCAAAATTTTTTGCATTCTTTTTCAAGAAAGATTTTTCAAGATTGACTTTGATTCACTAAAAAATAATTAACGCTTTCAATGTAAAATAAAAAAATATATAGACGGATCTTCCCCCGATTTTAAGGCAATCTGTTACGCAGGTAGGGGTATCAATGGATTACGTTCAGTAATTAAAAAAAAGACAAAAAAAAACAAAAATGCAAAATGTGCAAATTTGCGACATGAGATGTGAAAAAAATTACATAGTGAAAAATTCCCTATTATCCAATGCTCTCATTTTTGTATTTTTTTGGGGGGGATGTTTCTAGATCGCATAAACGGTACTATTATCGGAATGCGGCAACTGGTGCAGCCCAATGGACTTATCCCGAAATGGACGTCATCGGTGGTACTGAGGAAATGGAATTATGCACAACACCTCCACCGGAACAGGAGGAACCTATCATTGGTAAGATAATTTTATTATTTTTCAAAATTTCCCATTATTTTGGAATTTTTTCAGATTAAAAAAGCACGTTTAGTTTAAAAATCAGTTTTTTTTTTTAAAATATTCTAATATTTTGATTGAAATAGAGAGGGATGTGGAATTAAATCAAAAGAATCCAACAACCGAGGAAACCGAGAAGAAAATATCACCAGAAAATAAAGAAATCAACAAGGATGCAAATTCAAGTGATTTAAAAGTTCCTCCACCGCCACAAATTTCAAATCCAAGTCCACCACCGCCACCGAGAATTTATGCCGAAGATTTAAAAAAGGGACAAAAAAGAAAAAATAGCCAAGATAACGATTCGGAGAGTAAAAAGGAGAAATTGGAACCAGGTATACCTAATTTATTTTTATTTGCGTATTTATTGTAAAAAAGAAATTGTAAATCCTAATCTATGAATATATTTCCAAGTAATATTAAATATTAAATTTATATTGATATTAAATGGAATACAATTAAGATTTAAAAAAAAATTTTATTCGTGTACAGCTCCTCCTCTTCCGGCTGCGACAATTGAAACACCTCAACCACCTTTGCCGCCTTCACCACCGAAAGTATCTAAAACGAACGAACCTCTTCCACCTGGAGTTGATCCACCCGAAATACCTTATGCATTGCCTGCAACAGTTCTCGAATCTGGAGTTCTATACGCAGCAACTCCTCATCAAACGAATCCAATTTATGCTGCGACAATGGGAAACGCCATTTTAACTCATCATACGGCTCTTATGCAAGGACAATTATTACACTATCCTGCATATCATCTGCATAATGTAATTATTAAAAAATATTTAATAAAAAATTCTAAGTAAATAATTGAATTTTGGAGAAGTTACAGTAGAAATTTTTGGAAATAATTAAATTCCAAAAGGTTTCAAATAAAAATTTTAATGGATGTAGAAATTTAATTAAAGTATTTATTTTAATAAATTATTAAACTTTTGAATAACTTCAGTTAGAAATTTGGTCTAATTGAATTTAAAAATTCTTTAAAAATTAGGTGTTTGAAAAACTTTTAAACAATTGAGGCTCCGGATCTTAAAAGGGCACTTTCAGCATTAATTTTAAATGGTAAAAGTGCCCTTTTACCAGAGACCTGAAAATTGTCTTGTAAGAATCAAATTTTTTGTTTAAATTTTGATTTAAACTTGTTTTTTATTTTACAGCCGGCTTTAGTAGCAGCTGCCAGTCGTTTAGGACAAGAGGGAGTTCAATTTATGATGACGGATTATTCACAAATTTACGGCACGAATCAAGTTATTGCCAAACCACCTGTAAAAGCACATCGTGAGTCTTTAGGATCGGCCATTGATTCATTTTACAATGATATTGCTTCGATAGAAAATAGTAATTTGGAAACTGAGCAGCCAGAAAGTCAGGAATGTAATTATCCGGAAAATGCGTCTTCGCCTTTAACTCAATTGCAAACTGAAGACAGTCAATCAACATCAGATGCAATTACGAAGGAGAAGAAGAAGAAAAAGGTAAAAAAATTCTAAATAATAATTTAGTTATAAGTAGACTTATTGGTAAGGGACATTCCATTTCAAAACGATCCTCCTTATAAACAGTTGACATTGTAAGGCAATTTTTAAATAATTATTTCTCATATTTATTAAAGCCAAACTTTATTTACTATTAGTGGTTTTAAAAGAAAAATTTCTCATCTTTATACCTAATGGTAAAAAAAATTTTTTTTTTAAATAATATAATTTATGAAAAAAAATGAAGTTTGAAAGATAACCTTTTGAATATCTCAAAACACGTCGCATCCGATTTTCTTGAAACTTATGTCAAAATGGAGCTTAAATATTCTAGTTTAATTCCATGTAAACATTATAATGGGCAATTCATGGAAATTTGAGAAATTAATTAAATTTTACAAGAATTTCACAGGTATCATGTATCGCATGTACCGAGCGGAATTTGTTTTTTTCAAATTTTTACACAGTTCAACCTCTCACATCTTTGTAAAGTTTAATTAATTTCTTAAATTACCCTGAATTGTCCATTATAATGTTTACAGGGAATGAAATTAGAATTTTTAAGCTTTACTATAACTATGACATAAATTTAAAAAAAAACTGGAGGCGATATGTTTTGAGATATTTAATAGGTTATCTTTCAAACTTAGTTTTTTTCACAAATTATGTTATTTTAAAAAAAATTTTTTACCATTATAAAGTTGAGAAATTTTTCTTTTAAAACCACTAATAGTAAATAAAGTTTGGCTTTAATAAGTAAGAGAAATAATTATTTAAAAATTGCCTTACAATGTCAATTGTTTGCAAGGAGGGTCGTTTTGAAATGGAATGCCCCATAAAATAAATATTTTACATTTAAGAAATATTTTTAGCTTTTTGTTTTATTATAAAGAAACATTTAATTTCAGACGAAACTCGGAGTAGGAAAAAAACAGAAGGAAATGTCAAGTATGGTGGCAAAATGGCAACGAGTACAACAAAATTATGGAAACGCGAGTTGAATTGTGACAAATTATATATATATATATATATTTATATATTATATAAGTTAATCTTCGACTAAGCGATAAGTTTAAAATGATCCTTAAGAGAAAATAAAACTTGTTTTACAGCAATTTTTTTCTGAATTATTTATCACTACAAAACCAACTTTTTTTGTTTATTTATTAACTCCAAATTCTCTTTTCTGCATTCAAATACTTAAAAATAAAATTGATATAAACTTTTTGAAAAACAATTTCTTTAGGAAAATAAAATAAATTTTCAAATTTATATAATAAAGACCAAAAATTGTAACAGTATCTAATATATTTTTTCACCTAAATACATTTTTATTTACAATTAATGATAAATAACCATAATAAAATAAAATTCAAGTAAATCTTGTCACATTTAAAAAATGTTTCTTTCCAAATTTATTGAAGAAAACTAAGGAAAATATTAATTATAAATAAGACAAAAATTAATTTTACAATTTCTTTCCCAAGTTTCGAAGTTAAATGTATTTTATTTAATTAAATAACTTAATTTTGTAATGTTTTTCTAAATTCAATTTAGAAATTATTTTATTGAAAAATTTAAATCTTGTATTAAACTTTTCATAAGATTTGCAGCATATTTCTTGAGATAGAATTTTGTTTAGTTAACGATTGTTTTGTTTAAAATTTTCATAAAAATGAATATAAAAATATCTATAATTATCTCTATATTAATAATCGTTGTATTCCGGTAATCTGTTCGCAGTATGAAGTTAATTGCTGTTTGTTTTTTGTTTCCTAACTTTTGAAAAAATAATTTTCCTTCTTAATTATGTTTTCAATTTTCAAATTAATGTACTGAAAGTCATTGAATCCTTGAAAAGTATTTATCAAAAAATTTTAAAATAATTAAATTCATTTCAAGAATTTTATTAACATTTTTTTCAATAATTGAATTCTTTCGAGAAAATGTAATTAAAATTGTATTGAAAATAATTTAATTCTTGGCAAGATTTTTATTAAAATTCTTAAAATTAAAAATATTGAATTGTTTTGAAGAATTTATTTCAGTTTTCTTGAAAATAATGGAGTTCTTTTTTTAAATTGTTACTGAAAATTTTGAAAGTAATTGAATTTTATGAAGATTTTCTTTTAAGTTTTTAAAATAATCGTGTTTATCATTAATTGTAATTAATAATTTTCCTATTAAATTATATTAAAATTATTCATAGAAAATTAAATTCTTTTAAACAATTTTATTAGAGTTTTTGTAAATAATTACATTTTTTTAAAAGAATTTCATTAAATTTCGTAAAAATAATGTAATTTTTAAAAATAATTTTAATTGAAAATTTTGAAAATAATTAAAATTTACAAAAAAATTGATTAAAAACTTTTGAAAACAATCGAATTGTTTAGAAAAATTTTATTACAATTTTTAAAAATAATTGAACCTGTTAGAGAAATTTTATTAAAATTATCTTAAATATAATTGCATTGTTTTCTAGAGATTTTATTAAAATTCTATTGAAAATAATTGAATTTCACAAAAGAATGTTATTATTTACAAAAATAATTGAATTCTTGACAAGAATTTTACAATTCATAAAAATAATTGAATTGTTTTGAAGAATTTTATCAGAATTGTTGAAAATAATTGAATTTTTATTAAAATTCTTGAAAATAATTGAATTTAAATAATATTTTTAAAAATAATTGTATTCTTTCGAAAAATTTTATTCAAAATGTATTGAAAATAATTTTATTTTAAACATTTTTATTATTTATGAAAATATTTTAATCTTGCGAAGAATTTACATATTTATGAAAATAATTGAATTTTTGAGGAGGAGTTTACAATTCATAAAAACAGGGTGTCTACTATTTTCGTTTAACAAAATTCCCGGTTATTTCCCGGTTTTTCCCGGCTATATCCTAATTTTTTCCCGGTTTTTTTTCTTATCAAATGTAAATTTAAATTTGATTTTAAACATAAATAAATCATTAAATTTTCTGAAAATAATGTTTTTTTCAATAATTTTAATTAAAAACTTGTAAAATACTTGAATTAAACAAAGAATTTTTTCAAGTTTTTAAAAATAATCTTGTCTCTTTATAATTATAATTGAAAATTGGATTTTTCAATTTTATTAAAATTACATTGATAATAATTGAACTTCTGCAAAGAATTTTACTATTTATAAAAATAATTGAATCCTTCTAAAGAATGCTATTATTTATGAAAATAATTTAATTTTTGTGAAGAATTTTATTAAAATTTTTGAAAATAATAAGCAGCAATAATTAATTATTTACTTAATATGTAATAAACATTTAATTTGCTCAAGAAATAAATAAATATCATTTATTTGAACATTCAGAAATTTAAAATGATAAAAATTTAAGAGAAGTTCAATAATTATAATTATTAAATAATAATTGGAGATTGGAGCGAATACAAAATAGGTTTTTGCGCTTCGCTGCTAAGCAACTCGATATTACCTATGATTTTTTTTCACATGAATATGATGACGTAAGGAGGCAATTGAAGATCCCGACAATTTCATCCAGATTTCTGTACTCGGATTTAATGTTTCTTTTTAAAATTATAAATGGAATGATTAATTGTCCGGATATTTTATGTAAAATAAATTTCTCTGTGCCTTACAAACCATCACGTAATTTTCTTCTTTTCAAAGTTAAATATCATAGAACAGAGTATGGTGATAATAATGTTTTCGAACGTATATGTCGTGAGGCTAATGAAAGTGCACATGATCTAAATTTTTTCGAAAATTCAACTCTACGTTTTACCACTGCCCTGCGCAACTTATTATTTGAATATTACGCAGCGTAATCAAATAATTAATTATTCATTGTAATTAATATTCTTTTTTTTTTTTTTCTTTTTCTTATATTAGTACTTTGTACGAAAGGGCGTTTTATATTTTGTAAGCCCGTTGATACATGAAAATAAAATAAAATAAAATAATAGAATAGTATAATTTTTAGAAGCAAAAAATTGATTTAAAACTGTAAGAGGGACTTAAAATTTTAAAAATAAAATTATAATTATGGTCACTAACTTCCCTTGATTATTTTCGAAAAATTTAAATAAAATTCTTTAAAAAAATTCAATTATTTCTCAAAAAAAGTAAAAAAATTTCAATGATTTGTTTAGAAAAATTCAATTATCTTGAAACAATAGAATTGAAAAATTACAACAATTTTATTTTTTAGATTTAAAAAAAATTTTGCGAAAGTTCAATTTCATTAAACAATTTTAAGTATGTATATTTTTTTAAATTAACTAATAAAAATTTTAATTATTAATCTTCGCAGTAAGAAACATGAATACATTAGAATTTTACTCTTTATAATATTCAATTATTAATCAATTATTAAATTAAAATACTTTGAAAATTCTATTTGTTAAAAAGTTTCTAATGAATTTCTTTAACAAATTTAATTACATATTTTCAGTCGAATTTCACAATATTTCTATTAACTCCATAATTTTTTTAAAATTTATTTACATAATATATTTGAATTGGTAACTGATTTTTTATCATCAAATTAATTATTTTTAAGTAACTTAAATTTAGAGAACAGTATAAATATCTATAAAAATTGAAATAAAAATTGATTTTTTAAAAACAAATTAAAATAATAAAACTTTTTTAATTTTTGTGAAAAAATTCCCGGTTCGGTATAAAATTCCCGGCTAATTCCCGGTTTTTCCCGGTCAAATAAAATTCCCGGTTATTTCCCGGTTTTCCCGGAATTCCCGGTTAGTAGACACCCTGTAAAAATAATTGAATTGTTTCGAAGAATTTTATCTGAATTTTTGAAAATAATTGAATTTTTTGAAGGAATTTTATTAAAAGTTTTGAAAATAATAATTTTTTAAAAAGAATTTCATGAAAATTGTCGAAAATAATTGAATTTATATTAAAATTGTTTAAAATAATCGAATTCAATTAATATTTTTAAAAACAATTGTATTCTTTCGAGAAATTGTATTAAAAATAATTGAATTGATCTAAAGAATTTTATTATTTATGAGAATAATGAAATTCTTGCGAAAAATTGTATTAAAATTTTTCAATAATAATAAACAAGAATATTTAATATTATGTACTTAATAAGTGAATTTTTTAAATTTTGAATCTGTAAGCATTCAAAAATTGATATTTATTCTTGAAAATATAAAATTTTTTAATTTACAAAATAATAATAAATGGAATACTGCGTTCCGCGCGCGTATCAATTGCTAGTGAATTAATAAATTTTCTAATTATTATCTATTTTAAATTCAATAGTCGTCTGAAAATTTGAATTAAGCACTAAATAGCACTTACTTTTTTAGTTATAATAAGAAAATTTATTTTTTAAATAATTAACAATTTAGAATTTTTAATTGAACTGAATAATTTGGAAGGATAGTAATAAATAAAATTCACATAATTTTATTAACCTTATTTATTAAGAGATGTTGGAAAATTTTGTCGAGTAACAATTTAAGCTACAAGAGCACTTGCTGTTGAGCTTTCATACTTCCAACTTGGAGGAAGAACACTCTTCTGTTTGTAATATCGAGCGAGTCTGTGTATTCTGGATTCAACAAGAATAAGACGGAATTTACTGTCCTTATCTTTGCGATTCCTCTCCAAATGTTTGCGAATAGCGACCGCCTTCTTAATTAAATGATAAAGATCCTCAGGGATTTCGGGGGCAAGTCCCAAGGACTTCAAAATACGGAGAATTTTATTTCCAGTACGGAAACGTGCCTGTGCAACCCCATAAGAATCTCGGAGAACCACTCCTTTAACAGAAATAAAAATTATATTTTAATTAAATTCAATTCAATTTTCTTGAGAACAAATAAAAAGAAACTATTAAAAATTATAGCAGTGAAATTTCACTTTAATCTTTTCGATAAATTAGTATGTTTCTTTATTTCATTTCCATAATAAATTAAAAACTAGTTATGAGCTTGTATAATGATAACCTAAAGAGAAAATATTTTTACCAATTTCCTCCTCAAACTTCATTAAATTTAATCTAGCAAGCATTTAGGAAGAGTTAAGACTTTGGTCGAAACTCAGCTGGTAGCTTGCAAATTCTCTCAAGTAAAGGTATTAAAAATACTTTGCAATAATTACCAATTTGTGAAGGTGTATGGCCCTTTTTCGCCAGTTTATAAATAAGATCTTTACAATCTTCTGGTGTAAGTTTTAACCATGTTGCTATACTTCGCCTATATGGCAATGCTGACTGGGAAATACCCTTTCTGAAAAAAGAAATAAATTAATGTAACAATTATAACAAAGATACAAATAGTATTTAATTTAATAGAAAAAAATTACAATATTTAATAGAAAAAGCAATTTACTCATGTGCATTCAACGTCAACTTTTCGAGCACACATAACCAAAAAATGTATAATCACTAACAAAGTTTACTCAACATTTAAAATATGAGAAAATGCAGCTTTTGATACAATTAAATTATAATATCAACATCTACACTCAAAAACATGTTCTATAATTAATAAAAATAAGGTACAAAATTAGAAAAAACACATGGCAAGTGTCGAAAAAAATGGCTTCCATTTTGTAAACGTTGAATGTTTAGAAAATAAAGATAAAAAGCGTATTAACTAATTTACATCCAATTTAGCACTATTAAAATATTAAAAACTAATAATTTTTAAGTTAATAAATATCTTAAATTTAATAAAAAATAAATAATTAGTTACCCGGGTGCGTGCATACGACCCATGGCGACGGATTCTCAACAAAAAAGAAAAAAGCGCTGCTGTCGCTCAAAGTGAGGTTAGGAAATGTCAACATTCTCAGTATTCTTATTTATTAATTGGTTTATAAATAATAATCCTTTCCCTTATCCTTCTTAGTTCTTATTTAGAAATATTATTAAAATTTTTTTACAAAAAAGTCTATCAAATCATTTATAAAATAATGTTTTTCTAAATAAACGCTTCTTGTCGAAAGATTCTACTTTTAAAATTTAGCGCCATAGGTTTATAGAAGCAGCGCCACATACCGGAAATCCGGAAATAATCGGAATTTTTAAAAATAAATTAATAAATTAAAAAAAACATAATTTTTTAAAGAAAATTTAACTTTATATTTGTATCTGTTGCTTTATTCCAATTTCCGTGAATTTTTTAAACAATAAATAATTATTACGCAGGCAATTTTGTTCTTAGACGTCCAATGAAATTTGGACTATCTTGAATGTAAACAAGGCGTACGTGAATTTTCAATAATAATATGAACGAATATTTTACTTAATAAATAATACTTTTGCAGGTAAATTACGGATTAATGTAGAAAAATATTTGTAAGATTTTTACAATTATTTTATAAAATTAAACTTTCCTTTCTGAATTAACAAACAGTATTATTGTTATGATTTTTGCGTTGCTGCCAGGTACCCTCACCAAACGCAACTGCGCTTGCGCTACAAAAATGATCTTGTCACGTCCCAGGTTAGGTACAATTTAATTTTAAGAGAGGGCGAACTTGAATTAATATTAAAATATTAATAAATAAAAATATATATTATATTAATATAATAATATTATATTAATAATATATATATATTATATAATATATATATATATATATATATATATAATATATATATAATTATTATATATTATTATTATTATATTAATATAATATAATATAATTATATTATATATATATATATATATATATATATATATATATATATATATATATATATATATATATATATATATATATATATATATATATATATATATATATATATATATATTATTATATATATTATATATATTATATTAATAATATTATATTATTATTAATATAATATTTATTAATATGCATTATTTATTTAAAAATAGTAATATTGAAGATAAATTCTACAAATATCTTCCTATCACACAATTTTTACATTGTTGGCGTAATTACAAATTTCAAAAGTTAGCGGACAATTCAATCTGCGGACAATTTCAGTTTGTCGCGATATACATCTGCTCCTGCAACGAACTTCACAGTTGTTAAGTGGATTTCTTGCAGAGAATTCAGAAAAAATTTCATTTTTCATGAGAAATATTCAACTTGTAAGTAAATTATATCGAAATGGATGTATTCAACCTGTGAGTATTTAGAAAAACTCAATATTGCATTTATTCATTAAATATTGTATTTATAATTAAAAGTTCGGAAATTCTATGTTGTTTTCTAGGTTATGTCTCTGAGAAATTTATCTCGTGCTCCGGTTCTTTTACAAACTGCCGAATAGGTTCAAGAAAAATCTGAGATTTCCAGTCAGGAACAATTGATTAACGAAGACAAACTTAAGAAACAAGAAAAAAGTTGAGGTTTTATTAATCTTGATAGAACTGTAGAAATACCAGTGGAAACGAGTATAAAATACATTGAAAGCGAAGGTAAATCTTTTCACACTTTTTCGTTGGCTTAATTTTAAAGAAATTGAAATATTTATCCCTTTTTTCTAGACTTTTGTTCACTTTTGTTCAAAAACGTATTTTTCTTTTTAGCCTATAAAACAACATACGGCGATAATCCCATTTGAAAATTGTATAGACGAAATTTTAAAGGTCAATTTGCTCCGAGAAAAACGAGAAAAACTTTGATTTATTTAAATCTCCAATACTTACAATACAAGTTTGATTTATTTAAATCTCCAATACTTACAATACATGTCCGAAAGTAAACCTCCGTCTGATAACCGACCACCCATTGAAAAATTTGATTGCGTTGCATCATCGCCAACAACGTATAATGAATCTTATTAAAAGAAAGTTGAAGAATAAAGAAGAAGAGAAGAAGAAGAAGAAAAACGAAGAAGATGCAAATAGAAAGAAACTAGACGAAGTTTTAAAGAGAAAATTAAAGGAAGAAGAAGAGAAGAAGAAGAAGGAAGAAGAAAAGGAACCTCCTGTGAGTTAATATAACAAAATTTTTAATTTCTTTTTTGACTTTATAATAATAATAATAATTAATTTCTATTATTTTTATCTATCTATAATAATCAATAAATTCACTTTCTGTATATTTTTACTCAAAAAATGAAAAACTTAATCACAAATTTCTTGCTTCTTGGATCGATCAATTTCTTCGGAGCGTAACAAAAATTTTTGTTTGGTTTTTATCATTTTCCTTTATTTTTTTTGCAGATATTAAAAAGAGAAGTAATCGCGGATAAACCAGACGAGTTATTCCAGTTATTTCGAGTATTCCAAAACCGGATGGCGTTGTAAGTTGATCACCACTGCAACAAAATTTCAATTCATGGACCGGTTGATTTCAGATGGAGAAACAATGGCCACAAGCCGGTGTCAAGCATTATACATTTGATCCAGCTAAATAAATAATTCTTAATTTACAGATAAAATAATTAAATAAGCAGAATGAAAATTTGTTAATAATCACTAATTTTTGGTGAAATATGTATATAAATATTCTGCAAAAAATATATAGAAAACGAATATTTAAATTTTTTGTTGTTGTTAAAATTTACCTCTTTTATGCTTCTGTTAAAATTTCACAATTTTCTTTTTATTTCTTCTTAATTCTTTTTAAATAAAAAAACCTAAAAAAAATTATGATTGTAGAAAATTTCTCTTGTCGGTAAATAAGAAAACTGTTTATATACACAAAGAGAATGAGTTAAGTTTTAGTTTTTAGGTTAGCTGTCAAACGAGATAAACACAATTTACTTTATTTCGTTTTCGTCTCACATTTAATTTCCACTGTAAATTTGTGTAAATCGTATACATATAAATATTTTATAACAATTTTATAAATATGAGTGGAAAAAATCAATTACCGGATCTTGATAAAATATTTCGCGAAGAAGATGATGATGGATTTTTACCTTCCGGAAGGTAATTTTTATTAATAATTTTAATAAATCATTTAACGTACCTATTGTATTTAAATACTTTTAATTAGATTTTTGCTTTATTATTTGAAAGATAATAAACAAATTTGAATTGACATAACCTATAAGATTATTTTTTAAAGTTTACAAACGTTTTTAACCGTTTTAAACCTTTTAAACAAGCAAAACGTAAAAATTATTGTACTTAGTTCCAGATTGGCTTCAATATTTGGTATGAACACAAATAATGTAAATACTCAGCCGCAAATTTTTCCAACAAAACAAAAAAATGTTACTCAAGAATCGAAAACCGAAGTTGTTATTGCAAAAGCTGTACACGCTTATAAATTGTAAGTATATAATAATTTTTTACTGTACGATAGAAATTTTATTTATAATTATTATAATTTATTAATATTATTATTTATTTTTATTTATTTTACCTAATTTTTGAAAAACTGCAAGTGAAACGTTAATATTTTTAAATAATTCATCAATATTTATTATGAATAGACAGGACGGAAATTATACATCGATAGGAAAACTTGGCCTCGCTCTACGTGGGAAATGTTTCCACAAAATCGTATCAATTAATACTCTATCAAAGTAAACAAGAGCACATATCCATTGTTTCGATAAATCCCGATTTCTCCTACATTGTGCAGGCAAATAATTATTCTACATATTATGATAATCGAAAGGAAAATTGGTCAATACTTTTTGAAACCAGTAAAGAATGCATCGAGTTTGCAAGAGAAATTGGCGTCTCACGATATCTTTCACGTCGTGAAAAGACGAATAATTCTTTAATTTATCAGGATTTAAATGCAGTGAACGAAAAGGGAGAAAAGGCAAAAGAGGGGGATGAAATTTCCCTAAAATACATTATTACCACAGAAATAATTCAACCATTAAAAAATAATTCAACCGCGGAATTGTCAATGACAGTGGAAATTTCCACCGATGATAATTGGGAAAGAATATTGTTGGGAACGATGAAAAATTTGAGACGAATGCTAATATTACCGCCGAGTAAGCAGGTAATTATTAAATTTTTATAATTTTTTTTTACTCTTCAAGGATTGGCACAGGTCAGGGAAAAGTCAAAAAAAATTCAACTTTTAGAATTCATAAGAAAATTCTAAATTTATGAAAAAATAAATTTCTTCTATTTCTGACAATAATTTATTTTAAATAACTTAATTCTATTTAAAAAAACTGCCATAAAATTATTACTTATAAATCATTTTAATGAAATATTTTTTTGACAAATTTTAATTTCAATTCTGTTTGAAATTAGTTTCAATTTTAAAAATTTTAATATACAATTCTTCGAAAGAATTCAACTATCTCAATGAATATTAAAATTCTTTACAGAAATTAAATTATTTTCAAAAAAAAATTCTCGTCAACATTTTAATTATTTTTATAAAATGCAAAAATTCTTCACCAAAATTCAATTATATTCAGGAATTTTTATAAAATTCATTGTAAATTTCAATTATTTTCATAAATAAAAATATTCAACTCAAGAATTCAATTATTTTCAAAATTAAAAAAATTCTTCGCAGAAATTCAATTATTTTAGAAAAAAAACTAAATAAAGATTTTCGTCAACATTCCCAATTATCTTTATAAATAAAAAGAAAAATACAATTATTTTCAGGAATTGCAAAATTTCAATTATTTTCAAAAACTTTAATAAAATACTTCGCAAAATTTCAATTCTTTTCAAAAATTTTTCTTAATTCAATAATTTGTATATCAATTATTTTAATGAAATTTTCTAAAATAATGAAACTTTCACAAGAATTCAATTATAAAAAATAGAATTTGCATGAATTTTTTGAAAATTCTTCGCAGTAATTCAATTCTAATAATTTTTAGAGTGAATCAGAATATTCTTTAGGGTCAGGGAAAATGAAAATTAAATTTTTATGGCAACCCCGTCTTCCCATAATTACATTTTTTCCATTATAATTTTTAGATTAGTCTCGGTCCTGGATTTCCCAAGGAAAGAGACATCGTTCTCGAAATAGAAATAATAAATATTCAGAGGGCAAAGGAAATGAAAATTCCCGAAGCAGAAAGTTAAATTTCGTCAAGTAAGGCTTCGATAATATCGAGAATGGCAAAAATGGGACAATCTATTCTTCCAAAAACTTCCATATCGACGACTACCGATTCAGATGACACTGAGGTTTATACATTTTCATTAAATTTAATTATTAAAATCACAGCTTTTTTTCAAATTACTTTTTTCAAAATTTCTAAATGTAAATTAAATTTAAAAATAAATCATTTTTGTCAATTTTTAGGATGAGATAAAAAAAGAACGAACAATACGACACAGAAAGGTGAGATGAGAAGAATTTTCTCAAAACAGAAAAAATAGAAACACTAAATTTCAAAAGACGTGAATTAAAATTAAAAATATCAGTAATTATGATTAATAAATATTAATTGTGATTTTTAAACTAAAAAATTTATTAAAAATTTATTGTTAGGGAGAATTGCCAGAGACAAGTCCATCGAAAAAGCAATTTCAATCTAGTCACGAAATTACAGAAACTGGTAATCTTCACAAAGTTATTAAATCAAAAGTGACTTCATCGGTTCCTAATGTACAATCGTCATTGTATCCAGTCGTTTACACTCCACAATGGTCACCAACTCAAGTGCAGGTAAAATTGAAAAAAAATTAAAATATTAAATTAAATTAAATTAAAATATTAAATTAAATTAAATTAAATTAAATAGAAAATTAAATTAAAATTTGAATTTTTTTTTATCAAAAATGAATTAATTTCAATAATTTCTAGTCACAATATATGACGTTTGACGGTCAAACTTTTCCCATGGCACAACAATTCGTCACTCAAACAATGCCTGGAACATTAGATCCAAGTTTAAATATATTTTTAACTGAGTCAAGAACACAAAATGCCGAGATTCGAATGGGAATGTCAAAAATATCCGACAATATTCAACGATTATTGGATAAAGTAATTTTATTTTCAAAAATACCATTTTATTAATTAGTAAATCAATACCAATTCTCAACTTCATTGATTTTAGTTTCACGTCTTGGAACTTCAAAACGCTTCGTCACCGAGCAATGATAAAACAATGGAGAACACGTTGAAAATGATTCTCTCATTGAATTCACCAGAAACGAAAAATAATTCAATTATTACTTCTGGTAAACTTGAGGAAAGTAATAAAAGTCAATTGAATCAATTGCAAGAGAATATTTTAACCAAAGAAGAGGAACTGAAGACAATAAGAGGTATTTAGGAAAATATTGGATAGTGCTAATAATAATAATAATAATAATAATAATAATAATAATAATAATAATAATAATTTTAATAATAATTAATAATACCTAAGAATTAATAATACTATTGTAAAATTATTTTCAGAAATATCAAATAATGCCAACCAGGAAATAACGAAACTGAAAGAAGAAAAAAGGAGTTTAGATCAAGTGAATCTGTAACTAAAGGAGAAAATATTAAGTTTAGAAACGAATCTAGCAACGAAGAAACAAGAGTTCGATAATTTAAATACACTTCATGAAGCTGCCAGGGAAAATTTGAATGATTCTCAAAAGAGAAATTCCAATCTAGAGAGGGAAATTTTACAACTTCAATCTAATTGCAAATCTTTAGAAATTGCTGCAAGTACAAATCAAATGAAATCCACTTCTGTAAGTTTTCTCATTTTATTTTAAGAAAATAAAAATAAACACTATTAATTTACAATTACGTTTTTCTTTTCAGAAAAGTGATAAAAATAAAGAAGTGAAATTGATCATGAATAATACGTACCACACATTACTGTCAAAATTCATAGAAGACAATTATTCAACTAGTTTTATAAAAGAAACGATTGCTAACACGTTGAGGGTAAGAAATATTCAAAATACGTATAGAAAATTAATATTTTCATTGCCATTATTTTCAATTGACATTATTTTCATTTGCCACTATTTTTAATTGACATTATTTTCAATTGACATTATTTTTATTTAACTTTTTTCATTTGACTTTTTAATTGACATTATTTTCAATTACCATTTTTTTTATTTGCCATTAATTTTCAATTACCATTATTTTCATTTTCTAAACAATTCAATTATTTTTTTAAATATTAAAATCTTTACAAAAATTCAATTATTTTCAAAACATTTTTAATTGAATTCCTTGAAAGAATTCAATTTTTAAAACAAATTTTAACACATTTCGAAAGAATTCAATTTTTTTCTGAAATTTTAATAAATTCTTAGAAAAAATTCAATTATTTTTATAAATAGTAAAATTCTTGGCAAGAATTCAATTAATTTTATAAATATTAAAATTCTATATAACAATTAAATCACTTTCAAGGCAATTTATAAATATATTCGTCAAAAAAATTGAAGGAATTCAATTATTTTGAAAAAATAATAAAATTCTTGTGATGAATATTCAATTATTTTCGAAACAACTTTAATTGAATTTCTCGAAAAAATTTAATTATTTTTGCAAAGATTTTACAATTTATAAAAATAATTAATTTGTTTCAAAGGATTTATTAAAATTTTAGAAAATAATTGAATTTTTCTTTAAAATAATAATAAAATTCTTTTTAAAAATTGAATACATTTATAAAATTAATTTTATTAATATTGTATTAAAAACGATAAAATATTACAATTTCAGAAAATATAAAATTTCCATAAAATTCAATTTCAACAAGAATTTAAAATTCTCTAAAAATAATTCAATTATTCTCAAAATATTTTTAAAAAATTCGATATAGAAATTAAATTATTTTCAAGGCAATTTTTAAATATATTCGTCAAAAAAATTGAAAGAATTCAATTCTTTTCAAAAAAATAATAAAATTCTTAAAAGAAATTTAATAATTTTTGAAATAACTTTAATTGAATTTCTCGAAAAAATTTCATTATTTTCAAATATTTCTATAAAATTCTTCATAACAATTTATTCATTTCTTTAAATTTTAATAAATTCTTTGAAACATTTCAATTATATTTTTATAAATAGTACAATTCTTTGCAGAAATTCAATTCTTTTCAAAACAATTTTAATAGAATTCCTCGAAAGAATTTAAATTTTCAAATATTAACAAAAAATTAATTTATTTTCTAAAATTTTAATAAATTCTTCGAAACATTTCAATTATTTTTATAAATAGTATAATTCTTTGCAGAAATCCAATTATTTTCAATACAATTTTAATAAAATTCTTCTTCATAAAATCCAATTGCTATTTTAATTAATTTTAAATTTTCAATTAAAATTATTAAAAAAGCTTCATTAGTTTAAAAAAAATTCAAAGAAATTCTTCAAAAGAATTCAATTAGTTTTTTTTAAATTTTAATAAAATTCTCTGCGAAAATTTAGTTATTTTTCTAAATAATAAAATTCACTGCGAGAATTCAGTTATTTTTCTGAATAATAAAATTCTTTGAAATAATTTTTAATTATCAAATTTTTTGATAAAATTCTTTGCAACAATTCGATGATTTTCAATGCATTAATTTTAAAATTGAAAATATTTGAAAAGAAAAATTATAAAAAAGTTTAGAAAGAAAAAAGTAAAGAATTAATTTATTAATATTATTATTAATTATTATTGAATTAATAATAATTTTAATAAAATTTATAATTTTTTAAAAACAGGACATAACTTTAAAAGTACTGAATAGCGATGAATGTGAGGAAGAATCGAGTGATAAAAGAAAATGCATGAGAAAAATAGTCAATTACAGGAAACAGAGAGATTATCATCATCATCATCATCTTTAAAAGAAGACAACGAAGACACGAAAAACGATTTCAAATTAAATTCCGAGACGAATTTGAATAATTTTATTCAGGTAATTATTTGTTAAATAATTTTTTTCATTTTCATTGTATTCTAATACATTTCTATCAGATTTCTATATTGTAGATTGCTCCGGAATTTGAAAATGTACCACCGCCAATTCCACCACTGGATTCTAGTAATGAAGCCGATTTGAGCGATTTTTAACGTTGATATATGAGAAAATCGAGAAAAAAATTAATAAAAGAAGCTTTATATGTGATTTGTATAATTGAATAATAAACAAAATGTTTATATTCTTCTAAACACGAAACATAAACAATTTTTATTCTCAAAAAATAATCACGCACAAAATGTTCTTTAAGTAATTGAAAAATAAAATTAACTTAATATGAAAAATTCGAAATGCATTCGAAAGACAAAAAAAAAAAAAGAGAAGGTAACTTGAACTAAAAACACCAGAGAGATAAAGAAAAAAAAAATAAAAAAATATTCAAAATGAAAATGAATTTTTAATTTTATTGCATGTTTATTGCTTGTTTTCCATTACGAAGAATTAATATTAACTGCGCACGTTTCTCTTTCAGCAAGCCTTTTTACTCTTCAAAGTATATAAAAGAAATCCTTTTCTCCACCACATCCTTATCACACGGTTTGAAAAAATTGACTTTTAATCATATTTTTCTACGAATAAAAGAAACAAAAGAAGAATCCAACTTCTCATTTCTTTTCCCCCACGATTCAATGAGACAAAAATTATTATCCAATTCTTTTCCTAGAAAACAATTAAAATAATTTACTAAATGTAATAATAAATTAGAATAAATAAAAATTATCAATAAATCTGTAATTGGAGTACTAATTTTTCATTCACTATGTAAATTAATGTGAGAACGTAAATTTGAAGACATCTTTATTTCTCAATCTTCCGACATTGATTAATTGCGCACTCTTGTCAGTTACAAATTCCCATCGTTAAATACTTGAACCTATAAACAAAATAAATAACAATTAATCAAAATAGAGAAACTAAAAATTATATTAAGTATGTTTTCTTAGAGTAAAAAAAAATTTTTTCTTACTCGTAATTTCTTTGTCAACATTTTCTATTCTTCTAAGGTTAATTTTAAATTTAAAAAAAAATTTTCAATAAAACAATGTTTCCATGAGAAGCCTACATATAGAGTTAAAAATAAGAGAAAAAAATATACCTATTTATTACTATAAACAATAATTAAACATTAAAACTAACCTCAAAATAAAATTCCAAGACAATATTTATCCTAATTAATTTTCCGAACTGGTGTCGCTCGTTCCCTTATGGTATGTGTCAAATTTATTATGACTTGACGTATGGTTGGAATTTTTAACCTAAAAAATAAAAACAATTTCAATATACCTTTAATATTAATTTGTGTGATTATCAAGATTTATATTGATAAACATAAATTTCAATAAATTTTTTTTTAATATTGTTATTTATAATTAATAAATTAATTATTTGTTATTTACTATATGTTATTATATATATTTATAATATTAAAAGTAAAACTAAAACTAACCTCAATGCACAATTTAATTTTCTTCTTCTTCTTACTGTCATATTTTGCACCTATAATTTAAACCTGAAAAAAAAATTAATTCGCATTAAAATAATTAAACTATTTATTTACTTATTTATTTATTCATTAAAAAACAATACTTATCTTAATTAATTATACAACACGTTTGTATATTCCATTCTGCACAGATTATCGTAAACAAAACAAAACTGCTTTACCAACAAATTCTTTATTTTGAAATTTGACACAACTATAGGTAATTTCACTTTCTGCATTATCGACTCGTGGTACGAGTTACCGAAAATATGCTTGAAATAGTTTGTACATCACCACGGCGCTAGTAGTACAAGCGCGCACTGGTGGGGACGCTCGAAGTGGTGGGGACACGGGTATATAAGCAGGCGCCCGAGACGAGACTGGCACTTCATGCTCAACTGTGTTACAGGTATGCAATAGTACCAAAGCCTTGTTAAGGCAGACGAACTTAAGCTGTATTACAGCAAAGCCTTGTTAAGGCAGACGAACTTAAGCTGTATTACAGCAAAGCCTTATTAAGGCAAACGGACGTAAAGCTGTATTACAGCAAAGCCTTATTAAGGCAAACGGACGTAAAGCTGTATTACAGCAAAGCCTTATTAAGGCAAACGGACGTAAAGCTGTATTACAGCAAAGCCTTTTTAAGGCAGACGGACGTAAAGCTGTATTACAGCAAAGCCTTTTTAAGGCAGACGGACGTAAAGCTGTATTACAGCAAAGCCTTTTTAAGGCAGACGGGCGTAAAGCTGTATTACAGCAAAGCCTTTTTAAGGCAGACGGACGTAAAGCTGTATTACAGCAAAGCCTTTTTAAGGCAGACGGACGTAAAGCTGTATTACAGCAAAGCCTTTTTAAGGCAGACGGGCGTAAAGCTGTATTACAGCAAAGCCTTATTAAGGCAGACGGACGTAAAGCTGTATTACGGCAAAGCCTTATTAAGGCAAACGGACGTAAAGCTGTATTACAGCAAAGCCTTTTTAAGGCAGACGGACGTAAAGCTGTATTACAGCAAAGCCTTTTTAAGGCAGACGGACGTAAAGCTGTATTACAGCAAAGCCTTTTTAAGGCAGACGGGCGTAAAGCTGTATTACAGCAAAGCCTTATTAAGGCAGACGGACGTAAAGCTGTATTACAGCAAAGCCTTATTAAGGCAGACGGGTGTAAAGCTGTATTACAGCAAAGCCTTTTTAAGGCAGACGGACGTAAAGCTGTATTACAGCAGAGCCTTTTTAAGGCAGACGGACGTAAAGCTGTATTACAGCAAAGCCTTTTTAAGGCAGACGGACGTAAAGCTGTATTACAGCAAAGCCTTACCCTGCTGGAAGTAAATAGATAGAAACCTTTTCTCTTTTAATCCCTTTCTATTGCTAATATAGAAAGAGATATGAATAATGTATAACTTTTAATCTCCTACCTATACTTCTTTATGCCTTTCTATTCCTACCTTTATCAACTTGTTCGCTATTTCTTTTAATCATCTTTTTTGAATAACTTTTAATAGCCATTTTAAACCCTTCTATCTCTTTTTATATACAATCTTATTACAACTTTTTGTTATCCCTTTCAATCACCTTTTCTCTATTACTTTTAAAATCCTGTCTATTTCCTTGTATCTCTTTCAATGTTAGACCTTATAGACACTATTCTTTATACCTATTAATAACCTATTCTCAATACCTTTTAATAACCTGTCTATAAACTTCTATCTCTTTTTATGACAGAAGTTCTTGATACTTTTCTTTCTCCACATTTATAACCTATTCTTAATAACTATTGATATCCTATTTATACCCTTCCATCGCTTTTTATGTAGGATCTTATTAACACTTATTTATTACCATTATTCCCATTATTGAGATAGAAAAAGATAGAAATGCGAGACTGCAAAACTATAAACCTTTTTTATTTCTTTTTATCATTCTTCTTTTCCGAATGTTATTCTTTTAATCTTCTTTCAATCCCATATTCTATCTCCTATTACTTTATTTAGAAGAGATAGGGATAGTTAAGAATATGGGGATTTGAGGAGATATAATAAGATTATCTCTTCTAATCTACTATAGTATATCCCTTTCTATATACATACTCATAAACTTATACGCGCATGCGTCGATCTTCCCAGCTGTTATGTGTCATGGCGTCGGGTCAGTAGATCCGTAGATCAGAAAGCGTGTGTTATGCACTGTGCGATTGTACGTTTTTGTTTGAGTTTATAACTTCCATATTTTTATAGTTTATTGTAAATATATTTAACCAATAAATGTTTATCAGTAATAGACAACCAAAATTAGTTTTAAACTCACAAAGCATCGAAACTTTTCTAAAAATGTATTAAAGATTTACTTGCAAATTTTTTATAGTTAATCGTAATGAATTAAAACAACACGCCGATTAAGAAACTCAATTAACAACAATAGAGAAAGTTTTTAATTGAAATTAATCGATTTCTTCTATAAGGGGTATCTCCTTTTTTACTTTCCTTTGGATTAGAAAGGATGTGAAAATGGATAGAGGAAGACAGAAATGTATGAATAGAAAGAGATTAAAAAGTTCTATCTTCTTTAATTCACCACTTTGCATCCCCAATTTTTTATCTCTTTCTATATATTTTTTTCCTATATATTTCTATATCTAAAACTGTATATAAAGAGATTAGAAGGGATAAAAAGATATATAAATATAAAGTTATAGAAAGAGATAAAAAAATTGTATCTCTTTTAAGTATCCATTTTGCATCTCCAAACTATTATATTTTCTAATCTTTTTTTATCCCCTTTTTTTAATCTCTTTGTATCTCTTTACTTCCAGCAGGGTATTAAGGCAAAACGGACGTAAAGCTGTATTACAGCAAAGCCTTTTTAAGGCAGACGGACGTAAAGCTGTATTACAGCAAAGCCTTATTAAGGCAGACGGACGTAAAGCTGTATTACAGCAAAGCCTTTTTAAGGCAGACGGACGTAAAGCTGTATTACGGCAAAGCCTTATTAAGGCAAAACGGACGTTTTTTTTATTCGACAGTTTATTAAATAATCGTTGATAAAATAAGTCCCCGAGTGCAGTCCCATGGCATCGTTATTTGCTTTGCTTTTTGTAACTTGACTATTAAAAGAATTAATTTTAGAAACTTTATAAATTATTTATTCTCTACATTATATTATGCAGACTTTTTTCAAATTTCTATCAAAACTATAATTATTTTAATGAAAATTTTGTTAAATAATTCATCTTTTTGAAAATGATTTTCTCAAATAATTGATTATTTTCTAATTTCAAGACAATATAATTGAATTTCAAAGATTTTTTTTAAACTACTAATTGAATTTCGTTTTAAAGAATTTTATTATAATTTTTGTAAATAGTTGCTTGATCTCTAATAATTTGTGAATTTAATGTAATGGAAATTCTAAAATATATATATATATATATATATTAACACAAGTAGTAGCTTGTAGTTGCTAAAATTTTAAAAAAATACCCAAATAGCCTAATTACAAAACCCAACGCAAAACGATGCTATTAGATTGCACCCTTATTATTTTGTCTTTTTAACAAATTTTTTTTTACAGAAATTCATGTACCAGTATCTACTGTATTGACATAATGAAGAGAAAACAACAATTGAGTTTAAAATGTTTGTGTTTAAAAGTTGTTTTTTGAAAAAATTTTATTTACATTTAAAATTAATAATTGTAATTTATTTGTTTATTCTTTATTTTTTCAGCAACAAATGAATCTCGTGAAGGACATTCTACCAGATTTTTCTACGGTAACTTACAGACACAAAAATCTGACGAAAATTTGACATTTTCTTCATCGTCATCAACTCCAAAGACAGAAGAGGCAGAACATCGAAAAGCAGAGAAGAAAACTTTTCGCTCGAGTGGAATATTCAGATTAAAATGTAAGTTTTTTAAAATTATTTTCTTCAAGTATTTGATTTAAATTGAGGAATTTTTAAATTTTAATTCTTTTGTTTCTTTTTAATTTTCAGCACCAACTAGATCTCGCGAAGAAATGTCTACCAGTTCAATTGGAAAGACTGAAAATGTGAAAGCTGGAATTCCGGAGAAACAATCTTTTACTTCCAGTGAAAGATTGAGTTTAAAATGTTAGTGTTTAACAGATGTATTTTAAAAATATTTTTATTTATATGTAAAGTTAACAATTGTAATTTATTTGTTTATTCTCTATTTTTTCAGCAACAAATGAATCTCGTGAAGGACATTCAACCAGATTCTTCTACGGAAACTCACAGACAAAAAAATCTGACGAAAATTTGACAGTTTCTCAATCACCAACAACTTCAATGACTGAGCAGGCTGAACCTCGAAAAGCAGAAAAGAAAACTTTTCGCTCGAGTGGAATATTCAGATTAAAATGTAAGTTTTTTAAAATTATTTTCTTCAAGTATTTGATTTAAATTGAGGAATTTTAAAATTTTAATTCTTTTGTTTCTTTTTAATTTTCAGCACCAACTAGATCTCGCGAAGAAATGTCTACCAGTTCAATTGGAAAGACTGAAAATGTGAAAGCTGGAATTCCGGAGAAACAATCTTTTACTTCCAGTGAAAGATTGAGTTTAAAATGTTAGTGTTTAACAGATGTATTTTAAAAATATTTTTATTTATATGTAAAGTTAACAATTGTAATTTATTTGTTTATTCTCTATTTTTTCAGCAACAAATGAATCTCGTGAAGGACATTCAACCAGATTCTTCTACGGAAACTCACAGACAAAAAAATCTGACGAAAATTTGACATTTTCTTCATCGTCATCAACTCCAAAGACTGAGCAGGCTGAACCTCGAAAAGCAGAGAAGAAAACTTTTCGCTCGAGTGGAATATTCAGATTAAAATGTAATTAAAATTATTTTCTTCAAGTATTTGATTAAAATTGAGGAATTTTTAAATTTTAATTCTTTTGTTTCTTTTTAATTTTCAGCACCAACTAGATCTCGCGAAGAAATGTCTAACAGTTCAATTGGAAAGACTGAAAATGTGAAAGCTGGAATTCCGGAGAAACAATCTTTTACTTCCAGTGAAAGATTAAGTTTAAAATGTTAGTGTTTAACAGATGTATTTTAAAAATATTTTTATTTATATGTAAAGTTAACAATTGTAATTTATTTGTTTATTCTCTATTTTTTCAGCAACAAATGAATCTCGTGAAGGACATTCTACTAGATTCTTCTACGGAAACTCACAGACACAAAAATCTGACGAAAATTTGACATTTTCTTCATCGTCATCAAATCCAAAGACTGTGCAGGCTGAACCTCGAAAAGCAGAGAAGAAAACTTTTCGCTCGAGTGGAATATTCAGATTAAAATGTAAGTTTTTTAAAATTATTTTCTTCAAGTATTTGATTTAAATTGAGGAATTTTTTAATTTTAATTCTTTTGTTTCTTTTTAATTTTCAGCACCAACTAGATCTCGCGAAGAAATGTCTAACAGTTCAATTGGAAAGACTGAAAATGTGAAAGCTGGAATTCCGGAGAAACAATCTTTTACTTTCAGTGAAAGATTGAGTTTAAAATGTTAGTGTTTAACAGATGTATTTTAAAAATATTTGTATTTACATGTAAAGTTAGCAATTTTAATTTATTTGTTTATTCTCTATTTTTTCAGCAACAAATGAATCTCGTGAAGGACATTCTACTAGATTCTTCTACGGAAACTCACAGACACAAAAATCTGACGAAAATTTGACATTTTCTTCATCGTCATCAACTCCAAAGACTGTGCAGGCTGAACCTCGAAAAGCAGAGAAGAAAACTTTTCGCTCGAGTGGAATATTCAGATTAAAATGTAAGTTTTTTAAAATTATTTTCTTCAAGTATTTGATTTAAATTAAAAAATTATTATTTTTTATTTATTTGATTCCTTCTTTTCATTTTTCAGCACCAACCAGATCTCGCGAAGAAGTGTGTGTCAGTTCGATTGGAAAGACTGAAGATCTAAAATCTGGAATTCCGGAGAAACAATTTTTCTCTTGTAGTGAAAGATTGAGTTTAAAATGTAAGTTTTTTAAAATTATTTTCTTCTAGTATTTCATAGTCAAAGATTAAGTTTGAAATGTAAGTTTTTAATAATTAACCAAGGAAAAAATGATTCGTACGATGAATCATTTTCACCTGGGTACATTTTAAAAATATTTTATTAAAATAACAATTTAAAAATTTTAATTTATTTAATTCCTTTTTTTCTTTTTCAGTACCAAGTGATTCTCCTGAAAAGCTGTCACCGTGTTCAGTTAACCGTGTACCAACAGAAACATCATTATCATTATCGTCATCAACTGGACCTGATTTAAAAATCACTTCTTCAAAAGTAGAGAAATCGAAAAAGCAAGAAGCTAAATTTTCCCATTCAACATCAACTTCAAAAAGAGATGGTAAAATTTTGTATTCTTTTTTCTTCTTTTATATTTTCTTAATCTCTCTCAATATAAAATTAATAAAATTTTCATTTCTTCCAATTATAGGTGTTGACTCATCAATTGAAAGTGGTGCTGGCCCCTCTTCAAAACGAAAGAAATACAGTGTCGAGAAATCTACAATTGGTGTTTCTTCAAACAGAAAAAGAAAGTCAATTACTTTGGATAATGAAAATATTGATAAACCGTTGCATCATAAAGTGAGAAGAAGATTGGAATTAATGGGAACAGAAAAGCATACGGTAAAAGTTTGTTTGGGAAAATTATGTAAATCAGCAAACATTAAAAATCGAATTGAAGAAGATGCAAAGGTTGTTTCATCAATGATGTATGAGGCAACAACAATGGCATTATTCGGCCTATATGAAGAAACGAATGTTGAAAATGTTGAAAATTGCCCATCATTGTTGGAGAAATGGACCAACAATGGTCCCGACTTTCTGTCATTTTTAATATCATTAAAGCAGAAAGTAAATGCTCAACGTAAAGTAACTGAACAGGATGCGAAAATAAATACAATGGTCAACGAATATAAAGAATTAAGGAATGACATTCCACTTTATGACGGAGAACATAGAACGGCAATAATTCAGGAGGCAGCTTTAGTGTTGAATCGAAACTTTAAAACAAATTTCACGACGCATGCAGCATCACGATTAAGAAGATATTTGCAGCTATTAATGGAAATTGAAGACGAAGAAAAAAATCATATGGAAGTAGATGAAATTCAAGAAATTTGTTCAGTTTACCATATCGAAAATGATAATGATGAAAAAATAAAAATTAGGAGTTTTAAAAATAGCATTAAAAATGAACAAAGAAAAGAATTTCAAAAATCTCGAAAACAATTTCCAGATGAAATGCGAGAAAAAAAAACATCAGACTACTGCGATGAAAGATATGTTCGACAGGAAAAATATCTCAAACATTGCGATAAAGTCTATTATAAAAAAAGGCCAAGAAGGCGAAGAAAAAAATCGAAAAAGGAAAAAGAAGAAGAAAAAGAGAAGAATAAGGAAAAAGAAGAAGAAAAAGAGAAGAATAAGGAAGAAGAAGAAGAAAAAGAGAAGAATAAGGAAAAAAAGAAATTTCGAAAAAGAAGGCCTTCATTTTATAAACAATCTGTTGCTGCTTTAAATCTCCTGCTGCAAAAAAATGAATGTCAAGTGAAAGGATTCCCTACTGATTTACTACTGAAAAAGGGTGATAATGATAGAAGAAAATTGGACTTTACAAAATTGACAAAAGATGAAGAATGGCATAAATTTTTGCCATTTTTCATTATGATTCAACAAGAATTTCATGATAAAAAGAAGAAGAATTTCACGTTAATTCCACAAATTTCATTAGGCGTGAAGCATGTGGTTTATACAAATACTGCTTTAAAAGAATTGCAAACGGCAACTGTTATTCAAGAAATTAAAGAAAAAAAGGCAATTTTACAAAAAAAGAAAAGAAAATCAGGAACGAATAAGGATCATCTTCAAAGAGCAGTTGATAAGATGGACGATGAAATGAAGCGCTTAAGAGAAATGAACAATGAAGAAAGGTGGAATTCAATGTTCAACTTTAAATCAATCCAAAGAGGTCGAAAAAAATTAAAGAATGGTGGTAAATTTTCTGGTACAATAACGACAAATGGTGTGGACGTGTCAGTAATTTTTGATTTACCCACAAAACATGATGTTGTGCAATCAAAGAAGAAAGTTGGAAGTTACAAAAAATTTTGTGGTTTTGATCCTGGTGCGAGGGCGACTCTGGCTGGCGTCAGTAGGGAAAACGATCCTAATCCAACCACTAATGTAAAAAAGGATTCAGCTATTTACATTGGTAGTTGGATGATGAGATGGCAGATGGGCGACTACAGAAGAAGAGAATTAATGAAGAAAAAAGGTATAGACATGCAAAAATATTACAAGCAACTTGCTGAGGATCCATTGATGGAAAATTTTTGCATGACTAATCCTCGAGATCGCCATCGCATAACAAAATATAGAATACATCTTTTACAAAATTTCCAATCACTTCATCAAAAAAGATCCGTAACGCGTTTACGAATTGATCGATATTCAGCACAAAAGCGACAAGTTGATCAACTTGTGAATTGGATAGTAGGTGATACAAAGAAGAAACCCTGTTTCGTTGCTATCCCTGCTGGAAGTAAAGAGATACAAAGAGATTAAAAAAAGGGGATAAAAAAAGATTAGAAAATATAATAGTTTGGAGATGCAAAATGGATACTTAAAAGAGATACAATTTTTTTATCTCTTTCTATAACTTTATATTTATATATCTTTTTATCCCTTCTAATCTCTTTATATACAGTTTTAGATATAGAAATATATAGAAAAAAATATATAGAAAGAGATAAAAAATTGGGGATGCAAAGTGGTGAATTAAAGAAGATAGAACTTTTCAATCTCTTTCTTTTCATACATTTCTGTCTTCCTCTATCCATTTTCACATCCTTTCTAATCCAAAGGAAAGTAAAAAAGGAGATACCCCTTATAGAAGAAATCGATTAATTTCAATTAAAAACTTTCTCTATTGTTGTTAATTGAGTTTCTTAATCGTGTTGTTTTAATTCATTACGATTAACTATAAAAAATTTGCAAGTAAATCTTTAATACATTTTTAGAAAAGTTTCGATGCTTTGTGAGTTTAAAACTAATTTTGGTTGTCTATTACTGATAAACATTTATTGGTTAAATATATTTACAATAAACTATAAAAATATGGAAGTTATAAACTCAAACAAAAACGTACAATCGCACAGTGCATAACACACGCTTTCTGATCTACGGATCTACTGACCCGACGCCATGACACATAACAGCTGGGAAGATCGACGCATGCGCGTATAAGTTTATGAGTATGTATATAGAAAGGGATATACTACAGTAGATTAGAAGAGATAATCTTATTATATCTCCTCAAATCCCCATATTCTTAACTATCCCTATCTCTTCTAAATAAAGTAATAGGAGATAGAATATGGGATTGAAAGAAGATTAAAAGAATAACATTCGGAAAAGAAGAATGATAAAAAGGAATAAAAAAGGTTTATAGTTTTGCAGTCTCGCATTTCTATCTTTTTCTATCTCAATAATGGGAATAATGGTAATAAATAAGTGTTAATAAGATCCTACATAAAAAGCGATGGAAGGGTATAAATAGGATATCAATAGTTATTAAGAAAAGGTTATAAATGTGGAGAAAGAAGAGTATCGAGAACTTCTGTCATAAAAAGAGATAGAAGTTTATAGACAGGTTATTAAAAGGTATTGAGAATAGGTTATTAATAGGTATAAAGAATAGTGTCTATAAGGTCTAACATTGAAAGAGATACAAGGAAATAGACAGGATTTTAAAAGTAATAGAGAAAAGGTGATTGAAAGAAATAACAAAAAGTTGTAATAAGATTGTATATAAAAAGAGATAGAAGGGTTTAAAATGGCTATTAAAAGTTATTCAAAAAAGGTGATTAAAAGAAATAGCAAACAAGTTGATAAAGGTAGGAATAGAAAGGCATAAAGAAGTATAGGTAAGAGATTAAAAGTTATACATTATTCATATCTCTTTCTATATTAGCAATAGAAAGGGATTAAAAGAGAAAAGGTTTCTATCTATTTACTTCCAGCAGGGATTGGTGGAGCTGAAATACCTAATTTTATCAAGGGATACACTAAAGCTCCTTTGAAACGTATTCAACAAACTCTTTTTCAAAGATCAGAAGAATTAGGAAAGGATAAATTGCAAGTCGTGAAAGTAAATGAGTTTAATACAACAAAAATGTGTAGTCGCTGTGTGAGACCACTTAAAATATCCAAGAGTCCCCATCGATACACTTATTGTGCGAAATGCAAAACAACGTGGGAAAGAGACGTAAATGCAGGGCGTAATATTCTTAATCTTGCACTTGTTCAAGAGAAAATCATACCAAAGGATTCCATAAAAAATCACCATCTATTTCGGATAAAAAATGATGACATTGAACATGAGGCTGCAGAATTGCAGAAATAATTTTTCCCATCACTTTCAACATTCATTTTTAAATGTAAGTTTTTAAAATTTATAGTTAAAAAATAGTTTTTTTTATGAAAAATATTAAAAAATTTAATTAATTTGTAATTATTTTCTCTTTTTCAGCACTAAGTAAATCTCTTAAAGGACAATGAAAAGGAGGAACCTCGACAACCGGAAATACAAATTTCTACGATGGACAATATACTGCTTAATTGCGGAAATAATTTAACAAAACATTATTCGGTCCTGGTGGTGATGGCTTTTTGCCATTGTACATACCGGGAGATCTCTTATGAGATCCGAACCAGCCTGTAAAAAGGCATACCAGGTTTTTTAAGAAATTAAAAAACATGCTACTTCTTTTATTGATTATTGTTTGAATTTTTCAAATTTTTTATAAAAACAAAAGCACATTTGTGTTTTTTTTTATAAATTAAAATAATCAATAATAGGAGGGGAGGTAATTTTGTAAAAGACATTTATTTCTTTAAATTTAAATCATTTTTCTCTTTTTTACTTATAATTTAGTTTCAGTTTAACGGTGTAATTTTTAAAATTTTAATTTTTTCAAAACATTTTAACTTGATTCAACATTTCACTTTAATTTTAAACTTTTTTTTTAACAATTTCAATTTCTCCTTTTACAAAATTACCTTCTAATCAGAAGTACCCTTACCAAATCAACTTAGCTTGCACTACAAAAATGATCTTATTGGCGAAATGAACCGCGCATTTTTAAAACGTTTTATATTTAAACATATAAAGTACTTTAGATGGACAAGTTTTATTCTACAAATAGAAGCATTTTTGTCGCGCAAGCGCAGTTGCGTTTGGTGAGGGTACCTGGCAGCTCTGGTAAGCATGTAGTAGGGATGAGAGGTGTATGAGAGAGTAGCGAGAATTACCAGGATATACAGAATGTAATCAGGAATTACTAAGTGCGTCAGGCAATGTCGAGAGTCGCGTCTAACCTCTAAATTATATTATCTTCGTTATTAATTTAATAAATTGTTATTGTTTATAAATCTGGAGTTATATTGTTTATAATTGACTTTATTAAGAAACACGTATTTAGTGGGACAACCTTCTGATACATATTAATACAAACACCCTTCATTCCCACATCATGTTACGTGCGGATTTACGTTATTTACGCGCAGGCGTAAGATCCGCGATTTGATTCGATGTTCGTTTATCTTGGTTTAATCCTTTGAAAAGGAAGCGGAAATATTCGAAATAAAACAAGTAAATTTCCGTTGAAACGGAGGGAAAAACCTCGAAAATAAGAAAGATCAATTAATAATTAATATTAATATCAATTAATTATTAATCCGACTCATTTCACGAGTAAACCCAATACATTTATTATATATTAAAGTCAAACATTACAAAAGTCGAAGTTATTCTTAGAACTGTTTTTGGGACTACTCTGAAGTACATTACGAAAGAACTCCAAAGTAGAACTGCTTTCGTAAGAGAGCATTTGGCCCTTGGTCCATGGCAGAATCTTTGCGCATGCTCTGTTATAGTTTGTAAAGTCTATGAAGTGTTCAGAATCACAACACTAACACTGCACTGCACTAATACACGTATAAACATACTCTATGTATTGAAAACATGTATCACAACGAGTGAACATAACCCTTTTGCATTCACACTAATCACACAATTATTAATTATTTACATCATTTCTAGTAACAATAAATCTATTATACTGCACTCATCATATTTAAATATAAACAACAATTATAACGATAACTAATTTGATAATATATCATAATATAATATTATAATTATATTAATACGTTACAAACATATATATATATATATATATATCCAATATCATAATATTACAACAATAAATTAGATAAAGTTTACTAATAATATCATTTTCAAATAATACATTCATGTTGCATAATTAGCAACAATATAATATTATTGTCAATTGTTCATAATGTTCATATTATACAATTGATAATTAAAGTTCGTCGCATAATGAAAGTCTATGTGTACGTGACTTTTCGAAGCCATTTCTGTGGTCACAAGTATGGTAAACACATGTTGCATTGTCCTATGGAAAAGGACACTTGAGATATTTTTTATATTCTTTCGAGGGTTTCTCGGTTTTATGACTCTAAAGAAACTAGAGATTACATTTTCTTTCGCTATTCTACTTGATTTATGACAATTCTAAGAAATGTTGATTTTCAAATACATATTCAGAATTTGGAAACTATTAAACCGTGAAGTATTATATTTTACAATAGTCAAACTTTCTTGTTTAGTCTCGTCAATAATTGTCTAAAGTCGTGAGAAAATACTAAAAATAATTAAGTTTATTAACGAAATGTTATAATTTCGCGCTTCGATAACTCGTAAATCGATATATCGAAAGTTAACGAGCGAGATGGTAGTCGCTCGTAACATTCATCTTGACATCTGCATGTCGATAGTGTAAATTTGGTGTAAATTATTACTTTTTAAAATTTGGTGAATAGATCCACTATTTTAGAGCTATTTTTAAATTGTATAGTTTTAATTAGTCTATAATTGCTTTATGTTTAATAAACAAAGCTATCTAATTCGTATTCAAATAGAGCATAATTCTAAATTCTCCTTGTATTCCTGTGACCTGTGAATAAGAAGCCATCTTGAATGAGAAATAGCGCAACGTCGCAAATGTCCACGGCGTCTTAAGCCAAGATGTCGTAGAATTCTGATAGAAGCGTACTGTGAATTGTCAATATTTGTTAAGTTTGTTAACGCACATCGGATTTTAATCTCAGTAGGTACTATTCTATTAAATAAATACATTCGATAATGATATTTTGGCCGAGTTAAAAAGTGTTGGAGAAGAGTGCAAAATGGTGGTATTTCATTACCTGTGCTTAGCTGACAAGAGTATTTCTAACATCCCAAAAAAAACGCCTATTAAGGTGTGAAAATTAACATCCTTTGATGTAACTTTTAGTGTTTGATTATAAAAAACAAATGTGTTGGTTTTTAAATAAAGATCATTTTTGGCTAATGTAATTTTTAAGTGAGTTGGAATATAATTGTTAAAGCGACGTTTATGGGTGCGATCAGTGTTAAAAGGAAGCTATTAATTTCTTTATTAAAGAAAACAATTTAAAGGAAATTTGAACGAGTATATTTATAAACGTAATAATTGTGTGTTTTATGTTATCTTATTTAATATAATTATATGACCTACGTAATCAATGAGCTTGGAAAACTTTTGATCGAGGTCGGTTATAACATTACCTACATGTCGATTTTATTCCTGAAATCTTAAATTTACAAATTTTTAATTTTTATCTTGTTATATTGAAGGATTTTATTCGAAACTTTATTCCACAGCTGATTCACAAGTTGATTCTTAATTATCAGCTTCGTTAGTGAAACTTTTTTTGCGTTTGCTAAGTGAAAATCATCTTAAGATCAGTAGAAATTAAATTCCTTTTTCTTTCAAACAAATTTTTTGTATTTAAAATGCAATAGTTTCTGAGAAAAAAATTGCAATATACGTATTTATTATTAGTCTATTTTAACTATCATATCAAATAATAATTTAAAAATGCCCACGAATGGAAGTTGATGCTGCTAACGGTTTTTAGAGGAAAAATCGTTTGGGTGTTGAATGTATTGATTTTTTTCACGGGCAAGAAATCCTGTATGTAACCGAAAAGCAGTGTAACATGTTATTCCCTATATAGTTTAAATAAAAATGTATACATTAGATACTTTTAATAACAAATATTGGATATTGAAAATATCTTTTTGAATTTGAATCAATTATATATTTAAAATTTTTACACGTATTTTATCTTATTCGTTTATATTTTGGTATTTTACTATGTAAACATGCAATAATATTAATTTTATTGCAATTATTATTATTATTATGCAACATTTTTATTTAGTTACTCCATTTTTTTAACCAAATATTCGCCTTCTTTATACAGTTGATCTTCAAGATATGAAGTGAATGTAAATTCATTTCAAACTTTCAAAATGTCAAGTGATGGCGAGCGGATTCAAAAAACATCCAAGTCCCGCAAATTGATTATATATGACAGTGATAGCAGCGAGGACTCAATTGTTGTTCGGAATCATCGCAAAAGAAAGACTCTTGTACGTATAACATAAATTATATCCTTCATCATTCAATTTATCTACCAAAACTTGGACGTTTTTTTATTTTCAATATCAATAAAATAGAAAGTAAAATAAAGAATAATAATAATAATGTTAATAATGGTAATAAAAATAATAGAAAAATTCGAAATTAATACCTAATGATATTAATGAAGTAATAAAAAGTAATAGTAGAAATAAATTGTTAATAAAAAATAAATATTTGTTTTTTCGATCAAACAGCAACGAGTTGTCAGTGATGCCGAAAGCAGTGATGACGGTAGTGATGTACAAAGACCAGTAAACAAAAGAAAAGTCCACGTATGTATTGTTTATTAAAAAAAATTGTTGAATTTGTATTTTTATATCAGTGATCAAAGTTTGTCCCTTATTTATATTTTTTAACTAGTTTTAGCAATTTGACACCTAAATGGAAGTAAAAATAATTTTTCTAATCTTAAACATTATTTTATTATGTTATATACAGGCATCACAGTTGGTCCCCTCTTGTTCCCTTATTTCAATGTTATTATAAATAATAAAATTTTGCTTCGAAATTCAATTATTTTCAAAAATTTTAATAAAATTCTTGGAAAAATTTCAATTATTTGCAAAATAATTTTTTATTTAATAAAATATATTTATATTTATTATTATATTAAATAATATTTAATAAAACTTTCCAAAAGAATTCAATTATTTAAAAAAACTTTTATTAAAATTCAACGCAAACCTTTAATTATTTTTATAAATAATAAAATAATTTCACTAGAATTCTATTATTTATAAACTTTTTATAAATTTCTTCGCAATAATTCCATTATTTTCATAAATAATCAAACTCATCGCAGAATTTCAATTATTTTTAGTAGGTACAATTTTAATCAAATTCTTCGAAAAATGTAATTATTTTTTAAAATGTTATTAAAATTTGTCGAAAGAATTTAATTATTTAAAAATTTGTTGATAAAATTCTTTATGAGAATTCAATAATTATTAAGAAACGTTCAATTATTCAATATAATTTTTTTATTTTTGTATTTAAATAATTGAATTTTCATATAATTTTCTAATAGAAATTGATTTAAAAGTGAATTTTAGTTAAAATTTTACATAATAATTGAATATTAAAAGCATAATAACGTGAATTTTTAGAAATAATTGAATTTTGAAAAAGTTTCATATTGAAATCTTTCAAAATCTAAATTTGTCATATTTTTAACTAACAATTCTGTATAATTAATTTTTTTCAAAAAGTTTAATTGAAATTATTCGAAGTTTTTATTTTCAAATATATATTTAATTGAAGAATTTCCAAATAATCGATGAAATTTTGTAAAATTGAATTGTAAACAAATACGTTTGAAAATTCTCAGAATTTTTTTTAAAATTATTCTAAATAATTAATTTAAAGAACAATTATAGTTAACAGTTCTAGAAAGTAATAATTGAATTGAAATGATAAAAATAATTTTGAAGAAGTTACAGTAAAAATATTTAAAATGGTTTTAAAATTTTTTCATCCAGATAGTATATATATTGATAAAACACAGGATTCTACTGGATTAGTAATGATTTATTTTTTCATTAGATAATAAATAAATCAGACGTCTAGACACCAACGTTGGCGTCCTCTTCAGTGATACATTAATAACATAATTATAATCTTCATAAACTTTACAAAAAAACTAAAAAAACATGTTCTTATAGAACTGAGACATGTTTAATTATTAAAAATTACATTTTATAAAATTTTTTGTTTCAAACACGTGTCACAAAAATTTCAGACAATATTTAAATCTTATAAAAATATTTCTTATATTAGAAAATAATAATTTTATCACTCGGTCATTTTTAATTATTATAAATTGAGGCTCCAAACTCAAGAACCGGTTGGACGCTCGGAAGATACGCGCAACTGCCAGTCAGTGAGCAGTGAGCGCCTCTGGGCCACTCACTGCTACCCGACTGGTACTAGCGCGTGTCGTCCGAGCGTCCGACCGGTTCTTGAATTGGGAGCCTCAATTGTCGAATTTCAAAAAGATTTGAATTTGAATATTTTGAAAATCTTAATTTCTATGGAAAAATAATAATGATTAAATATTTTTTTAAAAAAGAAGTTATTGCTGATTTTGAATAATTTTACAGTTAAAAAAATTCGTAAATGAATGTAATAGAACATTTTTTTTCGTATCTAATTATTTTTAGAGTGAATCGCAGAATATTCTTTAGAGAAAAAGTTAATGTCTGGAAATCAGGGAAAAACAAAATTAAATGTTTGTGGCAACTCTGATTAAAATCGAAGCATTTTTAAAAAATTTTATGGAAGCTATATGATAAAAAATGTGAATTATAATGCAGGTTGTAGAAACAAATAAATTTTTGTCCCCTTTTTGTTCCCTTTTTGAGTACAAAAATTCCCCTTTTCACCTTTTTTGATAAAAAAAGGTACTGTGATGCCTGTATACATTATATTTAAAATAAACTTTTTAACTAACCTTTCTTTGAACAATAATAATCAATGTGATCACTTATATTAAAAAATAAAAAATAATCAACTGAAATATGCTAAAAAAAGATTATTTTACAGCGATTAGTTAGCGAAAGTGAACTCAGTGGTGGGAGTAGTGACACCGAATTAAATGAGTCTGCTTTGAGTAAGTATATTGACTTCTCATAAAAAATAGTAAACAAAATTTTTTTGTATGAAAAAAGAATTTTTAAAATACAGGCTTAGCACTCATCTACTAAAACCTACTATTTGCTATAATTTATATATTTATTTGCTATAATTACCTACTAATTTGCACTACTTTAAATCCGCTAATAGTTGAAATAAAAAAATTATAATAAAATTCTTTAAAACAATTCAATTATTTTCAATACAGGTGTACTATTTTAATAATCTTTCTCAAAATAATTAATTTATTAAAAAAAAATCCATATCATGAATAATACAATTTTTATAGGAATTTAATTGTTTAAAACACAATTTTTAAAAAATGGATTTTTTATAATATTTTAAAAAAAATTCTTTGAAAGAAATAAATTTTATTTTTATTTTCAAATAATGCGACTTTTTCGACTTTTTTTTCCAAATTTTGCAACAAAATACGACATTTTTGGTATAAACTGCAACTTATTTCTATTTTTATAGTGTGAAAAGTATAACTATAGTCTATAGACAAATCTTTGAAAAGTTATTTTTGAATAATTTTTCCAATTAATTTTTTGAAATATACAATTAAAAAGATTTTGAATAATTGAAATTTTGTAAGATTTAATTGAAAATAAATCATGATTTTCAAGTATTTTATTGCAATTTTTGAAAATTAACTGTTAAAAAATTGTAATTGAAAATTTTGGAAATAATTTAATTCTCAAAAATTTTAACGAAAAATCTTAAAGTGTAAATTTAATAAAAATAAAAATTAATGAAAATTAGATTGTAAAATAAATATTAAAATATTTTTGAAAAAAACTAATTCTCAGAATTTTTCATTTTAATTTTTGAAAATCCAATTATTTTCAATATTTTTGATTACATATTTCCGAAAATTCAAATACAAAAAATAACATTAAAATTTTTTAGAATCATTTTTAACATTTTGGAGAAAATAATCATATTTCAAATTTTTAATTAAAATTCTCCAAATAATTAATTAGTTTTTTTTTGTTAATAAGAACAGGGTAACGCACAAAAAAACAATGGGACATACAATAAAAGTTAATATATTTAAAGATTCATATATAAGAGCAAAAAGAGATACACAATTAAACATTAGTACATTAACAGCGGAGCCATTGAATGAACACTGATCTACCCAGGCGGCACACGATAACTAAAAGGCATCAAAATGTTAACATCTACTCAAAACGATAACTAGAAGTTATCAAAAAGAGAAGTGTGCCCTCTGATGATAGAGGTAGAGGTTCGATTGCGCGAATTTTAAACTTAACATTTTTAAATTATACAAAAATTCTTTTTAGAAATTCAATCAATTTTCGAAAAATTACATATTTATAAAAAACTAATTCTTCGAATTGTTTTATCATAATTTTTTAAGATTCAATTAACTTTCGAATAAAGTCAGTTCAATTATTATGAAAAATTGATTTTTTTGTATTAAAATAATTGAATTCTCGAAGAACTTTCGGAAAGTTATTAAAAATTAATATGGATAATTGATTTAGAGATGAAGTTTAGTTCAAAATTGTAGAAAATAATTTAATTTTGGAAGGGTTTTAATTTTTAGATGTTAAGAAATTTCAGAAGTTGTAATTTTTTTAAATTTTATTTCCTGTGAAAAAAGAAATAAGAACACTGAGAGAAATGGATAGTCAGATTTTGATGTTAAAAAGATGATGTTACACGATACTATCATTATGCTACTGCCAACCATCACAGATGCTAAAAAAATATAGTTATGCTACCCCTTACTACCAAGATGTTACTCCTGATGATATTGATGGTAACGGTGACTATCTAGATATAGCTGTCTGTATACGTAACATTAAAGATGGTCACCCTAACCACAATTATGTTACCCACTACTATAAGTTTCTCTCCGTGAAGTATTTAAATATTTATTTAGCATGAAATTATTCGAGTTTCGATTAATTGAATTTAGAAATCAGTGAAGAATTAGGGAAATACAAAATAACATTTTTTGTGACAACATTGAATTAAATAAACGACTTTTTCAACTTTTTTTCTATTTTTAATTGACTAAAGCGACTTTTTGGGCTCGTTAAAGTCGATCCGAGGCCTAGTAATTATTTTCAAAAGATTTATTAAAATTCTTCGAAAGAATGGAATTATTTTCAAAAATTTTAATAAAATTCTTTACAAGTGTTTAATTTTAAAAAATAATCAATTTTTTATTTTTGTTTTTAAATAATTGAATTCTTGTAGAACTTTCTAATAAGAATTTATTTAAAAATGAATTCCAGTTAAAATTTTAGTTTATAATAAATTGACTATTAAATGCGTTATAGTATGGATTTTTATTAGTAGTTAAATTTCAAAAAGCTTTTACATTAAAATTATTCAAAATTTTAATTTCTGTGAAAAAATATGTAAGTAGGTATTTATATATTTATTGAACAAAAATTATTCAAGTGTGAAGAATTTAATTTAGAAATTATGAAAAATAATTAGTCTTTTGAATATTTAAATTTTTCTATAGTTATAAAGTTTGGAAAATAATAGAATTTTACAAAAATTTTAGAATTGAAGTTATTACAAGAATAGGAAAACAAGTGAATATTTTTTATAGAAATCAGGGAAATATAGAAACAAATTTTTGTGATATTGTGAATCGACTAAAACGAGTTTTTTTAAATGGTCAAATTTAATTTTTCTTTAGCTACTTTTTTGAGTCTTAGAGCTACTTTTTTAAAATTATTTATTGAGTGCAAAGCCTGAAAATAATTTTTTAAATTGTCTTCTCCTTACAATTGAGGGGCTGGATCTTAAAACAACACATAAAATTTCTACAGCGGTATTCGCTTGGCTTTTTTCTCAAAAACTGTTATAAATATAAAAAAATCATGAGAAGAAAAAAGATGCGCAAGGAAATTTCCTATAAGATAGTGAAAAACTTTATTTAAAAAAATTATTTTTGGGGTGTCAGGAGCCAACAAAAACCACTGTATAAATTTTATGTGTTGTTTTAAGATCCAGCCCCTCAATTATCTAAAACTTTTCTTTAAATTTACCTATTTTTTAATTTATTTTTAAATCCTCCACCTCACTTTATTTATTTTTTCTTAATTGTATTATATTTTCTTTTCTTACAATTTATTCACTTTATTTTTACAGTGATAAGCGATGATTCGGAATGGCAATCGGATTGGGAAAGCATAGGGGAGTCAGATAATAATGAACCTAATTCGAAGGCGAAGGATGAGAAGAAAACTAAGAAAACAAATGACGTTGAAAATGAATCGACATCGGGCGCAGGATTCGAGTCCGACAATAGTGATGGACAATCGGATAAATGTCCAATTTGCTTATTGCCATTTAGAAAACAAGAAATTGCCACTCCGTCATCATGTGAACATTGCTTTTGTCTTGAGTGCATTTTAGAATGGAGTAAAAACATCAACACTTGTCCAGTGGATCGACAAACTTTCACTGTCATCAATGTCAAATCACACACTGGCAAGGTAGAGAAAATTTTTTACTCATCTATTAAATTAAACGAAAAATCGATTTTCTTAAAAGAAAAATTCTAATTTAAATATTTAATAGTTTCAAAAAAAATATATATACTGGTATTGTTTTACTTTCTCCAGATTTTGAGGCACATTCCGATTGAAGTGAAACAACAAATTGAGGATACAATTCAAGAGGATCCAACTTATTGTGAAATTTGCAGCGAATGTGATAGAGAAGATCGAATGCTGTTGTGCGATGGCTGTGATCTTGGATATCATATGGAATGTCTACAACCACAATTGTTTCATATTCCCCTGGACGAATGGTACTGTTCAGAGTGTTCACAAAACATGCAAAATGACGCCGAAGCTGTAAGTATATATTTTGATTTTTAGTTCTAGTAATTTTTAATCATTTAGAAAATTCCGAGAAGAAAACTAGTTTATTGATAATAATTTTTCACAACGTGTAATACAATTATAAAATCAAAGATAAGCATAAAATTATTAAATCATTGTACTTTTTCAAATTCAAATTTTTAAATTCTCAATACTGATGAGAAGGTAATTTTGGTATATATTGAATTGCGTCATTCAAGTTCACATTTGGAATTTCGATTCTTCAGGTTTTGTGAAAGAAGGGCAAATTGATAGTTTATAATTTCAGATATCTCGGAATGACATACGTAATTTCTTGCGTTTCTCGGCAATTGAGAGTGTAGTCGGGCCTAGAGATCCCGAAAGAACGGTAATGATTTTTTTTCCTTTTTTTTCTAGGATTTACTAGGAAAATTTATTGAAGAAAAATATGTTAAATACACATAAGTGGGCTTTTATCAATTATTTATTCTAATTTATCAATACAAATTTTTTTTCTTTTATAATTTTATTCGATAGTTACGTCTAATTAGATTGATTGAAACTTTACTAATTATAAAGTTAATTTAAAATTTACTCTCCGTTAAGAATAAAAATCTTTTTCTTCTAAAATATTCTCTATTGAAAAAGTAACTGAAATAATATATGATTGGAATTTTACAGATTGATATTGATCTTGATGAGGTTCCTGATTTGATTGAAGAAGCACGTCGTCTCGGTCTGTCGTATGGTCGCACTCGGGGTCGACATGTAGTACAAAACACGTTCAGTCCGCGTATTATTCCGCGTACACGTCAAACTGAACGTGTTCGTGCAAATATTCGCGCGGGTCGTAATTTAAATTTATCCCGGTCACGCGAAACACGTGAACGTCGACGACTTCTCTTTGATCCGGATCAGCCATCGACGTCGTCCGGAATTGAATCGATTGGCGATAATAGTCGAAGTCGTTCTCCCGATATTAACGCGCCATCCACATCAAGTGGACGAACAAGAACGACACGTCGTGCACCAACGAAAAAACGTAAAACGAGAGCAAGTAAAACTAAAAAACGAAACAATACAATATTACGTGAAGTGCGCATTACGGAGATAAACGACGACGGTGAGGAAGAAGAAATTGTTAGCTACGTGAAAGTCAAGGAATCAACAGCTGCCGGCAAATCCAGTAAACGAAAATACAAGAGACTCAAGGTACATTAATGTCTTCATCGTCACTAACACACTAGCGTCAAATCAAAAAAAAAAAAAAGAAAAAGAAAAAAGAAAGAAAATTCTTCATTGCCGAATAGAAAATAATTAATTAATAAATGCCAAGCGTTCAATTATCATTAAATGAAATTACACGATCTTCCTAGACTAATTTATTAAAATGTGGATTAATATTCATTCAATACTCATTTAATTAATTTATAAAATTCTTTTTGTAATTGTTTATAGCGTGTTCTTTATTATTTTCGTCTTATGTATCAATCGATTTTTATAATTGTGAATAAATGATTTTCTTAATGAACGCACTTGGCTTTTTTTTGTAGTAATTGCATGGATTTTAGTGTAACACATTCAATTTTTTTTTCTTTTTTTTCTCAAGTTTAAAAAAACCAGTAAAATTTTTGTTTACAAAAATATTTCATTAAACAAACGAAAATTTCGATTTCTAACATTAGGAAAATCACTTTTCCCTTTAAAAGGATTAAAATAAAAATGTCAAATAACTCAAATAATTTTTTAAATTCTCTTCTTAAAAACATTGTCCAAAATTGTACGTTTTTTTATTTTACAAATAAATGGACAAAAGCAAATTTTAACATTTTAAATTTTAAATGGAAATGTTTAATTATCAAGCGTATTTTGATGCAAAAAAATAAAAAGGTAAACTGATTGGAAGGTTGAGAGGTATGAAATATGAAACAAGGTTAAGGTGTACAGTTCAATTGTTGTTGTTCGGATTGAAATATTTAATTCAATGTTTCTTGGTAATAGTCTTGATTATTAACATTTAATTTTCTACAATTTAACGTATTTTGATAAGAAATCAATATTTTTAATTAAAATAAATAGTAATATAAAACTTGAAAATATTTTAGATACATTAAATAAATAAACTAAAAATAGCTTATAAAATGTAAAACTAATTTATAAATTTGAATTTTATTCTTTATTGTCATTAAAGTTAAACTTAGTTTTTTTGATTTTCTTTATAAAATTTAAAATAATTTGGTGAAAAAAAAACATTTTTAGTAATAATTGTAAATTTTTGTTCTTTCAGAGGAGACGGAGAAATAAACGTCGTGCACGAACGGTGTTATCGGTAGTTAACGCGAAAAGGCAAAATAGAGGAATGCCTCTATTAAAAGCAAAAGTAAATAGAAATGCTCCCGAAGCAAACGAATCTGGATCCAGAATTTCTTCAGACAGATACAGAGCGGGCATACCGCAATTGAGCATGTTTGGAAGTGTGCTGTCCTTAGACTCTCTCCTTAGTCCTGGGTAAGTGAACATTTTTACAATTATAATATGATTATAAAATTTACAGTTAAATCGCTAAAGAAGATAATGGCGTTATAATTGATTTTTATTATTTCGCTTATAATTTAAAGAAAACAAAAATTGCACCATGAAAACAAAAGTGCACAATAATTTTAAAGAGAACAAAATTTTCTTTAAAAAAAATTTCGAATAATTTAAAATCAACAATTTAATCAAATCGATTATAATGATACAAAATTAAAATTAAAAAATTCGAAATAAAAATATTTTTAAACAAAATATTTCAAAATGGATTTCAATTGTGTTTTATAATAGACACGAAATCTTTTTCCCAAATTAGAAATTCGATTCGAATGGAAAATGATTTCTGAATAATGACTAAATATCCAAAATTTCTAAAGCAATGCTAAGTAGGCATTCAGTGAAATTGGAATAGGTAAAAAAAAGAAATTTCTCTATTATTTAATTTACGATAGTTTAGGTTGATCAGTTAAAATCGTAAACTGATTAATTATCGTACATTATATAATAATTGTACAAAAATATGAAAAAAAAAATTATTCAGATAGGTATCATTGACAAGGAAATCTAAATTTTACACATACAAAAAAAAAACAGAGGCAAATGATTTGCAATGCGTTTAGTTTAAAAAAAAATAAAAATGCGTTAGTCTACCACACTCATGCTAAATAACGGCTGAGACAAAAATATGGATCTTTTAATGATTATTTTTAATTATCAATCAAATTGCACACAATACACATTGTTCTGAATTGTTTATCACTTTATATTTTAATTATAAGTTGTTTCTTTAAAGAAAAAAAATTGCACCAATTCTTTCTGTTCCCGAATTAATTTTCTTCCTCGAAAAATTGTTGCTCTTGAGAATACATATTATTACTATCCTAAATTGGCAATTTTAAAAACAGTTCAGGCATTGCAGATAATTCCCTTTTCTCACTTTTTTCAATTTTGACACCTTTTTTACCATTTTTGATGATTTGTTACCTTCTTCATCTTTTTTGGTGATTTGTCCCCTTTTCCACTTTTTTTGTGATCATAAAATTTAGATTCAATTTTAAAATTCAGTGAGTTTTATTTTTGATTTAGATTATTAACACAACATAATATAAATATTTTTTTACTGTTTGTAATTTAAATAATATAATAACGTAAAGATTTTATAAATATTAAGGTGGTTCATCCAACAGAATGCAGACTTATAGAAAAATAATTATCATTCAAATAATTAAAATAATTATTATTATTAGTACGTATTTTCTAGAGAAATAAAAATATCAATTTTCTAGAAAAAAATTGTGAATCAAAATTTATTTATTTTTATGCAATTTACACATGATATAAATTTTTTGTCATGTCGCTTCTATAAAATTTTTTTAAAATGATTCGATTTAAATGTAATATGGCTTATTTTCTCCAAAAAATGATTCTCTACAACATTACCTTTCAGATTTTACAAGCACTCCGTTTTGAAAATATGCTTATTTGTTGATAAGAAAATTTTGACTTTGTTTAAAAATAAATAAGAATATTTTCAAAATCATTTTTTGAAGAAAATAAACATTTTCATTGAAATCGAATCATTTTTAAAAAATTCTATAGAAGCAATATGATAAATTTGAATTATATATACAAATTGTATAAACAAATAAATGTTTGTAGATTTAAAATATTTTTTCTTGGAAATTAATATTTGTTCTTCCAGAAAATTTTATTAATAATAAAATTTCAATTGTTTAAATGTTAATTAATTTTTACTTGAGACTGCATTTCTTAGGATGAATTTTTTTAAATGGCTATAACATTCCGGTATAATAGAAAAGTTTATAAAAAGATATATCGGAAACACTTTAATGTGCTTAAATTAGCTACAGGTGATATATTTTTTTAAAATAGAAATAATTGTTTTTTGTTCAAAAGGCAACAATTTTCCTATGAAGAATAGTTCGGAATGTAAAGAAACCTTCAGCAAAAGTTAATGTTTTTTAAAGTAATATTTATTGCTGAAATTACTTTTTTTCTGAAAATTTTTTTATTTTAAGAATTTTAAATGTGAAGTAGAAAAATTGTACATGCATTTCAGTGGCATGAATATGTATTTGTTTCCAATCAGGTCCGAAGATGAAAACGATAGTCATGGTCCAGCAATTGTCGCACGACCACGAAGGCATATTTCAACAGTCAGACGACGAATGGCACTCAAAGGGATTGTCAATCCAACAGTCAGCACGGAAGATACTAGCGGTCCAAATTTACTCGACAGTATTCTCAAAAGTCAAGAAGTCTGGCATAATCAGAAGAACAGTCACCTTATCACTCGTAAATCTGATGGTTCTTTATTAGTTATCAATAAAGACGCGGAAAGTTCAACAAGCATGAATAACAACGAAAGTCCCATTAAGAAAAATGAATCAAATAAACCTGATAAATTACTCGGTAAAGATCAACCTCTAGATCTATCGCATGTCAATCCAAATGATGTTACACAAGCGCCAATGTACAATAGTCCCCGTGGTGGTGGTGGTGGTGGAGGTAATCGAGGAAATTTCCGCGGCGGTTACAGGGAAAACAATCGTCAAAGTCACGGTGGTCAGGGTTATAGTGGACGTGATTCTTACTCTGGTGGCGGAAGACGAAGTTATGGAGGAGCCGGAATGAGAGATGATTTTGGTAATCGTGGACCGCCGGAAAATTTTAACACAAATTTCCAGGTTCGTCCCCAGGGACCTTTCGGCACTCCACCTTTTCGTAATCGTAATCCCCAGCATTTTCGCAACGAGAGAAACCGTTATTCCATGCCAGAGCGATTGCAATTTCCCGAGGGGAGCGAGAGACCTCCATTTCCGTTTCAGGATAATTTTAACAGAGGACCGCCACCTTTGATTCGTCCCTTAATCCCACCTGGTCCGCCGGGTCCACCAGGACCAGGAGGTCCTCCTAGTCTCTTGCAAATGCCAATTGTACCAAACAATTTACCACCTCCCGTCAATGACGAAGAATCATCCGAGAATACGCCGAGTCAACAGACCGATTTGGATCCAATATTACCTTCGGAATCCGAATCACAATCTAATAAAGCGAACGATGAAGAACTGGATATTTACAGTGACATGGTGGGACCCAGTAAACCAGTAGAAGGCGAAAGTCAATCAGGCGACGATCCGAATAATTCGAGCACTCTTCTCCCGCCTCCTGAACCGCCATCCGGTTTATTGGATTTCGACGAGAATTCTAAGAGCGAGAAAGACAATGACAGTGATCAGGAACTGATTATCGATGACACACCGAAAGAGGAAACTGCGAAGAACGAAAAAACAGATGATAAATACGATCCCTTTAATGCTGAAGAAAGTGACAGCAATGATAGTAATAAACGAGCGACTAACATCCAAGTCGATCAGATTCCCTCTCCGAAAGATCCACCACCTTTGGAACCACCTCCATCACTAGAGAGTTTCGCCGGTTTGAATATTCTAAATGACGATTTCGGCGGACCAGTAAAATCGACAATTCGACTTACAGCCTATGATGACGATGAAGAGGACGATGATTCACAAGCAGACTGTCCAAACTTCTCCATCTATTCATCAGAAACAATGGACGTTGCCCGTCACACCGAACAAGAATTATCGTCTCAAATCGGTCCCCTAGAACCTCCGCCATTACCACCGGAAATGCCTGATTTACCCGAAGATGAAGACATAATTCTCGGCGATATTCAAACATGTGATTTATCCGACATTCCCGAACCACCAACACCCTACATTGAAGCACTCCGCAAGGAGAGGCAGACAATCAGCAAAATACCGCCAAAGAAAATCTCCTCCAATGATTCCAGAGGAAAAATCACTTTCAAGATAAATACCTTGAAATTGAATAACAAATTCGGTAATTTGTATGATGAGATAGATCGGGATATGGAAACTTCCATTGAGGAAGAGAAAACGAGCGAGAAGAAAAAATCCGAAGAGAAAGACGATTCCAGTCACAAGGAGAAGAAGAAGAGAAAACGAAAGGACTCAAACAGTATGGACATTGATTCAAGTGATTCAAAAGACGACGACAAGAATAAAATTGAATCAAGTGAAGACGAATCAGAACTTCCAACTCAAAAAATTAACCAGGAGTCAGAAATCTGTGACTCACAACTTCCAACACAAAAATTCAGTGAAACACCCGAACGTGATATTTCAGATCTCGAAACACAAAAACTCGAGAATTCCCAATCGGAGACGGAAAATATTGCCCTACCGGAACATTCAACCGATATATCCGAATTACAAACGCAAAAACTCGATTTTCATTCTTCCCCCAAGGAAGATAATAGTGATCTGCCAACGCAGATTTTAAATAAAGAAGAAATTGACTCTTCAGAAATGCCGACACAAATTCTCGGCGATTCAGATAGTCAAACGGTTGACAAAACCCAAGAATCAGATCAAGCGTCAGTGAAAGATGATTCGGAACAATTGGTGAGTTACAGTCCGAAGGGTGGAATTGCGACACTCTATAGTCCCGATGTACCGGTGCCGACGCTCTACAGTCCAAAACCAGATGAGGAATCTGACAGAAGAACACCCGAGTTGAAGAATCGAAGTCAATTGAAAGACGACAGTGACAGTGACGGAGCAAGAACTCCAGAGAGAAAGGATTTGAGTAAAGATAGCGAAAAGGAGTCGAAAAAAGATGATAATGAGGATAAAATGGAAAACGCTAGGAGTCCAGACACTGTCATCTCAATTGCTGATACAATACAATCTTCCCAAAATGATGACTGTGAAATTGTTGAACAAAGAAGCGATAATTTAGCTACAAATGAGAGAATTTCAGAAAAGGATGAAACAGAATTGCCGGATAAATTACAAGCTGATGATGATTTTCCACTTGAGAAGGAAGGTGTCTCTCAGGCCGACGCTCCAGAACAGGAAATGTGGGATTCTGATGGTGGATACACTCCATGTAAGGATGAGTTACCACTGAAGGAGAAAGTAAAGAAGTCCGTGTCTCCATTTGATCAGAGTGGTCTCGAGCCGATAACACCGACAAGAGACAAGAATGATGATCTTGATCGCTGTAGAACACCACCAGCTTACGCTGGATTAGGAACTGAGGCTATTTCCGAAACAGACGAGGCAATGAATTTTGAGGACGAATTAACATTATTGACGTTGAGAAAGGAGAAAGAAATGGAGGAGGGCGAAATACCGGAAGAGGGAAGATTGGCACGTAAAGATCGTGCTAAGGACGATGACGACAGCAAGAGGAAAAAGAAGAAGGAGAAAAAGGATCGAAGTAAAGAGACCGAGAAGAATAAGGAAAATATCTCGTCAGAGAATTTCTCGTGGAAGAAAATGGCCAAGAATACCAAGGATCGAAATTATCGCGACAAGGATCGAAGATCGAGATCTAGAGACAAGGACAGAGATAAAGATAAACTCAAGAAGAAGAAGGAAGCCGTGAAGAAGAAGGAGAAACGAAAGGAATTGCCCAGGTACGATGTGCGAAAAATCGTTTCCGAAAAACCACGGCCGAGAAAAGACGAATATGGAAGGGACATTCGCGATTTGTCCCACAGTTTAACGAGGAGCAAATCAAGAAGTCGAAGTCACTCCAGAGTTCGTAGAAGTCTCTCAAAAGGACGCAAAAGTAGATCTTATTCGAGGCTTCGTTCCAAATCGCGATCGCGATCCAAGCGTCGCTCATGGTCGAGAGATCGAGACGCCTCGAGAGTTTCCCGTGGAAGATCCTATTCGAGAGGAAGATCCCTGTCTCCAAGAAGGCGCAAGTCACCAAGAAGAAGTTCCATAGCGAGAAAGAGAAAATCCAGATCCCTCTCAAGAAGAAGGAGAAGATCCCTGACACCTCGCGGTCGCGATCGTCGAAGGAGGTCACTCTCCCGAAAACGAAGATCCAGAACCAGGTCCAAGTCCCGCGATGCCAGAAAGGACAAAAAGAAACACAAGTCCCGCAGTCGTTCCAGACTCCGCAAGAGATCGAGAACAAGGAGCGGTAAGAGAAACTCAAAACCACGCGACAAGAAGCACACAAACAGAAAACAAGTCAGTCGATCCAGATCAAGGTCCCGATCACTCGCACGATCACTATCCCAACAGAGAGACCGCAATCGAAACTGGGAAATGAGCGAGAAAATGATAAATCGCGAACCACATTTCCGCCAGCGTGAGGAACGTGAATCGTGGAGTGCTCAATGGACCCCATCGCTCTCCGCCTCGAGATCAAAAACTCCCGAGCGCGTCAACGATCTGGCCGGCCGTGGTTGGACCCCGCCTCACGGCCTCGACAACGTCACCGTGCCCCCAAAGAATCTGACCGTCATTCTCACCAACAAGGAGGCGATCAAGAAGAAGAAAAAGGAGAAGAAGAAGGAACGCCGGAAGTCCAAGGACATAGACAAGCGCAAGAAAGGGAAGCGAATGCGAACCCCTCCGCCCTCGAAGGAAGTATTCGCCAGCGGCGACAACATCCTCGTCAGCGTGTGCTTCAACAAAGACAACGAGGGCAATCAAATCCAACCCGAGGAACTCCCCGAAACAATACCCCTGATGCCACCAACCAAACGTCGCCGTCGCGAGCCCCTTCAAATCGAACCCGCCAAGAAAACAAAGAAGGACAAACTCAAAGAAAAACGTGCCAAGTCCCCCAAGGCAAAGAAGGACAAAAAGAAAAAATCAAAAGCCGCCGAAATTGCCGCAACCAAAAAACCCGTTGCCGTCATCGACCTCGATCAATCGCCCTTCCGAGAACAAACCCCCTCGCCCCGTGACGTAATCGTCCTCAGCGACGACGACGAAAAACAAGCTCAAAGTCTCATCGCCCTCGAAAACCAGTCTTCCCAAGCAACTCCATCACGCGATCAATTCGTCTCCCAAGGTCCCAAGACACCACCCGAACCACAAGTGAAATTCTCCATCAACAAGCAAGCGAACAATCTCAGGCCATCGATGATGAACCCCCTAATGGAAGAGGAAGAGGAGGAAGAAGAGGAGGAGGAGGAAATTGACGAGAGAGTCGACGAGGAACTAGAATTACGAGCACAGGAGGAATTGGAATTACGATTGAAAATCGGTCCAAATACACCCCCTGAACCACCATCGTCATCGCCGACATCGCCCGACGCTTACGATCCGTTCGATCCCACGAAATCAAGATCACCAACTCCCGTACAAAGTCAGGAGGCAACACCTCTCAATGACGAACGTAATCAACGCACATCGCCCAGGAAACACGATTCCAATGATACGCCATTAACCTCGAGTGAAACGCAAGATCAGGAGAAGCAAATTTCCGATAAGCAGGCGGAGAAACCGAAAATTATTTCCATGGTCACGATTAAGAGGGCGTCATCGCCGAAGAGAGACACATCACCATCGGCAAATGACTTGACGCAAACTGATATTGTCACTGTTAGCGACAGTCCAACAAAGAGTCAACAGAATTTACAAAATGCTCAATCAACTGTTACCACATTTCCGACAATTAATCCTGTACTCGCTACAGTCGCTGCTGCTGTGCAGCGGAGCAATATATTTAATACAAATGCTCCAGCGACCACACAAAGGAATCTTGCTCAGGTAGGTGTTGATTTCGAAAAAAAGTTAGTCCATCTCTATATTTGCAGGGTTGACACATTTCAGGGAACTCTCTAAATCTGAGTCAGCGAAATTTCACTGATTCTCAGCGATAAGTATGCCACTATTTTCAAACAGCGTATATGCGCTAATTAATCTGAAATTTCACTGATTATTTAGTGAAATTTCACTAATTCACAGCGCATATGCGCTAATTGAAATAGTGGCATACTTATCGCTGATTCAGATTTAGAGAGAATGGTAAATTTGCTCAGAGAAATCAGGGAAGAATCGGGAAATTTGAAAAAGTATAAACTTCTAAAATTAATAGAGAAATTCTGGTTTTTTTGTGTTCAGCAAACCTTTGAAAATATTAAACCCTGGTGAAGTTCACAACTAAATTAACACTTTAGAAGAAAACATATTTTTCCCTCAAATTTTTGTCTAAAAAAAACTTTTTTACAATATTTTTTGATCAGCAATTTAAAAAAGAAAAATTTAGAAACAAAATGTAATATTATTTCTGTTAAAAAAAACATTTTTTTCTTATGAAGCTGAAACTGGCGTCCACTTAATTTTTGTAAATTAAATTTTAAAGTTGAATAATTTTTTAAGAAGCTGAAAATTACACCTTGTTATCAACACCCACTTAATTTTTCAAAATAATGTGTTGGTTTAAGAAAAATATTTAATTTTAAAATTTAATTTTCAAAATTAAGTGGGTGCCAGTTACAGCTTCATTTTTTTCTTCCACTCTTTGATCATGAACGTTATGAATTTCACCCACTTAATATTAACAGGGTAGTGACCACATGTCAGTAAAGACAGGGAAATGTCAGGAAAGTGAGGGAAATGTGAGGGAATGACAGAAAAAAATTTTTTTTGTCATGGAAATTAATTTATATTCGTTTCTTATTTATAAATTTTTATTTATTCCTTAAATTGTCATTTTTTCCTGTAAAAATTTGAAAAAAAAATTGAATGAAAAATTTGAATTTTGATTAATAACGTTTAATTATTCTTGATTTTTATTGTTCGCCTTATAAACTTTGCAATCAGATCAGAAAATCAGATTTTTTTTCTCTTTGTGACAATAATTGAGGCCTTGGATCCAATAACTCGCCCGACGCTCGAAGGCACGCGCTAATACCAGTCGGGTAGCAGTGAGTGGCCCTGAGGCGCTCACTGCTCACTGACTGGCAGTTGCGCGTTCCTCCGAGCATCGGGCGAGTTATTGGATCCAAGGCCTCAATTGAACTTTGAAGAATATGAAATTAAATTTTTTTTTAATAATTTAATTCTTGAAAAGCTTTTAAAAAATTATTATTATTAAGATCCACAAGTTTTAAATGTTCACATAAATGAAATATTTTTTATTAATAATATTTTCGTAAATTATTGTTTAGAGTAAAAATTAAAAAACTAAATTTTAATTTTTGTACTTTTATTACTAATTTTTTCTTACATGACACAAAATTATTGTAATAAAAATTTATTTTGAACTTTATAATCATTTATTAATAATTTATTTAGCGAATAATTTTACTTTGAAATTTAAAAAATAATTAAATTTTAAAAGAGTTGCGTTCGCAATTTTTCTAAGTGATTAAATTATGGAATTATAGAATTTTTATTTTAATTGAAGATATTAAATTGAAAAAATTTGACAAATTAATTCTTGTGGAAAACATAATAATAATAAAATATTTATTTTTCAAAAAATTCTACAATTGAAGGTATTCACAAATAAATGTATTACAGATATTTTCTGTTGTATCTAATAATTTTTAGATCAGATTATTCTATAGGGTGAGAGAAATAGTCGAAATTTTATTTCGAAATAAGGGAAAAGTTAAAGAAAATCAAAGTTAGATTTACTTTCTCAAAGAAATCTTCATTTCATTTTATTATATTTTATTTTTGATTCCAAATATAAATTAAAATCAAACCAAATAAAAATTAGAAGAAAAACCAAACTTTATATCTATAATTGTTGCAAAAAAATGTAATTTGACACAAATTTTCAATTTGAATACTTTTTTTATTTTTTTAACACAAAAATTATTATTTTGAAAAAATGACAATTTCTGGAAAGTTGAAAACAATTGTGATATTCTTATTTATTATAACTATATTCTAATTGTATTTATATTTTACTTATATTTTTTAATGATTACGAATATGTGAAAATGGACTAACTTTTGTTTTGAATGTCAAACAAATTATTACATAAAATTTTTTTTTTTGAAGGGCTTCAAAAATTTCAAAATAATTTTTTAATCCTTTGAGAATATGATACGAATTTCTAATTTAAAAACAGAAATTTGTATTAAAAATGAAAATTCGAATTTCAAAATAAACTAAAATAATAAAATTCCCTTTAAAAATTGATCATTTAAAAATATCATTGGTATTCTTTTCTGATTTTGTCGATTTGGAATTCGAAAATCGTACTTTATGTCTTCAATTCGCAGTTCTTAGAAAACTATTCGTTTTTTGAGGAAAAGAAGACAAAATTTTTATCCATTTACTTTATAAATAAATGAACGATAAAAAAATTAATAAATAAAAAGTATTATTTTCAAACTTTCAGAAAAAATGAAGATTATTTTTCTGCAAAAAACAAGCGTCTCAAAGGGTTAATTAATTAATATAATGATAATTCAGCTACTAATTTGACAATTTATTTTCACTCTCTAAATAAAAATGAATACAAATTTTTAATTTTGCATAATTTTTTTTTCTTTGATAAATTTTATAAGAATTTTAATCAAAATTAGAAAAATCGTTTTGACTGTAGTTGAGACAAATATTTTCCTGAATTTCTAATGTCTTACAATTTAACATTTAATTAGAAATTACCAATTAAATTAAAAATTATAATTATATTAAAAATCAAAATAAAAAATTAACATTTAAAAATTTAATTTTAATTGTCCTAATTTGTAAAAAGAATGTAATTACTAATTAAATTTCTGTCTCAAAATTTTAAAAATGTTGACGAATTTTTATTTAAAGAGATGAAAAAATAAAATAAATACACATATGATAATATGAGATTAAAATAAGTTAACCACTTTAAATAATAAAATAAAAAAAGGAATGGCAGTGTTTAATTTTGCCTTTGAATTTTAATGCCAATAGAATGAAAAAATATGAAAATTTTCAAAAATTTCAGAAAATTAAATTATAAATTTGATTTTATGTATTTTTTAATATTGACAATTTTTTTCGTTTGATTATTAAAAAGAAATTGATAATTTAAAATTTGTATTCAACTTTTAAAGTTTTTATGTAATTAATAATTAATTATCATTTAGTTAATCAATTAATAGCTACCTGCTAATATTTAATAAAAATTAAGATTGTAATTACCATACAATTAAAATTAATAATAATTTTCTTTTTTTGGTAATTTATTTCCTAAAAAATTAAATGACTAAAATTTGAATACTATTATCAAATACAAAAAAATTCTACTACTAAATTTATATCAAGTTTTTAATTCTTTACATTAGAATTAAAATTCTATAGAAATAAAACTGTATCAAGAAAGGAAATTAAATTAGAAATTAATTATTTAAATGTTTTTAAACAAAAAAAAGTATAATTAAAAAAATTTGAAGGGGTTAATTCTTTTGAAAATCGGTCATATGATGTAAAATAATAATTGTTTGATGAAAAATAAGAAAAATATGATGAATATATTGTAAAATTTCAGACAAATCGCATTTCGCCAAGTAATCAAATTAAACAACGTCCCATTGAAAGGCCTCAATTACCAAATTTGTTTACTAATTCTATAAAGACGACAGCAAATCGAACAGCAAAGGCAACAAATAAAACAAATGCATTGGGTCAAAATGGCAATGATACAGAAATGGTTAATGACGTCATTGATATGTCCTCACCATATTCACCAGGTTCTAGTATCAGCGACGGAATGTTCGATCCCCCTAGTCCTTACAATACACCTCCTCCAGAAAAACCAAAATCCAAAATCAATAAGGATCCTAAAAAGGATGCCTTTGATGTTCTGTTTGGAGCGTCGCCTGTTAATGTAAGAAATTCAACGAAAGTCAAAGTGAAGAAGGACAAGAGAAAAAAAAGTGTGTACCCACTCACTCTTGGTAAGAACGCTTTTTATTTTCAATTTTTGTATAGTAAGATTAAATGAAAATTTCAATTCTCAAATTCACAAAAGGGATTTTTAGAAACATTTCCATTTATTTTGTTTTTAATTTCTTTTAAGTATTTTCCTTTGAAAAGTAAACTTTTATTTTCTATACTCTTTTTTTTCTTAGTTTTATTACGCACTTCTTTTATATTTTGCTGCATAAGTAGTTTTGATTTACACAGATTTAATCATGTTCCTTTTATTATATTTCTATTGATTCATTTTTAGGTACCAATCCAAAAGTTGGCGTTCGCATGGATGAAAATCAATTGCAAATTTTAGATGATCTGCCAAGTTCTGCAGTGGAAATGCAAGTCAAGGACAAGGTTTGTTGGAAAAATTTTTTTCTTTTATATTATTTAAATTAATTTTTTAGTACCTACTTCTTTCTTTAGATTCTTATTTTATAATTTTTTCATTCCCGTTTCTTTTTAATTTTATTAAATTTGTTTATTTTTTTATTTCGGTTTCTTCCTTCCGAGGTTTGATTATTTTTCATTTTTTCTGTTTTACGTACCTTTTTTTAATTTAATTTTTATTTGACAATTTTTTTTTAATTATAATTTTTAATTCGAAAATAAATTTTTTAAATTATAAATATTTTTTTAATTACAATTTCGTTAAATTTATTTTTACTATAGTGTCTTATATTTTTCACGTGTTTTTAATTTTTTCTTTTTTAACTGTATTTCTATTATTTATTTTAATTCCCTTTTTTATTTAAGATGTCAAAGTCGGTGCAATTTTTACACAGAGCTACAGTGTAAAAATCATATCGACTTTGACACCTCCTTAAAATATAAATTTTCATTGTCTTTGAATACGTGAATTAACTTCGAATGTCTTTCCAGTTTTTGAAAAAGCTCAATCGTCAGGAAAGAGTTGTGGAGGAAGTGAAACTCGTATTGAAACCACATTATACTAAAAAACATGTCACGAAAGAAGAATACAAGGATATTATGCGTAAAGCTGTGCCGAAGGTAAATATAAAATTCTTAAATTTTTTTACCTCAAGTAAAAATTAGTTTTTAAACTGTTTGATAAAATATGAAAAACGAATTATTTTCATACATTTACAAGCGTTTTATGTAATTTGTTTTCTATTTCAGATTTGTCACAACAGATCTGGCGAAATTAATCCGAAAAAGATTGCCGCTCTTATTGAAGCTTATGTGAAAAAATGTCGTGGTAACAAAAAACGATCAACTCTAACAACAACTTCAAAGGTGACAAAAACAATGTAAGTTTCATTGAAATTTAAGTTTCGTTTCATTTATTCAATTATTGATTAATAATTAATAATCCTTTTTAATTATTCGATCAAGTAATTAACGATGAAAAAATATTAAATTAATAATTCGTTAAATTATATGAATACTAGACTAGTATTAGTAGTAGTCACTAGTATTCATATAACAAATATTAACAACGGTAATAATTAATTCAATAAAATGATTTTCTTGCAGTAAAAATTTATGGAGTTGATCACAGCTAGAAAGTTTTAGAAGAATAAATCTCCTAACTTCTGTAGGAGGATCAGTAGATCGCGCGTGAATTTTTTGTAATGGTAAGTGTTTGTGAAAGCAATTTAAAAAAAAATGAAAAAACAATTAAATTACCGACAAGTTAATCTTCACAACGGCAATCGAACAATGTGTATTGTATGTACATAATTAACTAGTTGAAATTAAGCGCAATATTTTTATTTATCTAAGTATACTACTTAAAAGATCCAATACACTTAACTTTATTGTTAATTTTAACTATAGATAATAGACAAGTTATTTAATAATCAGTAAATTAATCTTATAAAAGTGTAATAAACATATTGAATGTACTTTTTGAGCACATTCGTAATAACTATGTACGTAAAAATGAATTGTAAAGCAACTTTTACATCGTGTTCCGAAAAGAAAGGCAAATAATTCTACAATGGCGTTTCAAATAGAATCATGTACTTCATTAAAGTGATTACATTAAATCTATAGATTCGTCTCTAATTTGTATATTTTTAACTTAGAAACAGATTAAGACGATAACAGTTGTAAGCCATCGAGAATAATTGAAAAAAAAGTTTTGATGTAGTGACAAAGGTAGAATTACTAAAAAGAAAAGTAAAAATTGTATACAATTGTAATAGTTCAAGTTAATAATTTTTTTTACATAGAGAAAACGCGTAAATAAGATTTGAATGTGCAAAAAAAAATTTGTGTTGCAAAATTTAAAAAAAAGCGTATTATGAAATTTTAAATATAAATTTCGATAAATGCAATTATGTTATATTTAATTTTTCTCGCAAATTAAACAATTATTAATTTAAAATAATTTGTTTCCTTAAAACACATTATTCAGAAAAATTTTTTGCAAAATTTTTAATTTAATTCAATAATTGAGAATGATTAAAAACTTGGATTTAATTTCATTCAGGATGGTAAAAAATTAGATTTTAATAATGGTAAAAAATATTTATTGTTCAGTGGCAAAAAAAATTTGTTCGTAAATCATAATATACAAACTATGATAAATTCATTTACGAGTATAATAGTCAAATATCACTTTTCAAATGGAATAAACGCATGATTGCTTAATAATAATTTCTAAAGGCAAACATAAATCACAATGATTTAAAAATTGGTAAAATTAAGCCTCATCGTTAACAGTAGTTTAGAAAAAAAAATGACGTAATTTATTTGGCAACTGCAAAGCCGATACGATCATTGCCCATGTCGAATTCAGTGTAGAAACGACCAATGAAAACGTCTCCCAAGATCCATAGTGGTCCATTTGGAGGAGGAATGTCAATTCCCATAAATCCACTGAGACACACTGTCTTACCGAATTGAGATACCTATCAGGCAAAGAAAAATTAATTGCATTTATAAATATTATTTTTAAATTTCAATTTACAAAATTTTGTATTTTTTAGATTTTTTTTTAATACAAAATTGGTCTCAAGATTAGGAAGTTAATAAAAAAATCATTGCTGTTATATATTTCTGATTTTTTCAGATACATGGATTCGTTAGTTGTAATCGTATTATTTATTGAATTTTATTTAATTTATTTCTAAATTCAATTATTCAAAACTTCAATAATTTTGCTAAATCAGGGTGATCACAAGTTTCAGTTCATCAATTACCCTGACAATTTACTGACATAAAAATTACTTTCCCTGACAAAATTCTTTTTATATGAAAATATGAAAAAGTCTCAATTTTCTTAATTTCCCTGCCAAAAAATTTTTTCCTGACATTTCCCTGACTACTGACAAAAAACTTTTTTCCCTGACATTTTCCTGACTTTACTTACATGTGGCCACCCTGTACATAAATATATATTTAAATACTTCTTATTTGTTTTTCTAGGAGACATAAAATTTAAAAAATTTCCATTTCAAAGCTTCTGAAATTTAATATCTTTTAAAAATTAAAATTATAACCCTTAGAACTAAACTTCATCTCTAAATCAATTATTTTTAATAATTTTCCGAAAGTTCTTCGAAAATACAATTATTTAAATAGAAAAATTAATTTTTTTATAATAATTGCAACAGTGACTGTCCATGTTTTTTTTAAAAGTTATTAAAGATATAACATTTTCAAAAAATTATTATAAAGAATTTTTTAAAATTATTTTGTAAAAATGTTTTTAAATAATTTTTGAAAGATACTTTATTGTTTTTCAATTATAATACAAATGAAAAATTTCCAAACAATTTAATTTTGGTAAAATCTTTTAAAAATAATTAGAGCTGTGCAAAATTCGAACCGAGTTTTGTTCGGTTTTGGGGCGCCGAAATGTCAAAAATTCGACATTTGAATCTCCTAGTAAGAATTAAGCTAACTCGAATGTCGGTTTTTCGACATTCGAACTGGACTGACTCGAATGTCGAAAATTCGACATTCGAACTAGGCGACTGAAATGTCGTATTTTAGAATTCGACATTTTAGCTAGGCGAAAAAATTCGAACAGTTCAGTTCGAATTATTTTGCACAGCTCTAAAAATAATTGAAATTTGGTAAAATGTTATAGGGAGCGTTCACAAATGATGTCACGTTTTTGGGGGAAGGGGGGGATCTCTACTAAACGTGACTCAATGTTTTTTTACATGTGAAATTACATGAAATTGCGTGACAGGGGGGAGGTCTAAAATCCCGAAAAATTGCGTGACATCATTTGTAAACGCTCCGACAAAATAACTGAATTTTTGAAGAATTTTAATTGTAACTATGGACACGATTTCTTCAATATTTTAATAAGTCTAAAAAAGTAAATTTAAAAGAATTTTAATTCTCTTTGTTTGAAGATAATTGAATCTTAATAAATTATTGATAAAACAATTCTTCGAATTAGTTTTTTTAAAAATATTGTTATATAATTTTTTTGAAAATAATTGAAATTTTTAAAAGAACTTTTAATTTTTAAATTTAATTTTAATTTAAAAAAACAAATTAATTTTTTGAAGAATTTTTTTTTAAATTAAAAATTTTAAATATAACTGTTTTCCCAAAAATATTAAAAATAATTCTAAAAAATGTTAATGTTATTATTTTTTGAGTGTGTTTGAATTTTTGGAAATATGAAATTAAAAATATTGAAAATAGATAATTGAATTTCAAAAAAATTTTAATGTAATTTTTAGAATCATCAGGACCACGGGTATACTAATATATTCAAATAAATAAATAAATGCAAACTAATTTTTATTAATTTTCAGTTTTAAATTTACACTTTAAGATTTTTCATTAAAACTTTTAAGAATTCAATTATTTTCAAAATTTGCAATTAAAAATCTTTAAAAGCTGATTTTCAAAAATTGTAATAAAATGCTTGAAGAAAATCAATTATTTTAAAATTAAATTTTACAAAATTTCAATTATTCAAAACTTTTTTAATTATGATATTTATAATATTTTTACAACTGTTAAATACTTTTAGTACTTTATGTACGAATGGGACTCAATGCCCGTAAATGAATAAATAAATAAATTATAGGTATATTTAAAAAATTTAATTATGTATCTTCAAAAAATTATCCAAAAACAATTTTTGAAAGATTTGTCTATAGTTATTTTTCATACTATAAAAATCGAAATAAGTTATATTTTATACTTAAAATATGGCATTTTATTGCAATATTTGGAAGAAAAGTCGAAAAAGTTGTATTTTTTTAAATAATCGAAAAGTCAATAGAGGCCTGTATTTATTAAATTACTAGTTCTTGGCAATTTGAACTAATTACTAGTTTATTAATAATTCTTCCGATAATAATTATCCTACCGGTAAAAGATTAGAAAATAATCATTAATTCTCAATTAACTCGTAATTCAATTGATTGGAGCTAATTACAAATTTATTAACAAATCATTCGATAATTATTTTACCGGTAAAAAAATTACCAGGGCATTTTCACGGGAACAATTGAATTTTCGTCCGTGCGCTACGATATTAAGAAAAGGTATATCTTTGATAAATTATGCTTTAAAATTGAAAACGAAATTAGACATTTTTGTCTTCTTTTAAAAAAACTCTTTTTTAAAAAAAATTTGCTTTTATAATAATTAGAAAAAAGATATAGCTTTGTTTTGTCATAGTGAAACACGGACAAAGTGTCAATTTTTTCCTGGAAGTGCCCACCAGATAATTTTTGATTAATTAATTCGTAATTCAATTAATTTCTGAATTCTATTTTTTGATAAATTCGTATACTGAACTCAAGAAGTCATCTATTTTATTGTTTACAAAACGATAGTGAAATCACATGACGACCTTTTGAGACCCCTCAGTATCTTAAAAATGATATGAGAAGCAAGTTTTCAAAACTAGATAAATCCATATTTTCTTATTTCGAGAAAATAAAACAAATGACTTTTCTCACATAACCACTATAAATAATTTTAAATTAAAAAATTTGTTTTAATTTATTTTTATAACAATGTTTTTATATTTAAGACGTTCTGTTTTTAATTAAACATTATCATAATTAAGTGATTTAAAGGTTTTGGTAATTTTTTCTAATAAAAAACATAAAAATTATAAGTCATCTTGGTTATGTCAAAAAGTTTTAAAATTGAAAATTCGTTGTTAATAAATTTTTTTTCTAACATTTAATAGTGACAAGTCGATTTGTAAGTTCTTTAAAATGTTAAATTTATGTTTATCTAAATTTTTTTAAAAATGGATTTAAAATTTTTTTAAAAATGGATTTATCAGCTTTTGAAAAATGGCAATGAAAATTACCACCGCGGGCTCGGTGTCGCTAGTGTTTTACACCAAAAATGGACGAAATGGATGTACAAATTTAAAAAAATATAAACTTATATTGTGACTTTTCGGTTTTAATTTTAAGTAGTTTTTCAATAAAAAGATAAATAATGACCAACAATCTTAACAAATATTTCTTAAACATTAGAATACTTTAAATATTAACAATTTTTGCAACCTTGTACACCCACAGCAGCCATTTTTTTAGTTCACTTTATGGTCACTATGTGTCGCATTGCAATTTTAAATTCCCATAATTCCCTTGTATATTGCTACTTTAACTAATTATTATAAATAGTGGATAATTAAGTTCAGTCTATGAAATATTACTTACTTTTAGAATGTAGTCATCTCCCTTCAAAGAAAACTTTTTGCCAGCAAATATGAATTCGATTTCTGGTAAATTTGGAATCATGTTACAGTTGACCTGATAAAAAGAGCAAATCGGATTGTATTTTATATTTTACAGAGAAGTGAAAAATATATATAAATAAATCTAAGTTTACTCAAATATTGGTAAGATTTCCTTAGGATGTAATGTTTTCTATTTTTTTAATGTGTTTCTTAAATAATGTTTTTTTAAATAATTGGATGGTAAATTCTACTTACAATCCATTCGCCGCCGACAATTTGTGTGGCGCCAATGTTTTGATTGATCTTCTTAATTTCATCAACAGGTCCAGCGATGAGAGAAGTGCCAGTATCGGCAATAGCTTCACATCCATTTTCACAAAATGCCTTTTCTCCGATCATTACTCTTAAGAAAAATTTATAACATTTGAATTCATTTTTTGCCAATTTTCGGTAGTAGAGAAAAATGTAAAAATAAAAAATACTAAATTTTACAAATGAAAAGAATAATATAGAACTTAAATTTTAATTTTTTAATATTAATATTTAAAAAAATAATAGAAAACGAAGAATATAAAATCAAAATAAAATAATAATCATCAATTATTAATAAAAATACATACTTGTCCATTTTGAATTGCCAGTAGGCTTTACGATCGACTGGTACATAAGTAAATTCACCGTCATAATGATCAGGATCAGAACCTCCCAAAATCATTTCACCTCCAATTTCAGCTGATGGATCTCTGTGGAAAAAAGTTTTTTTTTAAATTATAAATTAATAATATAAATTGATTTAATTATTATTATTTTCAGGAAATTACAATTTGAGTGTTTTATTTTCTCTGTCATGAAAATTGTTGAATATTAAATACAATTGTTAGATTCGACAATTACCTGTTGAGATAGAAACTGAAAATTGGATCCTTAACTAAACCCTGTTTAACCATATTGTCGAAAACTGGAACTACACCATCGACTGAAATTCTCGAGTATCCCATACCCAAAACACCATCGAATTTAGCAGCAACAAATGCCAATCCAGGTTCACTCATTGCTTCGGCGAACGTTTGATTTAAAATATCAACTCCAGCTACCTATTGTTCAATAGTAATTAATTATTTATCAACAATAAAACATATCATCCACAAGTTTTGAACGTTCAAATCAACGAAATATTTTTTATTAAAACTATTTCCATAAATTACTGATTGCAATAAAAATAAAAATAAATTTTACATTTAGAAACTTTATAATTAATTTTCCTCTTATAGTGACGCAAAATTATTTTAATAAAAATGAAATTTGGAAATAAAATAGATAAATTTTGTTCATTTCAATGTTCAGGACTTTGGTATCATGAAAACATGTAAATAATATTGGAATACTTTTGATTTATCATGAAATCCTTAACTATTTAATGAGAATTGTAAAATTTATCGTTTACAAGCTTTGCACTCAATAATTAATTTTTCAAAAGTAGCTGTAAGACTGAAAAGAAGTAGTAAAAAAGTAATGATTGAAAAATTAAATTTGATGACTAAAAAAACTCGATTTAGGGGAGAGTGGGGCAAACCGGACCGGTGGGTAAACCGGACCCCCCTCAATATTTCCGAAATGGCGAAATTGGAAAAAGTGTTGTTTACAAATTTAAAACAACCATGTTTAGTATACCTTATTTTTTCAATCTGACAGTTTTAGCTTGTGTTTGTGCGACGAAGGGAGCAAAAGTTTTTTTTTTTTAGTTTTTTTCTACACTTTTACCAATTTTTTCTTAAGGAAATTCTGAGGAAATCGTGTAATGTTTCCAAATATTAGGTCTTGGGTTTTGAAGGTACACACCTCAGGAATATTTACCACCAAAAACTTTGATGAATTTGCAAAGCGTTTCTTTTTGACAAACATTTATTCTCAAAATGGGTCTGTGGGGCAAACCGGACCGTTTTCGGTGGGGCAAACCGGCCATAGGAGATTTCCATTGAATTAAAGTTTCATAAAAATTATTTTTAAATAAAATGTTTCTTTCATTAAAATATTTACTTACAATGAAAAATAATTGTCTTCCAATGAGAATTGGACCCTTTAATATTGTTTCTCTGATAATGACAAACATTTTTATTTTTTATTAAAAAAAATATTTATTTAATTAAAATTCAATCCTGTATTATTATTTTCATTTTTACAACCATTGTTTACATGATTCTTTATGTTTTTTATTATTGTAGATTATGTAAATGCAATATTATAAATAAAAAACCAAACGGTCCGGTTTGCCCATGGGGGGTCCGGTTTACCCCAGGGGGTGGGGCAAACCGGACTGTTTGCAAATTTTTTTTAAGTTAACACAGCAACTAAACAATAAAAGATAAAGTATAGGTGTCTCTGGGAAAAAGTTGCGCAATTAAATGATCTTTCAAACAAGACCTCGAAAAATGAAATCGGTTGATTCGTTTAGTCACAAGAGTCAAAAAACCGTTACACTGAAAAACTGTTGGTAGAGCTGTTCGCCCAATGCGGTGAACTGCTGCGTTAAAAAAAAACGCACAGCTCACTTTATTTTTGGGCGAGTTACTCTCCTTTTTGGGCGAGCAACTCTCCTTTTTGATAGAGCTGCTGAACTATTTGTCAAGCAGCCGCTCACCAACGCCATTGGTAGTCAAGTTTAAGAGAGCAGCTCGCCCAATTTTGATAGAGCTGTGAGTTTAAAGTCAAGTAGCGCTGCACAACAGTCAATAGCGGAACTGTTCTACCAACAGTTTTTCAGTGTTGGGGGTCCGGTTTGCCCCACTCTCCCCTAAACAATATACATAAAAATCGCAAACATTTCCTTTTTCCTAATTTTCAAAAATATTTACTGTTTTTCTTATTCTGGTAATAAAAGCAAATTTTACATTTTTTTCTAACATTCAATTATTTTCTAAATTTTAATTTAAAATTCTTCAAAAATACGATTATATTAATTAAAAATAATTTTTTAAAAGTAAAAAAATTAAAATTTTTTGAAATAAAAAATTTTTTAAAATTAAATTTGACAAAATTTTTAATTAATTTATTGGAAATTTAAATAAATTATTTTCAATTATTTACGGGATTTTAACTATGATCAAAAAACTTTAATTACAATTCTTCAAAAGACTAATTTTTTCATAATATTTCTAAATTAAATTATTCAAAACTTGAATAATTTTTGTTAAATAAATATTTATTTATTTTATTTTTCTACAGGAATTAAATTTTTTTAATGATTTCAATGTAAAACATTTTTGAAATTTAACTATTTCTAAAAATTAGAACATTAATTCCTCAAAAATTTAATCATTTTTTTGTGAAATTTTTAAATAAAATTATTCAAAATTTAAATCATTTCTTATGAAAATAGTAAATTAATAATTTTTTAAATGCGAATTTAAATATTATTACAGTTTGCAACAATTAAAATTTTTCGAAAATTTTAATTTAAAAATCTTTTGCAATTTTATTATTTCTAAAAATTTATAATTTTAACGCTTTTATGTTGAATTATTATTTAAAATTTTAAATGAAATTAATTTTAAATCAATTGAATTGAATTCTCATTCGAAAGTTCTACGAGAATTTAATTATTTAAATACAAAAATAAATAATTGATTGAACAATTGATTATTTTTTAAAATTGAATTCTTCTAAAGAATTCTTAATAATAACTTAAATAAATAACATTTTTAAGAATAATTGCATTTTTCGAGAAATTCATACAAATTTTTTAAAAAGTAATTAGATTTCTGGAAGGAATTTTATTATTTATAAAAATAATGGAAGACTTGTAGTGAATTTTATTAAAATTTTTTTAAAAAATTGTGAATCCCTATATGAAAAATTGTATTATTTGTGAAAAAATAATTGAATTCTTGCGAAGAATTTTATTAAATTTTTTTAAATAATTGAATTCTTCTGAATCTTTAATTATTTGTGAAAATAATTGAATTTCTATAAAAATTGTATTATTTATGAAAATAATTTAATTCTTGTAATTAATTTTATGAAAATTTAAAGAAAAATTTGAATTCCTGTGAAAAATTTTATTATTTGTGAAAAAATAATGTAATTCTTGCGAAGAATGTTATCAAAATTTTTTTAAATAATTGAATTCTTTTGGAAAATTTTATTAAAGCAGTAGATATTGAATTTCGAAAAATTTTCTTAATGTTTTTGAAAATAGTTAAATCATCTCAAAGAATTTTATTAAAATCTTTTGAAGTTGTTTTTAAGAATTTTAATAAAATTTTGTAGAATAATTTTTTTATTGCAACTATTAGTGAATCTAAAGTAGAGAAATTCTTAAAAAAAAAGAAAAAAGTAGCTTTTTGTATAACAAATCTGAATAAATTATCAAAATAGTAGCAAATCGTAAAAAATGTAGTAAATCGTAAATTTTGGTAAATGAGTGCGAAGCCTGCATATATAAATTCCTCGAAAAGAAATATTTCTAAAGAGACAAATAAAAAGACAATTAAAATAAAAAGTAATAAACATGAATCGTTTGAAAATGCTACTGTTGAAATATAATACGTACATTAATAGTGTCTGTTGATAAGAAACCTGAAAGGCTTCCACTTCCATATTGAATGGCGAAATCAGTTCCATTTGCAACATAAGTTTTGGATGATTTACTGTTATATTTATTATGAAGCACTGAAAAATAAAGAAAGACATTAAGTTTTCAATCATTTTTTTTTAAATCTAAACTTGTGACAAAATTTAAAAAAAATCGTATTATAAGAATAAATACAACAGAATGTAAATATATACTCTATAAATAGCATCAGACAATGAAAAATAATTTGTGCAACATTTTATTATTTAAAATGACGCGGTCATCAATATTGTAATATTATTTTTATTCATTTTAAGCAATGACTAATGCGTTTCATTTCTTTGTCACAAATTAAATGAATAATATAATTATACTGCAAGACTCACAGCAAGCAATGTTTGTAACATGACATTTCTTGGATGGTACCCAAAGATTTGACGAACCAGTGTCAAAAAGAACACTAAATTTCTGCGGTGGAGTTCCCATTGTAATGACTCCATAATATTGAGCATCTAAATAATTGGACAGTGGTTCTGGTGCAAGACCACCTCCATAACGCATTCGAACTATACTGAGGTCAGTTCCAACTTTTTGCAGAAATCTTCGAGGAGTTTCTGCCTTGTATACTGGAATCCTTTAATAAAAAAAATAATCCTGTATAATTATCACTATAATTAAATATATAATTAAATATTAAATTAAATAAAAGGAGTTTTTCGTATATTTCGGTAATTGTTTCAGGGTGTCTAGCGATTCGTCAATTTAAAATTCCCGGGTTTTTCCCGGGTTCTTGAATAATTTTCCCGGATATTCACAAAGGATTTAAAAACATATTTAAATGTTTATCAATAACATTATTTACGTAATTAAATATTGTTTTTATTAAATTACAATGATTAAATAAATAGTGAAAATTAACGATCACTCCGAGTCAAGGAAAATAAAAATAAAAGAAATTCAATTCTTTTTACGTTTCGGCAGCACAGCTGTCCTCTTCAGAACGAAAAAAAGAAAATTAGAAAAATTAAAATTATAAATTAAGATAGGTACATCTTTGTACACTTTGAGTGTCATATTGTAATCGTAGCGACAAAGATGTACCTATCTTAATTTATAATTTTAATTTTTCTAATTTTCTTTTTTTTGTTCTGAAGAGGACAGCTGTGCTGCCGAAACGTAAAAAGAATTGAATTTCTTTTATTTTTATTTTCCTTGACTCGGAGTGATCGTTAATTTTCACTATTTATTAAAATACGACTGAGTGATAGAATCATCTCTACTCTTACAATGATTAAAGTTATACAATAATTTCTAACAACTTGACATAGAATATCAAAATTTCACTTATAAAAATTTCTCAACTTTATAATATAATTGTCAATTCAGGGGAATTTAAGAAATTTATTAAATTTTACAAAGATGTCAGAGGTTGAAGTGTGGAAAAATTTGAAAAAAAATTCCGCTCAGTACATACAGTATACCCTTTGAAATACTTGTAAAATTTAATTAATTTCTCAAACCATGAATTGCTCATTATAATGTTTACATAGAATTAAACTAGAATATTTAAGCTTTATTTTGACATAAGTTTCAAGAAAATCGGATGCAACGTGTTTTGAGATATTCAAAAAGGTTATCTTTCAAAATTAATTTTTTTCATAAATTCTATTATTTTAAAAAAAATTTTCTACCATTATAAAGTTGAGAAATTTTTGTTTTAAAACCACTAATAGTAAATAAAGTTTGGCTTCAATAAATATAAGAAATAATGATTTAAAAATTGCCTTACAATGTCAATTGTTTATAAGGAGGATCGTTTTGAAATGGAATGCCCCATATTTAGTTTTAAAAAGTAAAATCTTTGCCTTTTCTACACGGAAAGAAAATTATATTAAATTTTGTAAAAGTGCTTCTCAATTTAGAGAAAAAATGCGACAAGGCGAAATATTGGTATCAAAAATATTAAACAGTGAAAGGAATAATATGAAATTTAGTATAATAATATCAAATATCAAGAATTTTAATCTAACTTTACTAAATTTCAAATTATTTCTTTCACTGTTTAGTATTTTTGATAACAAAATTTCGGTTTGGTGCACTTTTTCCCTAAACTGTAAAAACTTTTACAAAATATATATGATATGTGTTAATATATGTAATAAATTTTCTCTCCGTGTATCACAGAAGATTCTTAATTTCTTCTTATAAAATTTGTTACGTATTGTATACCTATAAATTGTTATATAAAAATTAGAGGTGTGCAAAAAGCTCGAATAGCATGGTCGAGCTCGAGCCGGGCTCGAGTCAGGCTCGAGTTTTAGTTACTCAAAAATATTTGAGTGCTCGAAAAATTCAAGTGCTCAAAATTATTTTAGGTTTAATACTGCACGTGTCGGGTGGAATTTGGTTCAAGTTCGGATTGATTCTGCTCAGCTCTGCTAGAAAAACGAAAAGCTTGAAATACTCGATCGAGCTTTTTGCACAACTCTATTAAAAATAATAATAGTACAAATCCTTAAACTTTTATAATATAACGTGTACTAAAGTTAGTTTTAAATAAAATTTAAGTTATTATTTTTACTACTGCTTCATACTATCAATTTACCCTTGACGATTTGAGCTGTGACCGTGTTATTATATTACGCTTTGAAAAAAATTATAATTTTTTATATACATAATTCAAAAAATACCCTATAAATAGAAAATTCCCGGGTTTTTCCCGATTTCCCGGTTCGCTAGACACCCTGTGTTTGTTCGCAGAACAAAGAAACTGTCAGAAATAACTAATAAAAATATATATGAAAAGAGCATTTTTTATAAAGAGATAATTTTATTTTTATGAAAAATAAAAATAACAGATGGCTAAGAAGAGTTCAGGGATCAATGATAATTATGTGAATCATCATTTTGTATTTGAGTGAAAGTTTACATTACACACAATTCTTTTTAAAACCACAAACTGCTCTAGTTGCATGTATATCTACAAAATTTAGTAGAAGAAACAAATGCAAATTATTTGGAAAAATTGTAACAGAAATTGGTAAAGAATGTAAAAATATTAAATAAATAAAATTCAAAATATACCCTTTTTAATTTAATTCATAATTATAATAAATTAAATAATGAAAACGTAATAATGAATAAAAAATAAAATGTATAAATATAACATGTTTTAATTCATGTTTATTAATCATTTTTTAAATAAAAAATTTCGAAAAATAACTATCAAAAAAAGGATACATATTTTTTTTGAACAAATGAAAAATAATTCAAAGAAGTTTTTATACAATTTAAAAACGGACGTCATTCAAAAAGAAAATCTTTCCTGTTAGCAAATTGATTTTTTCTTTCATTATATTATTAAAGAATTACATAAAACCATTTAAATTAATTTACAGAATTTGGTTAGGTTTATTCATTTTGTCTTATTTAAAAGAAAAAAATGTTTTCAAACTTCCATGGTAATAAGAACAAAGAAAAAAATGTTAAAAATTGACCACAAAATCCCGTTAATTTTCTAAATATAAATTTATTCCAAAGTTTTAAATATTTAGAAATATTTACCTGAGTAAATCTCCATTTGCAGCAATTGCAAGGAAAAGTAGAAAAATGATAGAACGCAACATTTTATTTATGCACTAAATTAAACTTATTGATTCACAAGCATTAGCAAATTGCGTTCAATTTAATAAAGTTATCTAGATTCTCTTCAACATCTACTAATTCTGAATGTTCTTGAATTCCTGAGAGAAGTAACAAAGCTTCACTCCGAACGGCTCTGACTTTGCATTTTGTTGTCACTATATACATTACTGCTCAGGATCGGAATTAGAGGGTGTTTAGTTTTCTTAGTCCTTAGAAATTATGAAGCACTTTTATAGAATTTTTTTATTAAATAGAATTAAGTAACTTTATCATAAATCATCAATTTTGACCAAATGATAAATATAATACAATTTTTTTTTTGCAATTTCTTTTTTTTTTTGCAGTGAAATTTAAATTTAAAATCTTTCCCGCCTTTTCATGATGGCCGCCGAAATATGTAAATCAAAACAGGTATTAAACTACTATTTCTACTGTAAATAAATTTAATCAAACTACAAGGCACTTTTATTAAATAAATCTTTTCAAAATCTTATTATTCTTTAAATTTTTATTTATAGACAATTGTAAATTGCAAAAATAAATATGGCATTCAATCGCTAATGGAAAGTTTACTGACTAACTGTACCACCGCCATCTTGTTTTCAGAAACGACTTGAAAGTTGGCTACGAAATTGAAGTGAAATAAAATACGGTTTATTTTGTTGAAATTGTCTCAGAAACTGATTAATTAAAATTCGTTTATTTATTACGATAGTAAAGAAATTTATCTTTAAATTAATAAAGTCGGTGTGATTTTTCGTCCTTTATGGAAAAAGTCAGTAGTGCAAATTTGTCTCGAAAAAGATGTAAACTTAAAAGAGTGAAAGCAAAGTTTATTTGGCAAAACTTTCGGTATTTTAAATTGTATATCTAAAAAAGTGTAAATAAATAATGCCAAATGGAAGCAAAATTTGTGGTGATATTTAAGGTTAGTTTTTTCGACTTTTTTTTTACTTACTAAATACTACACTCGTACTATATTTAGTTATTAACCTAAACTAATTTTTATATAATATATTGCAAGCCATCAAGGGTTTTATTCACAATAATTGTGTAAAAAGTGAATATGTCAATATTAGTAACAATGAAAAATTAAAAATAATGAAAAAAATAAGATTTTACTTTTCTGTTAACCTAATTTATTGATGTCACGAAATTTTACAATCATTTTCAATATATATAAATATTTTATTTTTAAATTTAAATCAGTGTTTCAAACATGAAGATAGGTGTTTTCGCATTATTTTTTTATATTAGATCAAGGAACTGAGTTTTAATATTTAAATTAAAGATTATTATTGCCATTTGAAACAACCAGTTTTATTTTACCCGGAATAGCGAACACAATGAATTACACAATATATATTATCCTGTACAAGTATTTTTGTTGTTAGTCGGTAATTAACATTTATTTTCATCTAAACATTAGTTTTAATATTTAGGTAGGTTCTTTTTTTTTGTTTTTTTTTTTGAATATTACAGACCCCGTTGAATTTTGTACGACAAGTGCTTATTTAGCAGGTCAGCGAATGCCAGTTTGATTCGACATTAATTAATGTCAAGTGGCAGTTTTCGGTGAGATTCGATTAACTACAAGAAACTGATCTACGTAGATTGAACTAGTAAAAATGTTTTTACCTAACAACTTTTTTAATACGTTGAACTAACATCTTTACTTTACACAGATTAATTTTTGCTCTTATTGATCTTCGCATCGTTCGCTTGCCACTCATAAACCTAAAACGATTTTTTTAAAAGTTTCACGTAAATGCAATCGCCTTGTTCATAAAAAATAAAAAAAAATTTCCTTTGATAAAATCAAATAATTGAAACACGGATTGCTTTTATCATAAGTACTTTTGACTATGACTAACGTCAACATTAATCCTTAACTGGCAGTGTAACTTCTTAATTAAACTAAATTCTCTTTATTAATGTCAATATTTTTTTAAATTATATTATTACTAAAAAATACTGTTTTTTTCTTTTATTAAAAGAATGAACAGTACTTTGAAGTCAAATTAATTTTCTTTTTGTCTATTTTAAAGTCAAGTCACAACTAGTTTTTTTTCTTTTTAAGTATCATTAATTTATTAATGTAGTATTGAATAATACACAAAACCAGTCAAGGGTTAAAATTGTAAAAGAAAAAGAAAATACTGTCTACGAATATCGTCGATAATGAAAACTGGTTCAACGATGTTGACCTGCTCTAGATAAGTTTTACGAATGCACCGCAGTTTTTAAAGAATCTTTGAACTGCGTCGAGAAAAAAAAAGTTTGTGCACCTATGTCTGCCAGTAAAACGCAGTGAATTGTTTATCTTATTTTTTTTCACCATTTAATACTTTCGCAACAAAATCAGACTTTAAAGTAACGTAATATTTCGGGATCAGCATTGTACAAAAAACATCGTAATTCACATTCGTCGAAAACTGATCTCTTTTAACATATTTTTTTTACCAAATTTTTTTTTTATTTTTAGGAATGTATTACAACTTATGAAGAGATTAGTTCAGATTGCGTTTTACACAATGCGATCATCCGATGATCGTGATTTCTCAATTTAAAAATTCAACGACTCAAGTGTTGATGAAAAAAGAAAGAATAAATTCTTCTCAACAATCGAATTGAACTTTTCTTGAGAGTAAAACTCTGCGATCGCTCTGTTGATATATATTTATAAAAAAAATAAGTTTTTTTTTTAAATACGGATTATACGCGCTTAAGCGCTATCCCATGCTTTGAATACGTTTTTTTTGTTTTATATTTGTGTAACGAGGGTAATAAACATTTTTTTTATGTATGTGCAATGCTTTTGTACAGCATCGAATTTTTTTTTCGTTTTTCTTTTGAACGCTATGATGCGAAAGATCTTAACATACACACGGCCACTCTTAACACAAAAACGTAATCGTAAACAATATCAGAGTTTTGCGATCGACACTCGTTCTGTTATGGCGATGCACTGATGATTATGTTGCATTCTGACATCACGTTTAGATGGTGAAACTGTGTCTATAGATCAGGTCTATGGATAAAGAGGGACTACAGAAACATTAGGCCGTGGCTTTGGCTTCACCGTTGCTCTCGGCTTCAGCTGGTTTCTCGTCTAATTTCGCCTTCTTTTCGGGGCTTGCACCGTCCGCTGATGCATCATCAGTCAAATCTGCGCCGACTGATTTCCTCTTTATACAACAGGTGTCGACTGGAGCATCTGTAAATTTAAAAATGCATTCATTATTCAAATTAGTTTCATTTTATTTTATTTAGTATTAGAATTTTGTCAAGTTTTCAATTTACCTGTAGAGTTACCATTCTTTGGCGTCTCCTCCTCGTCTTTCTCATCGACTTCCTTGTCTTCGGTCGAGCCATTTTCTTTGGTCTCTGTGGCTTCTCCGTTCTCGGAAGTTTTGGAGTCTTCATCAGCCTCCTCCACAACCTTTGTCACTGGCTTTTCTTCCTCTACCACCTTCTTCTCCTTCTCAGGTGTGCTGACAACTTTGGTTTCCCTAAAAAAAGACAAATAGTTAGAATTCGAAAAATATTAAAATAGTGATTAAATAACTTCTCTAACTTTTGGGATAATTTAAATGAAATATTTTTCAATTAAAAAGGAAAGAAAAATTATCCAATCAAATTTGGCATTTTTTTCAAAAAATTTACTCTTGTTTCTGTATTAAAATAACTGAGCAAATTTGATTTTAAAGTAAATTAGAATCAAAAAATTGAGATGAATTTTTAACTTTTTAAATACATGAAATGAATTATTATGAAATGGAAAGTTTGCATAAGGTTTCTTGAAATAAACTTCAATTATTGATTGTACACTTTAGTAAATTCAAATCGTCAGAAAAACATTAAATCGATTAAAGATGACATTAAATATTTTCAGAATCCCTAACGTACATTGGCTTATGCAAGAGCACGTCACGGTGTAAGCACGCGGCTTGTTTGACGTTTTCAAAATAGTCTCGTAACCTCAATATTCGCGAAGAGAATAATGAGATTAGGACGCGTTACATTTTTGAATTTGTTATTTTCATCTTGTTGATAAATTGAGAAAAATTCTTTTCTTTTAAGTAAAGAAAGGAAAGAAAAATTAAACACGGGTAAAAAGCAATCAAACGTAATTACTTTAAATTTAAATATTAATCAATAAAATGCATGGGGTAAAGAAATTAATTATTTAAATATAAAGCATTATTTAACAAGTTTTATATAAATTATTCATTTAAAAAGAAGTTTTAATTCATGTATATGTTATTATAATGAGATTTAACACCTTTACATCTCGGTTTTCCCCCTCTCTCTCTCCATCAAGTAAACTTAGAGGGAGAGAGAGAGAGAGAGAGAGAGAGTATTGCTATAAACTCTCACGACTACAAATTTAATTTCGTTGTGTTTGTGAATATCATGGATGGGAGAATTGAGTTCACTGAAGCGGAAGGAGGACACACATATAGTAGAAAGAAATAGAGATAGACGCCCTCAGTAGCGCTTCATGTGGCTTTCCCAAGAACTAACACATTTCCCCTTACCCACCTTTGCCCTGAAAACCACTTTTGCTTTGGCGCGGTAAAATTGCAGAAAGACGTGAATAGACCTGTTTGCGCCTCATTTTACCTTTTAATAAATGCCTATTCGAATGCGCAATACATATTTCAGTAACCGTAAAATAAAACTAATACTTGGGACATATTTCCTTATTGTCATCAGTTCAACGAATCAGTGAGAGAGCAGATCGATACGCCGACAGCTCTTTCAATTCAACGTACAGTCCATCTCAAAATCGAAAAATCAACGAAATTACATTCACGTGCTTATTTACTTAAACAATTAATTAAAAAAAATCGATTTAAACACTACTTTCCATCATTTTTTGTTTCTAAGAAAAAAAATGAATATTCTATCAAAAACCGGACACGTTAATAATTAATATTCTTCTATTTGTTTATTAAATATAATAATATTGATAATAAAACTTGAAAGAAAAAGTGAAATGCCGCGCACGCGATCGGCGTACCTTTTCTCTACTTTAATTCTCTCCCTACCCCCCCTAGCCATATCTTTCTCTCTCCCACGCACCACTATTCTTATAAAAAAACCGGGAAAAGTCCCCGATATACTGAATTCGACAAACTTGGTAAAAAATACAAAAATTCGACTGTTGGAAAAATATGAAATCAACCAAAATTAACGTTTTGTCGCGAATTTAATGAGAAAAGCGAGATAAATGTAGAAAATCAGAATGCGCACGGCGTGGTTCCCCCACCACTTTTTTCACGAAATTCTCTAAACGAGCAATAATCATTAACGGATTTGTGATAAAAATAAATTAGAATAACATAAAAAGTGAAGATTAATAATCTCGAATGCTGAGAAACAATGGAAAAACACGGAAAATAAAGAGACGCGGGTCGCGCGTGACTAGCGTGGAGTTACCTCGAGGCAAGCAGCCAACAAAAGTTTTTTTTTCTAATAAAACAATTAATATCCATCACAGAACACTTAATTACTCACTTTGCTTCAACATCGGCCATTGTGATAGATTTGATGTTAATTAAAACGGAAGCACTTGTAGATAAATACACTGAAAATTATTTTTCACACTGTGAATGAAGCACACGAGAGAACTCTTGTAACACTACTGTTGCGTACCGACGCGCAAATGGCAGAACTCTCCTCGGCAGGCTCGTTGATTCGCCCGAATCCCCCGGCCCGGCCGGCGGCCTTCAAACCTTCCGCTTTCCCGCTATTTCATAGGTGTCTCTGATGTCGCATCAATTCAAAATGGCCGACAAGACCTTCACAAAATTTTCCATTAATTTAAGCGAAACGCAGTAAAAATTCAATTTATACACCACCCACATAAACTTCTATTCTAATAATACGATTTTTAGAATGATTCTAATTAATCAATTATAGAAAGAATAGAATATTTTAATCAAAATATTTTTAGAAATTTGAAAAATGTCTTTTTTCCCGGGGAACGTACCATTGATTTTCGAGAAGTTTGATTGGCTGCATTGGCCTCTAGAAAAATGGAACGTTCATTTATTCAGGGGACAAGTTTTTGCACGTTTTTATCTCAAACGTCTTTTGTCGTGAAAAAGTGATTATTAATTAATTGAATGCATTCTCTTTATTGTCGTAATAATTGGATTGTCTCCACTGTAAGAGATCGAGTTTCATCTATTTATCTGTGAACAACATTTCATTGAACAGAGAAAATTGTCAAGTAATAAGAGGTAACCTCAAAATTTTCTTCTGTTTATTATTTATTGTTTAGAAATAATAGAATTTTGTTTAATATACATTGTCAGTGATTTTTATTCTTTAGGGAGAATTTAAGCAGAGTGATTTTCTATTGTTTCGAATTACTTTCTATTTTTGTTGTTGTTAAAAGGTTCTTGTGGGTGCATTATTTGGATTCGAGGTGTATCAATAAGAGGGAGAAAAGCCGGCACATGAAAAGTTCTAGAAGTTTCTTCGCAGCCTCATTTCCGGTGTGTATTAAAAGGTAGAATGAGGCCGCTACCGGGTGGTCACAATCAACTTCCATGTTTCCATGTTGCAGGATGCACTTTTATATGAAGGTACATAATTTCGTTTTTTTTTGTTTATACATCAGAGACGCAGTTTTCGAGAATTAAGTATATAAATTTGCAAATTTATCCCATGGCAAACAATGTTTTGTCTATTTCATCCTTCTGAAGTATATCACTATTTTAATTATTATTATTATTATTATTTATTAAATATCAACTTGGACCAAATTGATTGACAATTTGTAATGCATTCAAATTATTCCACCGCAATTTTTCAATAATTAACTTATAAATATTGTTTACTATTATTATGATTATTTTTATTTCTATATACTTTATGCATTTATAATTCATTAAACAAACAATAGAAAATTAACGATAGCCGTAAATTATGTCTTGAATGATTTGAAAGCCGTTTGAAGAATAAAGACAAAAAAAAGAGGTGCGCATGCGACCGCTTTGCGTTGATAGATCGATACTGAACTATATTTATAACAGGAAAAAAAAATAATCCCAATGACAAGTTCAGACAAGTTGAAGTTTGAAAAAAAAATTATAAATTTTAATGTCAAGGGATAAGGGTCATTTAATTATTTATTCAAAGAAAAAAAAAGAGGTAAAACCGAAATGTTTTTTCTTTTCAGAAATGAAACTCATGTTTTATTCTCACTATTCTTTATTCCCGCACGTGAAATAATTTTTGTCAATTGAAATTTAGTATTTCTATTCAATTGTGAAATGAAAATTAAATTAAATTCAGTTACTTTTTTTTGCAAAATTAAATTAGAATCAAGTCATTTTTTTCTGAATGTAAAGCGGAGTATATTTTTTTTATTTCATATTTTAAAAATAATTAAATTTTTCAACGAGAAACTCTATGAAGATAATTAAGTTTAATCCTGCATTTCTGAATAAATTTGAAAATTGGAATTAGTAATTTTTAATTTCCGATTGAGAGCGAAGTTTAAATGCCAGTCTTCTCACTCATCTACTAAAACCTACTATTAACTACTTTTTTTTACAATTAACTACTATTTGGATACTTTTTTTCAATTTATGACACTAAAAGCTACTTTCTCCTATTTTTTTTCTTTAATATTTGCACTAATTTAAATCCGCTAAAAGAAATAAAAAATTATTCTCAAAAATTTTGCCAAAATTCCTCTTAGAAACAATTCAAAAAATGTTAATAAAAGTTTTTGAAACAATTCACTTAATTTCAAGAATTTTAAGAAATTAAGTCACAAGAATTCAATTATTCTCAAAAATATGAAAATTCTTTGCTGAAATTCAATTAATTTCAAAATCTACCATTTTAATGAAAATTTCTCAAAAGAATTTAATTCTTTAAAAAAAGTTTTAATGAAATCCTTCGCAAAAAATTCAATTAATATTATTAATAATAAAATTTCCACATGAGTTCAATTATATTAAAAATACAATTTGTAAGAAAATTTTTGAAAAGGAATCAATTATTTGCAAAATTTTAATAAAATTCTTTGAAAGAAGTTAATTATTTCAAAAAATTTTGATAATATTTGTTTAAAGAATTACATTATTTTCATAAATAATAAAATTCATCCCAAGAATTCAATTATTTTTAACAAAGTTTTAATTAAATTATTCTTTTAAGTTTTATAATGAAATGATTTCAAACAAAAATTCAATTATTTCAAAATTTTTTTATAAAATTCTTTGCAAGAATTCATTTATTTTTACAAATTATCAAATTTTTCCACAGGAATTCAGTTATTTTCATAAATACCTAATAAAATTCTTCGCGAGATTACAATTATTTTTAAAACAATTTCAAATATATCTCTCGAAAAATGTAATTATTTTTAAAAAGATTATTACAATTCTTCGAAGATGATAAAAATATGAATTTTTAGGAATAATTTAAAAGATTTATTTTTTGAAAATTTAAATTTATATTGTAAAACTGAAAAAGTATTTAAATACTTATGTTAAAATATTATTGATTTACTATTATTCAAAAAAACCATTGAAGTATTGAATAATTTTATTTGAAAATTCGAAAAAAAATTGAACTTTGCAAGAATTACAGATGTAATTTTTAGAAGTATGTAGTTCAATTTTAAAAAGCTTTTACATTAAAATTATTTAAAATTTTTGTGAATCGACTAAAACAAGTTTTTTAGTCGTCAAATTTAATTTTTCGATAGCTACTTTTTCACTACTTTTTTCACTCTTAAAGCTACTTTTTGTTACATTTTTTAAATTTATTACTGAGTGTGAAACCTGAAATACTAATAGGTAGTCTAGTTTTCTAGTTCTAAAACGAAATACAAATTCAATTGAAATTAATAAATTTATCTGAAATTAAAATTATCAAAATATATTTTTGTTTCGAAAAAGATGATAATTAGGTCGAATAATTTGAATATATTTAAATGAAATGATGATTATATAAGTTAATCGAATTAGTAGAATTCAATTTAATAATACGGAATAATACGAAAAATAATGGTAATTATTAAATTTAATTAATTAATAAATTAAATTAATTCTGCACAAGTAGCACAATCATTTTCATTTAATTTATTTATATCTTCCGTTATTAAATAGACCTTTTTTTAAAAGAGAGAAATAATTTATTAATTTTGCTAAAGAATTTTACAGTTTAGGAGAAAAGTGCCAAAGCAGAAAATTTTCAACAAGTTTTATTTTAGAAATAATCAAAGTAAATGCGAAAATAAATATAATTATTTCACAATGCAAAAGTATGAAACAATTATGTGAAAATAAACTCGAATAGTATCTGAAAAATATAGAAATTATCCCAAGAAGCAAGACTAAGAAAATTAGCAGTGATAATTTTAATACTTATTAATATGAAAGTGGGACACTTCACAGTTCGTCATTCAATATCTAATCAAACTAAAAAGAATTTCTATTTAATCTCTAAATCACAAGAATAGCCAGTTTTTGAAATTTAGAAACAATATAAAAACTTTTATTTTAATTTCCTATTATTTTAACCCGTTGCCTGTTTGCGACCCAACGTTGGGTCGTGAAAAAAGTTGGCCCAGACAGTTTGCGACCCAACGTTGGGTCGTGAAAGTTTTAGCAAAATATAGAAATTTGTTATTTAAATAATAAAATAAATTCTTTTATATCATTATTCACATACTATAGGTATCAATGATGCTAGAAAAAGTAATAAATAAATAATTGTTTATTATTTTTAAGTAATATAACAATTTAAAAGATTTTGATGGACATTTTGGGGCAATAAAATGAATATTTTTCCAAACAGCGAAGGGGTTAAATATTGTTTTTTTTTTTGCTTTTTTCTCCTCAAATAACTAGCTTTTCTTGTAAAAAAAATACTCTCTCGAATATGTTTTATCTGAGAAAAATTTTTCTCTTTGTTTTTGTATTAACCACGGCTACAATGATGTAAAGTATTATTTTTACGATGAACCGACAAACGTACTTTTGCCAAAGACACATCAGTTAATGGTGATAATATTTGCCTTCCTGCGCGTTACACTTGAACTTCTTGAGTCAAAAAAAAAGAAGTAGAAAAAAATGTATACAAGAATTTATAATTATTTCAAGTATATATACTATATAATATATACAAACGAGACAAAAAATTTCTTCAAAGTCGTAAAGATTAAACAATCTCATGAATCGTTTTTGATAAGATTGCACTGGAATACAGGAGCTTACAACCTTCGGCGTTAAAAATAGTTTTGTGTACATATTGACGTAAACCTTTTATATTTATGGAAATTACAATATTTCACACTTCAATTCAATATACAGACATATGTATTTTTTTATTTCCAATAATTTCTATAAGTATCGAAAAAATTCTTTTAGTAGAGAATTTTTATTCGAGCTTATCGAGTATTATTTTCAATTTTTCTATTTTCAAAAACTAGAAATTAATGTAATAACTTTTTATTGGAATATAATTTTAGTTTAATTAGGAGTTTTCGGAAAATATTTGTTGACTGATACAGAAGCATAGCCAGTTAACATTTATTTGATTAAAACTTATCGCCGACTTTAGTCTCGTATTCTATTTTAGTTATATTTTTGTTTTCGACGAAATCACATAAAATGTTTTCGAAATTCATTTTACATATTATGTTTTTAATCTTTCGCTTTTATTACTCATTCTTCTCTGAATTTTTTTCAGACAGTGGATTTTATTTGTATATATATAAACTTGACGATGGTTTGGAAAAGGAGCGTCATGTCGGGTTTCAACCAAAAGAATTGAAAATGTCTTTCGTGTAAAAGCATCGGCAGGCCCATCGCACGTGTTTGAGATAATTCGTTTTCCGAAACAGCTGCTAAATACAGTGCAGGTGGAAGAGCGGTCATATAGCCAGGACCTCAAAGGCAGATGTCCTGACTCAGTTTTTTTTTTTATTTTCCCGTACGCCCAGGAATAGAACACACACTTCTCTCCCTCTCACTCAGTGAAAATTATTGTCGTGATTATTGGTTGCGATTTCGTCGCATGATTAAGTGAAGGAAATGAAATGTTTCTTCAGCTGTTAAAACAAAAAGTTTTTTTCTCTGTTTCGCATTAATTGTCGATTTTTAGATTCAATTTATTGACAAGTGGCAAATTTTTATTTTTAGTAATACTTTTCCCTTCTATTTCAAGTTTGTCGCTTCCCAAATGTCTCGCTTCTTTAAATTTTTCTACTCTCTAAATTTGAATTAGTAAAAATGTTTCCTAATTTGAATTAGTGACTGATTTTTTTGCTTTTAAATTAGTAAATGTTACTAATAAATAGTAATTTCTACTAATTATTTGCTTTTGAATTAGTAAATTTTACTAATATTCTATATTAATAATAATCGTTGTATTCCGGTAAACTGTTCGCAGTTTGAAGTTAGTTGTTTGCTTTTTTGTTTCCTAACTTTTTAAAATAATTTTTCTTTTTAAATATTTTCAATTTTAAAATTAATGTATTGAATAATTAAATTCTTTCGAAGTATTTTATTACTTAATTGAAAATTTTTAAAATAATTGAATTAAACAAAGATTTATTTCAACT